CGTATTCCGTTTCTCGTATGAGGGACCAAATGTAATCACCCATCATGCCTGCATCCCAGAAGCCGTGATACCGCCGCTCCATAGCCTTCATTTGCTGGTGAAAACGTTCTCCGTGCTCATCACTTACGTCACCCAGATTGTCCGGGTTATTTACGCACTCGAACTCTCTACTTCTTTTACTCATTTTACACTTTTTATTAAATAAATAAAACAATGATAAAAATACCTTGTTGAAATATCAAAAACTAGCAGTGAAATATCACTATGTAAACACGAGAAACAAAAGAATTCACGTTTGCTGAGTCATGTCAAATTTAAATTTTGAATAATATTTTCGGTGAAAAAAGTACGTAAAAAACTCCAAAAATTCCAATCATGCACTTTACTTAGTTTTCATTAAAGAATAAACATATTACAAAATAAAAGAACAAATTTAAATAAAAATCGTCAAAAAGCTGAATTTTGGTCTTCCACTAAAAAAATCATAACTTCGCCATTTTTTCATGTATTTTTATCAACATTAGCTTGTTCTTTTGTAAAAATGTCAGCTTCACGAAAAAAAAATTCAAACTGGAGTTATCTGTTTGATTTAAACCCTTACCAGGACGATATGTAAATTTTCGACCTGAATTTTTGCCATAGTTATTAAAATCGCTAGCGTCAAAATACTTCTTCGATATCCAAAGTATTTAAAAGAAAGTTTTAGAGGGCATAAATACCTTGAATTTAAGGGCTTGTTTGACCAAATCGATCAATTAGATTTCAAGCTATACTCAAAAACGTCAAAACACCTCCGAAAATTGAAAATTCATATTTTAAAAACGCTGATTCTTGTGTTTAGTGGGTCAAAATACATGAAAAAATTATAATGGGATATGGTGGGCAGAATTTTTTTTCGATTTTTTAAACTAGTGTAATTAGGGTCTAGCTCAATCAGGAACCTGGGGTTGTTTCGATGAGTTCAACAGAATAGAACTGCCTGTATTGTCTGTAGCCGCACAGCAGATTTACATTGTGCTTCAAGCTAGAAAAGAAAGGAAGGCGTCGTTTATATTCATGTGACTAATATAATAAATAACTCCGCCGTGCATAACAAATTAATTTTAGGGACGGTGACAATGTTTCAATGAACATCGAGTTTGGTATTTTCCTCACGATGAATCCCGGCTACGCTGGTAGACAAGAACTGCCTGAAAATTTAAAAATCATGTTTCGCAGTGTGGCCATGATGGTCCCCGACAGGCAAATTATTATAAGGGTCAAATTGGCCTCCTGTGGTTTTAAGGACAACATTGTTTTGTCGAGGAAGTTTTTCACCTTGTATAAGCTTTGCGAAGAACAATTATCCAAACAAGTAAGCAGTATAAATTTTATTATGTGTTTTATGAGTATGAGTAAGATCGCTTACTGATAAATTTTATTATGCAATGTCTTTTGATGACATTTTTAGGTACATTACGATTTTGGCTTGAGAAACATTTTGTCGGTACTTCGTACATTGGGAGCCCAAAAAAGATCCAACCCAAACGATACTGAAGAAACTATAGTCATGAGAGTATTGCGAGACATGAACCTTAGCAAGCTGATAGATGAAGATGAACCTCTGTTCCTCTCTCTGATAGAGGACATGTTCCCTGGAATTAGATTGACAACCTACTCGTGGAAAGACCTACAAAAAGCCATTACCAACGTGACAAAAGAAATGGGCTTAACAAATTACCCATCGTGGAATTTAAAAGTCATACAGCTGTACGAAACCTCTCTGGTCAGGCACGGGCTTATGGTTATGGGTATTATAGTCCAGATGTGTGGGATATTGAGTTATATTGTTTTTTTATTTAAGGACCCACTGGTGCAGGAAAGACCAAATGTATGTGGTGTTTGATGAAAGCTTTGACTGAAACTGGACTGCCTCATAAGGAATTGAGAATGAATCCAAAAGTAAGACTTTTCTACGAGGTATATACTTCATACTAATGTTGTTTGCAGGCCATTACAGCACCACAAATGTTCGGTAGACTGGATGTAGCAACAAACGATTGGACAGACGGCATCTTTTCCACCCTCTGGAGAAGAACTCTCAAATTCAAGAAAGGGGATTACTGCTGGTAAAAATAGAGTCAATCCAAATGAAAACACCAAAAATGAATTTAAAAGTGCGCTGCTTGATTTTTTATTTTAATGAAAAAATTTGAGGATGATCTTTTAGGTATCATATATGAAAAATTTTTAGGTGTTTTATTTTTAATCGGCACCCTTTAGAAACCTGAAATCGTGTCATTTTCTTACTCTCTTATAAGAGGCTAAAACTTTTTTTCTATGGAAATTATTGAAATGATTGTAATTTTATTTTACTGCCTAGTAAGTATGTTTTCAATATTAATTATTAGTTCATCTCATGAAAGAATGGTAAACCACTAAAGATTTGTAATAATTTGCCAATTTTTGTGATTTTTGTCTGGCTCCTGTGCCTATTCTGCTAAATCTAGAAAGTTGCTTTTTTTTCAAGTATCAAGTACTTATACAATAGAAAACGTAACTATTATTTTAAGTTTCTAGACTATCATTTTCTTTATTAAAAAAATTATTGAAACTTGATAATTTTCAAAATTAGCCAATTTTGCCCTCAGAAATCATTATGTTGAGGAAAAAATAAAAATCTGAAACTTTCAGGAAATGTAGTCCCCACCTTCATCTTTTTAGTCTAGTTAGTCTTGTTTTGTTATTTTTATCCATATAAAAGATTTAATAATTTGTTTAATGCAGTTAAGAAGCGATATTGTTAGTTTAATTTATAATTTAAAATTTAGATGGCTTTGACTTAGTCAATTCATGTTTGTCTGTCAAAAATATTTCATAAATATTATTTGTGCGTATTTAAATTGTGATTTTAAAAAGTTTGCATGTTTGCAAGTGTAATAAATGAGGGAGTGTTCGAGATTCATGAATTTAATTGCACTTAAAAATGCAAGTACATATCATAATTTTGTACCTCTTTCTCATAAAAAATATTCAAGTTCTGAGAAGTTTTAAATTGTTAAAAATGAGCAAAAACCAAAAAATACATACAAATAACTTTTAACTATTCAGTGCCTTACTAAAGGGATCCAAATAACAGAAGAAGATTAACTTGGTTTAAATTGTGAAAGAAACCGACAAAAAACTGCTTAACGCATTTTTTATACGTATAAATTAACTCTTTATTAATTTTACTTATTATAGGTACTTTATGATATAAACCATAAGGATCTTGAATATATTTTTTACATTCTTCTTTAAACACCAATTGGACGGCTTTCTGCAGAATGGGACCAACCCACACCATGATGAAACTGAGAAAAAGATTTTAATAATTTTAAAATTACCTGTTAATTTTATGCCGATTTTGGACTTACGGAGGTTTAAGGGATATAATTTAATAATTTCATCAGGTGGATTTTGTGATGTTATGTGTAAGGGTGACGAAAAAAATGGGCTTTTGTTGGTTGGTTCCTTTCTGCAATTTATGAAAACTACTATCTGATGTATGTATGTATGTATTTAAAGAAAAGCGACAATTATTTATTTCCAAACAAAATACAACTGATATTACTATTATAATGGTAATATGAATTAATTTTGATTCTATTTGAAATTTGTCCACATCATCTTCCAACCCCACCTCATCTTGTAAGCTACCAAAAAAATGCATCAAGACTTTATATTTTGCAGAAGCAGGAAATCTTTAAAGACTTTGGTAGTGGGTCTACCAGCCTGCTTTTTTACAAAAAAGATCCAACCCACTTGCAGATATTCTACAGATTCTAATTCTGGATAGTAATCCACACTATTATTGAATGTTGGTTGGTTCAATAATTAATAGATTTCACTACACTTGCATTTTGGCTATGACCTATTTTGCAGATAAATTATACATACTTAATTAGTTCATAGGCTAAATATCTCGATTTATTTGGTTTTGTGGGTTGGTTCCTTTCTGCAGAAAGGCGTCCAATTAGCCAATTAAATACTTCATTATAATGTATATAATATATAATCATATATATACAATACTTACATAAAATATAACATAACTACCACATATATCAGAACTGTCAAAAATATTTCATAATTATTATTTGTGGTATTCCTTTGCTGATTTTAAAAAAAATTTGTATATAACATAATATGACATATTATATTATATACAAAATTTACCAAAGAAATACGCACAAATAATATTTATGAAATATTTTTGAGAGTTTTGACATTTCTCTACCAAACATGAATTTACCAAGTCAAAGCCATCTAAATTTGAAATTATAAATAAAACCAACAATATCGCTTAACTGCATTCAAAAATTAATAAATCTTTTACATGGATAAAAATAACAAAACAAGACTAACTAGACTAAAAAGATGAAGGTTGGGACTACATTTCCTGAAAGTTTCAGATTTTTATTTTTTCCTCAATGATTTCTGAGGGCAAAATTGGCTAATTTTGAAAATTATCAAGTTTCAAAAATTTTTTTAATAAAGAAAATGATAGTGTAGAAACCTAAAATAATAGTTACGTTTTCTTTTGTATAAGTACTTGATACCTGAAAAAAAAATAACTTTCTAGATTTAGTAGAATAGGCACAGGAGCCAGACAAAAATCGAAAAAATTGGCAAATTATCATAAATCTTTAGTGGTTTACCATTCTTTTGTGAGATTAACTAATTGGATAATAATAGTTTATATCGAAAACACACTGAACAGTAAAAAAAAATTAAAATAATTTCAATATTTGTCACAGAAAAAAATTTCTGGACCACTATAAGAGAGTAAGAAATTGACACGATTTCAGATTTCTAAAGGGTGTCGATTAAAAGTAAAGAAAACAAAAATTAAAACGGCAACGGATTTTCATATTTCATACCTAAAATAAAAAATCAAGCAGCGCACCCCATTTGGTGTTTTTATTTGGAATGACTATAGGTTTGTAAAAAAATGTTATTCACAAATACTGTTCGATTAAGGCTTGTCCTGGACGGTCCAGTGGATGCCGTATGGATAGAAAACCTAAACTCGGTGCTTGACGACAACAAAACCTTAACCCTAGCCAACGGAGACCGCATCGTAATGGCGCCCAGCTGCAAGCTGGTATTCGAACCCGATAACGTGGATAACGCAAGTCCCGCCACTGTATCCAGAATGGGTATGGTGTTTATGAGCGCGTCTGTTCTACCATGGGCGCCCATACTGGAAGCATGGTTGAAAACCCGAGCCACGAACGAAGAAGCTGTTTTGAGAGTCTTGTTCAACAAGATTTACGGGGATTTAAATGAGCTTGTGGTCACGAAGCTAAAGTCTAAGATGTTTGTGAGGGAGGCTTGGTATATAAGGCAGTGTTATGATGTATTGGGGGGCATATTGGATATATCTGATGAACCTAGTACTACTACTACATATTATACACTCACGTGCAAAATAATCGATCCACACAAATTTTCGATGAATTTCAATCGCAAATAACTTTTTTATTTGATGTCGGATTTAAACGAATATTAAAGAATATTGTAGATAAATTAATGGACAATCGCTCACTTTTTAAAAAAATACTAAAAAATAGACGTACGTTTATAATATACAGGTTTAAACAAGAAGATGTTTTTTACCATAAGTTTAAGACACTCTGTAGAGTGGCAAAACCGTATATTCTAAATTAAGTTTTATTTATCAAGTCACATCTATTCTTAACAGTTTTGTTTTTGGTTCACCTCGATATATTTATTTTTGTGGAAAATATGGATTTTTTTAAAAAACATTGCAATTTCCAATATTTTCTGTATGAAGAACTAAGGTTGCTATGGTCCATCCATAGGCTATGGAGAATGACAGTGACAGTTTTGTTGAATCATCCCATTCGTGGACATGTCATACACGGCTTTCAAAAGCTATCAAATTGTTTTTTGCAAATTAATGTTTAAATTTTGAGGTGTCTTCTTACTTTATAAAATGGATATGTCTCCGACTGATGTTGCCAGAGCTATTAATTTAATCCAGGATGGACGGTCACAGTATTACGTGGCAAGTGTTTTAAACGTCATAAGAAGTAAAGTACAAAGGGCAACATCAGTCGGAGACATTTTTAAAAGTAAGAAGACACCTCAAAATTAACACATTAATTTACAAAAAACAATTTGATAGCTTTTGAAAGCTGTATATGACATGTCCAAGTATGGGATGATTCAACAAAACTGTCACTGTTATTCTATGGATGGACCATAGCAACCTTAGTTCTTCATACAGGAAAATATAGGAAATTGCAATGTTTTTAAAAAAAAATCCATATTTTCCACAAAAATAAATATATCGAGGTGAACCAAAAACAAAACTGTTAAGAATAGATGTGACTTAATTTAGAACAATATACGGTTTTGCCACCCTACAGAGTGTCTTAAACTTATGGTAAAAAACATATTTTTGTTTAAACCTGTATATTATAAACGTACGTTTATTTTTTAGTATTTTTTTAAAATGTGAGCAATTGTCCATTAATTTATCTACAATATTCTTTAATATTCATTTAAATCCGACATCAAATAAAAAAGTTATTGTCGATTGAAATTCATGGAAAATTTGTGTGGATCGATTATTTTGCACCTGAGTGTATGTTTTCTTAGCTATAATCTTACATTCCTTTATCCTTAGAATTCTGGACGGAAAAACAGTTAGAACGCCTGTTTCTATTCTCGTGCATGTGGTCTTTAGGCGCTCTGCTAGAACTGGACGAGAGAGCCAAACTGGAACAGTTCGCTCTAAAGCACCCCTCCAAAATGGATTGGCCGCGGTGTCTGGAAAACGAAACGATTTTCGAGTACGTTGTGAACCCCGAAAGCGGTCGTTGGGAGCATTGGAACAACAGAGTCGAACAGTTCATTTACCCGACTGATAGCGTTCTGGAATTCGTCGACATTCTAGTGCCGAATGTGGATAACGTTAGGACTGCGTTCTTGATTAACAATTCCGCGAAGCAAAACAAGGCGGTCATGTTGATTGGGGAGCAAGGCACGGCCAAAACCGTGATGATCAAAAGTTTTACTTCCGGTTTCGATCCGGATTTCAAGCTTAGCAAGTCTTTCAATTTTTCTTCCGCCACCACACCAAACATGGTGCAGGTAAGTATCTTTATACGGAGTCCAAAGGTTCTCCAAAGTTATTTTCAGAGGATTATCGAGTCGTATGTTGATAAAAGAGTGGGAACTACATATGGACCCCCCCATGGCAAAACTCTGACGGTTTTTATTGATGATATTAATATGCCTGTTATAAATGCTTGGGGTGACCAGATTACCAACGAAATTGTCAGACAATGTATGGAGTGTGGAGGTAATACATACGTTGGTAGTACTATTTCTCAAAAACATCACTTCCCTGATAGCAAAATTTGATTCTAAGAATCTTCTAAGAAGATATGACCCGGAATAATGGAATATTCTTAGAACCTTCCCTTATTGCTAAGAATGTTCTTAGGGACTTTTAAAACATTCAATAGATACCCTTTCAATGATGCAATTAGATTCTTAGAAGCTTCTTAAAACCTTCCTAAAAAGCATTCTAAGAACATTTTAAGAATACGTTTTTGGAATGTTCTTAGAAGGTTTTTTATGGAGCTTTTAGGAAGTTTTTGAGAATATTTCCAAATATGTCAGATACCCACGTTCTAATATGTTGGATTCTACATTCGTAAAATTCTTCAGGAGGCGACAAATACGCCTCACTGTCATAATATGACAGTGAAATGTATTTGTCGTCCCCTTAAAAAATTTTGCGACATATTAATATATATTTATTTAAAAATATTAAATGAACAATTTCACTTCTAAACCATAAGTTGTATGACATTATTTCATAAAAAGTAAAATAGGAAAATTTTGTGGGATAAGATTGAGGTTAAAGATAGTTAGGATTATTATACATAAAAATGTTAATTCAGAAATAAAAAATCGGTATACAAATTAATAAATATTTATTTTTAACATAAAATAAAATATAAAAAAACAAAATATTTCCTTATAAAATAATTCTTCATAAAAGAAAAAACCAAATAGTTCTTCATAAAAAAAACATTTTTCATTGTATTTAAGTTGGATTGAAGATTTTATGTAAAAGCAAGATAATTTAGATACCTATAGTAAAAGTATTTTTGTTATCGAATATTGTTTTAATTTGACAAATAAATAAATATTTTTTTATAATATTTTGGGTTGTGTTTTTTACTTAGTATTTAATACTAAGTATAGGTACCTTTATACGTAGATTATGCTATATTTTACTATTATATACACAGCAAACGAAAAATTATAGAAGTGTATAGGATGACTCCGCGTTTGAATATCAAATCTTAAAGTTTTATCATAACTGTATTGAATCGTGCTTTGTTTTTATATTTTTCGGCTCTATACCTATGCACGACCATATTTAAAGTCAAACTCAATGGTGTCTTACAAGATACATTATTTTGATTTTCTATATTCAACAGAGGAGTAGAAACTCGACCCTGTCGAATGGTGCAGTCATATATGTCTCTAGAAATTATTAAAAAAGGGTTCAGTCCAATGGTGCAGCAACTTCGGATTCCTATTCTCCTCAGAGACATAGAAACTCAAGCTTTTCGAATTTTACTGGCAATGATTTTCGTTAATGTCCCCGAGAATTATACAAAAACAGCGCAATGCAATATCGCAACGGTTTCGACTTCTCTTTACTCTACCAAGTTATAGAAACTGCAGTCTCTCTAATACTGTTCTAGTCAATATTTCTGAGAGTATAAAAAGAGGGTGTAATATTGCAAGAAGTTTTGATCTTTTGATGGATGAATTTTCTCATTTCTCCATATGATTTTGTTGAAAATAGTTCCTTTCTTTGGTTCCTTTGTCTGATTTTTATTTACCGTAACAACTCAGGTATGTAAAGCACAGAGGATATGATGTTAAGTATATTTATGTATTTTATAAAGTACCTATATTTGTATTAAAAATTTAAGAGGTTATGTTGAAAAATGATCGATATGCTATTAAACTTTAATAATTTAGTAATTAGGTCTGTTGGTAGACCCTGCACTATCTCCACTGGTATAGTTTTGTAATATTTAAATCTGGTTGATGAAAAAGTACACACCAGTGCAGGTTATTGTAGCATCTACGAACAAATGAATTAATGGCCCATTGGCAATTATTCCTTTAGGAAAAATATTCAACACAGCTTAATTAATTAATGAAATGAAAAAAATCACAATCATGTCGTATATAGTTTTTTTTAAGCATAAAATAATTTTTATATTAATACTAGTTCAAAAGTGAAATTACGACCTCTATACTGTGGAGAGTATTGAAACGCTCGACTGACGAATACCACTCTATACCGTAGGGAGATTTAGAAATCGATATTCAAACGTGGCGTCATCCTATACACCTCTATAATTTTCCGTTTGCTGTGTAGGTACCTAACTGAACTGAATATGCTTAACAGAATGTTCCAGGAATATTCCTAAATGAACTTTCTAGGTATAGAAATTACTTTCTCAACATTCTAAGCATATGTTTAGAGTGGATTAATTTTTACCACTAAACTTTGCACCTTCTAAGAACCTGCCTATAGGCCAGTGAGAATATTCTTAGGATTATGCTATATTTCTTTTAAGCATGTTCTTTAGAAGAAATATAGCATGATCCTAAGAATATTCTCACTGGAAGGTTTAAAAAACATTCTTAGAACATGACTAGAAGAAATTAGCATAATCCTAAGAATATTCCCACTGGAAGGTTTAAAAAACATTCTTAGAATAAACTGTGCTATCAGAGGTATGACCACCATTTTTTCCATTATCCATATTTGTGTACTTAAAAATGATTTGCTAAAATCATTCTAAGAAATAGCTCATGTTAATTAAAAAAACAAATATGAATTAATTGAACTTTTAAAGATGTTTTGAAAACAAAAACTTAAATAAAAAACTTTTCTATACTTGCCATAGTCCAGATAATAAAAAATATATATATTTTGTTGTTAGGTTTTTATAGTTTGGATAAACCTGGAGACTTCTCCTATATGGTGGACGTAATGTTTTTGGCTGCAATGATACACCCCGGAGGCGGTAGAAATGACGTACCACACAGGTTGAAAAGACAATTCTGCATTTTCAACTGCACACTTCCCAGCACAATATCTATGGACCTTATATTCAGTAAACCATTACAACTAAATCTATAAAAACCTAAACAAATCAAATATTCTTATTAGGCCAAATAGCTTGCGGTTATTTTTGCATTGAACGTTTTTCGCAAGAAATCGTTGACTTCATAGCAAATCTGGTGCCGCTTACCCGTAAAGTTTGGCAAGCGACTAAAATTAAAATGCTGCCGACTCCAGCCAAATTCCACTACGTTTTTAATCTCAGGGATTTGTCTCGCATATGGCAGGGGATTTTGTACGTGCAGGGTCCCGAATGCGACACCCTAAGTAAGCTGCTCAAACTGTGGAGACACGAGTGTCTGAGAGTCATAGCTGACAGGTACTATGCTCCACACCTCAAAGTCCCACCACGTGACCACGTACGGAACGCAGTCCTTTGAAAATTTGGCATTTAAGGCTTTTCAGGTTATGTATCTGTCAAAGTATAGTCAACGAAAGAAATAATATTATGTTTAGGCGTTAAAAATGTATAAATCTTTATAACATTACAATAACAATGGATGGTTTAAGAATTTAAGAATATAAATACTGCATTTAATAAAATTCTAAAGTGTATGGTGCCAAATAAGTAATATTTTTGTGCATTTGGTCCAAATATCTGGTTTTCTCCATAAAATAATTTTAACTAAACAGCATTTATTAAAAAAAATCTAGCTTCTCGAGAAGATCTATTATGGAATAAGAATATCTGTTTTAAAGGTAGGTTAATATATTTTAACAAAAATATCATCTAATTTTGTAATTTTAAGGTTAGAAAAATTTATTTTGACCAAAATAAATAAGTATTTTGAATTATTTAAAAGACTTTATAATATGGTATTTAAAAATGTGGGAGTTTTTCTTATCCAGCTTAAAGTGTACCTAAATAAAGTTTTGTCAATATAAATAGTTCAAAAGCTTCGACTGAACTTGATCTACATCGAAAAATCATTATAACTTTAAAATTTTTAATAAATCACATGTCATGGGAGTATTAAATATTTTCACATTGCAAGTTTCTCTAAAAATTGTTTGTTTTCTTATAATCTAACTTAAAGTAGGTATGCTGAGAGATATGCACAAGTTTTGTCATTAGAAGCATAAAAGCTTCAATTTAATTTGAACCATATTCAACAATTATTTAGTATACCTATATTTATTTATGACCATATTAACACACTTTTCCAAATAATCCACTTATTTATTTTGGTCAAAATAGATTTTTCTAACCTTAAAATACAAAATTAGATGATATTTTTTGTTATAATACATTAACCTACCTTTGACACAGATATTCTTATTTCATAATAGAGAAGTTAGATTTTTTTTAATAAATCCTGTTTAGTTAAAACAATTTTATGGAGAAATGTAGACCCAATGCACAAAAATATCACTTATATTGCACCTTACACTTTTGAATTTCATTAAATGCAGTATTTATATTTCTAAATTCTTAAACCATTGTTATTTTGATACTATAAAGTTTTATTAACTTTTAATGCTTAAACATAAGCGGTAACTCTATAAATATTATTTCTTTCATTGACTATACTTTGACAGATACATAACCTGAAAAGCCTTAAATGCCAAATTTTCAAAAGACTGCGTTCCGTACATAGATAACAAAGCCTTACATGGTCACGTGGTGGGAATTTGAGGTGTGGAGCATAGTACTTTGCTTCAACGTAAATTAAAGATTTTACCTATGCCTTTCCAACTAAATGTTTAGGTTCACCAAAGAAAGAGACAAGCAATGGTTCTGCAAGCTGATGGCAACTCTGGCCGAAGAGGAAATCCCCGAATATTACGAACATTACGTCGATGAAAATACGTATTGGGTGGATTTCATGAGGGATCCACCGGATGCGACAGGGGATGAACCTGATGATTTCAGCTTCGATGCTCCCAAAATATACGAAGAAATGCCTCCTTGGGACGTTCTTAAAGAAAAACTTTTTAGTAAGAAAACCGATAATCTTTTTTAGCTTATGTCGTGTACAATACGTATCTAAAGGTTTCATGGATCAATACAATGAACAAGTTTCGGGAACTCCCATGGACATGGTATTTTTCCTAGATGCCATGATTCATTTAATGATCATTTCAAGAATCATAAGAAGCGCGCGTGGTAATGCTCTTTTAGTTGGAGTGGGTGGTTCAGGAAAGCAAAGTTTAACCAGACTTGCATCCTTCATAGCTAATTACAAGAGTTTCCAAATACAACTGACAAGGTAAGTAGGGAGTTTGAAAATACGGTACCCTTGTGGAAATTATTAAAACAGAAAAACTCAGAATAAGACTTCATCAGAGATGTTGTATTTGGCAATTGGTTCGTTTTCAAAAAACACCCGCCTTCCGCTGTCTGAATTCCAATAATTTTATTTAAAAATTATCAGATCTTATTGATTTAAAAACCAAGTGAAAGCCTAACAAGCCCTTAGTAAACTCTTTTAGAAAATTTTTGTGTTGCTCTATAGCAATCCATACCATCCTTAATTAATACAGTAAACAATTTATATATCCCAGACATTTTTTCCGTTGCGTTACGTCCGTCGCGTTACCGATAGAATATTAAAAAAAAACATACTTATATATGGCAACTTTTTTGGTACTCACATGATCAACAAATGATGTTCGGACGTACACATTACCCAGCTGAATTTATTTATTCAATCAGGAAGAAGATATCGGTTGAAACAGGTGCGGGTAACGCGAATGTAATAATTGTTTGTCCGCTAAGTTACTCAAAAAAATAATAAAAATAAGGTAAGAAAAAATAATTTTTCATGTTTATGTTTATTTTAGGGCACCAAAGCTAATTGAGAGTAATTAATGACTGTAATGTCTTATTATTATTTTTTAAATATGGTTTCACAAAACTTTTTCCACTGCGTTACCGAGTCCACTACGTTACCTTATGGTAACGCAATGGAATTTAGGGTAACGCATTTTTCGACAACAAAGTGGATTTACCGTCGCTTTTATTAAAAGTAGTTTATGATAAACCAATTTAATATTATTTGTGATAACAACATATGATATAGATTATATCCAAGGGAAAATTCCACGCAATATACAAGTACTAAAAGGGACCTTCACCAGCTTATAGTCAAAGAAAAAGGGTGTCTACAATTTAGAAATCTAAGTTGTTATTCTGCAAGTGAGCACTACAAGGGATTTTGTTTATGCATTACTCTAAAATCGCACCACCCTTTATAGTTTCTTTTTTACGTTATCTGAGTAAGTGCTGTGTGTACCCTAGTCCGTTGTGATACCAATGTCTATTTCGTTACTTTTTTTAGTTTTTGTTAAAAAAAATCCTTAAAATGATTTTACTATCACTTGGTAATACCTGTTTATAAATTAGAGTTTAACTCACTAATACAGTGACTAAAAGTAAATATTAATGGTCTTGTTTTTTTAACAAGAATCGGAATGGTGTCTTTTAAAAAGTAACTTAACTAACATAAATATTTAAAAAAGGCATACAATTTTTAATAAAAAATAAAATTGGAGTCAAAAGTTTGTGAACTACGTACATTTTATTTCAAATTATTTTTATAACAACTTTTTTTATTGAATTAAATTTTGGATTTCAAATTTGTAACACAGTGGAGATATATAAAGCTAGCTAAACACATTTTTCTGAAAAAAACGTAAAAAAAATTAAAAAATGCACTGCCTGTCTAACAAAACTCTAAACATTTATGAAAATCCAAACAAAAGTCAATTTAAGCAAAAAAAAATTGTAATCTTCATTTTCCTGAAAGCGGGTGTTTTTTGAAAATGACCCACATGGGTCAATATACTTTTTAGCTACATCGCTTCACTTGCTACGGTCTAAGTTGAATAAAGTACATAATTTTGCTGTAAGAGAGTTGTTACAAAATGTAACAAAATGTAATAGTAATGTTTTATTATTGTGACGCACTGCAATAAACTTGGCTTATAACAACACATCTCTGAATAATTCCAAATACTCTCCTGAAAGTCTTATTAAACCAGAATAACTCTTCCAGAAGACTTCCAATCTTGCATGTCTTATTCCTGGTTAAAAAATGTTTACAGCAGTTAACATTCTAGATCATACAACGTATCAAACTTAATGGACGATATGAAATACCTGTACAAAACAGCAGGTTTCGAAGGAATAGGAATAACCTTTATATTCACCGACAACGAAATCAAAGAGGAGACCTTCTTGGAGAGTTTAAACAACATTTTGAGTTCGGGGGAAATCGCCAATTTGTTTGCCAAAGACGAAATGGACGAAATACAATCGGATTTAATACCTGTGATGAAAAAAGTACAACCGAAACGACCACCAACTGTGGATAATCTGTACGATTTCTTCATCACGAGAGCGCGGTCAAATCTTCACGTTACCCTATGTTTTTCACCGGTAATACCAACTCATCATGTGTAATTTGTATTAAAACTATTTTTAGGTCGGCGAAAAATTCAGGAGCAGAGCCTTGAAATTCCCGGGACTTATTTCGGGATGCACAATCGACTGGTTCCAAAAATGGCCGAGAGATGCTTTGGTAGAAGTGTCCGAGCATTTCCTAAAATCGTACAAAATGGTTTGTACACCGGAAATCAAGGACGAACTTATAATAATCATGGCGGAAATACAGGATGGAGTGTCTATATTTTGCGACAGCTACTTCAACAAGTAAGACGAAATTTGATTTTTTTTCCTCCCATGAAAAATTCCTATAGATTTTAAAAATAAAAAATTTTCATGGGAGGAAATTCGTGTTGAAGTGTGTTATGTAATGGCCCATTACACAGTTTCATGGCTTAATAATGGCAGTTTTATCCAAAGCTTTCCTTGCACTGGACCTTTACAGGAATATATGTTTCAATAAAAATATTAATTTTGATAAAAGGCTAATATTTGTATATTTTACCATAAAATAAGTTAATGGGATTTAAAAAAAAAACATTGAAGTGCCAAATGTTTTCTGTATACAAAATTTATATGAACCTTTAATTATCCTTTACTTAACGTCATATTTTAAAAATGACGCCCAGTGTAATTCCTATAGTTTTATTAGTGTATTATACCACACACAAAATAATAATAATAATACCTAATGGTTGTTAAGTTTAAATGAGTAAGTAGGTGCATTTTTGATTTTACAAATATTAGAACTCTTATTACAGACAAAATACCGCCAAAGAATTTAGTAGAGAGGTTTAATTGATAAGGTCGAAATTGGGGCAATTGCGAATAAAAGAAATTAATGGCAAAGAAAAGTTTTCTTAGAAAACCTGGTTTTCTTTGTTATAGAGAAAAATCTACCAAAAAAATCAAGTAAACTTATTCGTAAATATATACGGTAAACCACATAGTTATTGGACCCCTAGGAATATTATTTATTTAAAACTTACATATGCTGTTGTTTTAAAGATTTTTGTTTTTTTCTTTCTATTTTCTTTCTATTTATAGAACTCTTGTTTTTACAGTATTAATGTTAATTGTCCAAAACCTATAAAGTGTCCGATAACTGCCCTATTTAAATTTTAAATATTTTTAATTTAGTTTAAGGATTTTTTCATTTATTTAAATATTATGGATTCCATTTATTACCTGATAAACAGTTTTTAAAATAAAATTTTTATGTTTTACTTATAAAGGTCTTTATTACAACACATTGCTTTTTCTTGTAAATTTATGAATGTTTCACGATAATATATTAATAAATGTAATGGATAAATATTTAATATGGTGGATTAAATGTGCTTTGTTTATATTTATTGAGTCGAATATTTCACGATAATAGAAAATTTTTATTCCGACCATCAGAAATTGTATGGTGACGGTAGGGATAACAATTTCTGATTATCGTGGAATATCTTTATTTAATAAATATATACCTAGGTACCACATTGAATCCACCACTTATCCAATAAAAATTATTTAAATAACCACTATAGAATCTTTAACACCCCATATCAGACGGTTTAGGACATAATATGTACAGGGTGGTCCACGTAAGGTGACCCATATACTTATCTCAGAAACTACTGGAGTCTCAAAAAATTTGCAAGGGAGAAATATTCACGTAGAAAAAAATATTTTTAAAATATTATATTTATTTTCGGTTTTCCGTGGGACGATACCAACTTTCTTATTTTCAATGGAACACCCTGTATTTTTTAGTATTTTTAGATTCTACACACTAAATAATAGTTCTACACACTAAATAATAGTTAGGAAAATGTTAATACTTTTTGAGTAAAATTAAAATTTATCAACATTTCTCTTAATGTAGACATTTGCTAAAAGTTAAAAATAACCAACTAAAACTTATTATTTTTTATATTATGTAGTATTCATCTCTTTAATAATAACCAAGCTATAAGTTAAATCTTTTTTTTTTATAAAATATTACAGGGTGTTTTCTATGCTCCGTTGAAAATAGCGATTTTAAAAGTTTAAAATCTTGTTTTTTTTAATGGAACACCCTATATATTTTTTCATAATTGGATAAAATATATAATTTCTTTTTATAAATATATGTCCTATACCTAAACCTAACAGAAAAAAAAATATTCGCATTTTTTCGCAATTAGTGCGTATGGTAATTATTATTATAATAATATATATTTATATATAAGAGCATTTTTATTTGTTGTTATTTTAATTAATTTCTTTTAATAATGGAAATATAACTAAGCTAATTGGAAAATCCACAAATAAAAGGTAAATCTGCTATTACTTTAATTCGATAATTACGATTGTTACCTAGTTACAAAAAGATTGGAGATATTATATACCTGCATTTTAAAGGAAGGTGGTCATATTGAACATTTAATTTAAAATATATTGTTTATACTTTTTTATTTATTTTTCGGATTAAATCTGCTTCCATTTTAATCATTTAATATTGTAGTATACACATCAAAAAGAATATTTTAATCGTGAGAAGAGTAAGGTAATTTATTAATAATAAGGTAGAAAATGAATTTTTACAATTTTACAATTACCTTAGTTATATTTCCATTATTAAATAATAAATTAAAATAACAACAAAAATGCTCTTATATATAAATAAATATTATTATAATAGGCAATAACCATACACATAAAGCTACTAATTGTGAAAAATGCGTATATGTTTTTTTGTTGGGTTTAGATATAGGACATTTATATATAAAAAGAAAGGAAATTACATATTTTATCCAATAATGTAAAAATATATAGGGTGTTCCATTGAAAAAAAAACAAGATTTTAAACCTTTAAAATCGCTATTTTCAACAGAGCATAGAAAACCCTGTATAATATTTTATAAAAAAAAAGATTTAACTTATAGCTTGGTTATTTTTAAGTTTTAGCGAATGTCTACATTTAGACAAATTTTGATAAATTTTAATTTTACTCAAAAAGTATTAACATTTTCCTAATTAATTTATTTACAAAGTATACCTAAAATAGTGTGTAGAATCTAAAAATGCAAAAAAATACAGCGTGAAAATAAGAAAGTTGGTATCGTCCCACGGAAAACCGAACACCCTGTATAAATTAAAAATATAATATTTTAAAAATATTTTTTATAACGCGAATATTTCTCCCCTACAAATTTTTTGTGAGATAAGTATATGGGTCACCTTACGTGGACCACCCTGTACAGTTCTATTGTAGTTAGCCTTTATAGGACCTTTAAATCATTAAAGGCACGTTTATTGAAAACCTTTTTTTAAAACACATTGTTTTGTGCTGCATAGATTCAGAAGAAGGAGTTATGTTACCCCGAAAACATTTATATCCTTCTTAAACACGTACAAAGTGCTGTACAGAGCCCAAAAGGAGAAAATTGACACCTTGGCGATACGAATGAGCACCGGTTTGAACAAACTAGTTGAAGCGCAGGTAACCGTAGACGAAATGCGTAAAGAGTTGGCGATAAAAGAGCAAGAGATGGAGGTAGCTTCGGAGGCGGCCGAAAAAGTGCTGATCGAAGTGCAAATAGCTTCGGAAGGCGCGACCAAAATCAAAGAGGAGGCTCTGGTTGTCAAGGAGAGAGCGGAAACGCTCGTGGAGCTAATCAGCATCGACCAGGCCGAGGCGTCGGAGAAACTGAAGGCCGCCCAGCCGGCCTTGGACGCAGCTGAAGCCGCGCTTCTCACCATCAAAGCTGCGGATATCGCCACGGTGAGAAAGTTGGGAAAGCCGCCGTATCTGATCACTTTGATCATGGACGCAGTGTTGATTTACTTCAAGAAGAAGATGGAACCCGTCAAGCCGGACTTTGAGCGCAACTTTTTGAACGCTTCGTGGGCCGAATCCTTGAGAGTTATGTCCGATACAGCTTTCCTCAAAAAGTTGCAGGAATATCCGAAGGATACCATCAATGCGGAGACCGTGGATTTGCTAAAACCATACTTGCAATACTCCTTGTATACGTACGAAGCCGCGAAAACTGCTTGCGGTAATGTGGCTGGGTTGATTTCTTGGACAATTGCGATGTCGTCTTTCTATGAAGTCAACCGGGAAGTTTTACCACTAAAAGTATGTACATTTTTATCTCTTAACTATGGTTTCGCGTAAAAATCGAACAAATTTTGGACATTTGTTTGCAAGTGATGCCAGAATTGTGTGGTTTTCATGCCTTAAGTCACTGTACTGTGTTAAAAATAGATAAACTTCGATATTTTGTAATTACATTTTTATTTATAAACGTATCTATTTGAAATTAAGATAAAATGTGCACCTTATTAATGTAAATAAAATTAGGTTTCTACGAGAGACATTTTTAAAAGGGCATAATACTAACGTGTTTTACAAAGTATATATTCTTTTATCTACTTTTATAAGACAATGTATTATATATTACATATTATACATTATATATATATATTATATATAACATACAATTCTGACATATTTATTTTAAAAAATCGCAATAGATGGAGCTAAAATTCCTTTAATTTATAAATTTAAATTTTTTTATGGTAAGCTACCATTGGAAGCATGAACTATAACTATAACTAATGTACTATAAACTCAAAACATTATGTTTATTAAAATGAATAAACTAAATAATATTTATAGACAGTATCAGCAAGTTAGAAATTATATCCTACTTTAATTTTATTTTTTGCACAACCAAGCTTCAATTTATTTTTTACTCAATAAGCAAGCTTTAATTTTAATTCCAAACTGAGGAAAGTAATATTTATCCAATAAATAAATTAGAATAAAGACTTTATATTTTATGTTGCGATCGGGTATTTAGATATATGTATATTTTTTAATCAGTTGTTTTTGTAATTAGTTATTTTGCATTTTTTATATTTAATATAATGCTATACAGGGTGTTTCGCAAACGATATGGATTTGAAATTTTAATAGCGTATACAATTTGATTTAGACTGTACCTAAAGTCAATAGTTTTAAAGATATTATTTGTTTTCGTTAAAATTTTGCTAAATGCACGTTAATCAAAAATAGCCACTAATTTTTTTGTTATTAGGTTTGCTGACATGGGGTTGGAATTTTTGGAATATTAAAACATTGTTTAAATAATTTAATTTTTTAAAGGTTTTTCAACAACTTCAAACAATAATAACGTTTTTATTATAAATGTAAAACCCTGTATGTTTTTAAAAAATTTTTGATTGGTATTATAATAAATGTTTCCTAAAGTTAAAATTTTAGAGACATATTTAATAATTTCTAATATTTTCAATACTATTTTGTATCAACAAACCTGAAATTCTACATGTGACAGTATCCATAGTTACCACTTAACCTGTTTAAAATTAATTAAAATATTTGATTGAAAAATTAATAACTCGAAAAATATTGACTTTAGGTATATGATATGGTATAGTCATTTTATTAAGAATTTTATGTAGAATTAAAAAATGTAAAAATATTGAGGTGTTCTGTTTGAAATAAAAAGTTAAAGACAATTCCGGTAAAACAGGAAGTATTATTTTGTTCAAAATAATTTAAGAAAAAATCGAAATCGAATAATTTACGCTATTAAAATTATTTTAAATCGATGTCTTTCGCGATTCCCTAGAAACTTCTAACGGACTACGTACGTGAAACACCCTGTATATTAAACGTCATTTATGTGTTATGCTTTACTTAATTATTAATAAAAGATTCAACTATATTTGTATAAAATTGACAATATGTACCAAACTAAACATTTATGAATACTGCTACTGCTAATTCAAAATTGATCCTGGCCACAGAAACATCATTTGCATAAAAAAGTTAATATATCAAATAATAGTCAAATTTATAAAACAATGTTGCTTCTTCGATATATATTTACCCTTTAAAAATTGTTAAATTTTAAATTAAATTATTACCAAATTTAAAATGAAATAAAAAAGTTATAAAAAAAATGAAATTTCTTCATTTTTAACACAGTGAAGATAAAAACAAAAATAAAAACAAAGTTGTCAATGGACAAGTTTCGATCATTTCGCGAAACCGTAGTTAAATTTTCCAATTATTCATTTCACGATATTTTAGGCCAATCTAGCCATCCAACAGGCAAAACTGAACAAAGCAGAAGGCGATCTAAGCGACGCTATGGAGTTGTTGAGAGTCAAAGAGGAAGAAGTCCGCGTATGTCAAGAGCAATACGAAGAGGCCAATAGTTTTAAACAAGTTACAAAACCACGTTTTGCACCTTTCAATATCTACAACGTGTTATTTGTTTAGGCCGTTTATGATGCGGCCATGAAGGTGAAAAACAAGGCGGACGCTGCCACAGCTTTGATTGAAGGTTTGGCAGGAGAAAGGGTGCGTTGGAGCGAGCAGCTGCTTCAGTTTAAAGCTGAAACTGAAAGATTGGTTGGCGATGTGGTTCTACTGACGGGATTTTTGGGCTACACTGGACCTTTCAACCAGGAATTCAGGGTCGTAATGCAGAACACTTGGTTGGAAAATATAATCGAGAAAAAAATACCGATTACGCTTAGCCTGAACATTATAGAAACGTTGGTTGATAATGCAACAGTAAGTTTCAACAGTAAGATTTATTAAATGGTTTAATGATTCGTTTTTAAGATTGGCGAATGGAATTTATGCGGACTGCCCAATGACGACCTATCAGTTCAAAACGGTATCATCGTGACGAAGGCTTCAAGATTTCCACTTCTCATTGACCCGCAGAGTCAGGGTAAATTCTGGATTAAAAAGATGGAGGCTCAAAATAATCTTTTGGTCACCACTTTAAATCACAAGTACTTCAGGTATATATAGTAACACTTTTTATCCACCACAGGACTATACAGGGTGTCCGGGAAAAGGAGGTCAATCCGTTAACCATATATTCCTTGAGTTAAAACAATAAGACTTTCATAATACCATTTTTCAATTTAGAGCTTCATGTTCGATATACAGGGCGACAAAGTTCGAAATTTAAAACTGATTTTTTTTAATAATTTAAATAATTGATAAGATATTAAGTTTAAATTCGGTACACTACTTCAACATAAATAGTTACATTTTTTGAAACCAACAAAACAAAAAAACAATTGTCAAATAATACAAATAGGGGGGTCCTCACTGACTCCCCCTATTTTTTAGTACGTGCGCCAATGACTTCCAAACGGTATTTTTTCAGGTAATCATTTATTGTTAAAAAAAATTTGTCTCTTATAAAATTTTGATAAAATGATTTGTTTTAGAGATAATTTGTAAAGTATGGGTCAATCCATATCAAATTTTTGAAATTTAATTTATTATATATATTTTAAAAGGTCTCTAATACGCCTTTAAAATAAGTCACCTTTCTACTTTTAATAGTTTACGAGATATCGCTATTTTTGTAAGTACTTGCAAAACCCAAATTTATCGGAATTTTTTGATTTTCAAAAATCAATAAAACAAAAACCACCCATCGAAAAAAAATCATATATGGGATTTTTGAGTTTTTTTAGTGAGGTAAACAAATTTACCAAAAATTATCAAAATCGGAGATGGTGGGGGAAGAACCTTTGGTTGATTTGATATGGACTGACCCATACTTTACAAATTATCTCTAAAACAAATCATTTTATCAAAATTTTATAAGAGAAAATTTTTTTTAACAATAAATGATTACCTGAAAAAATATCGTTTGGAAGTCATTGGCGCACGTACTAAAAATAGGGGAAGTCAGTGAGTACTGGACCCCCCCTATTTTGATTATTTGACAAGTGTTTTTTGTTTTGTTGGTCTCAAAACATGTAACTATTTATGTTGAAGTAGTGTACCGAATTTGAACTTAATATCTTATCAATTACTCGAATTATTAAAAAAAATCAGTTTTAAATTTCAAACTTTCTCGCCCTGTATATCGAACATGAAGCTCTAAATTGAAAAATGGTATTATGAAAGTCTTATTGTTTTAACTCAAGGAATATATGGTTAACGGATTGACCTCCTTTTCCCGGACACCCTGTATAATAGGTTTTTGATGCGATGAATTTGATTCCGACCTCTACTATTGTTTCCCCATAAAATGCTATCTAAAAGTACCACTCTTTTTCCTTTTGAATACTTTCCTCTTTGATAAATCATTAGTTATGGGATTTTAAAATTATTACCTATTTGTCTACGCTAATTATAATCTTAGGTGCAATGGAATAAAATTATAAATAAATCTTATCCGAAATCGGCAGAAAAACGTCAACAATCGGCAGTAAATTAGAACTTTACTGCCGATTTAATACGAGTATTGTATGCAACCCATTATACATTTTAAGATGTGTCTACTGCTCCTCAGCAGCAACTAAATAATTTTTAAGAAAAAAGCACCGTTGCAACGCGTTGCGGTGGTCGATTGGACCCTTTCATAAAATGTTGTTTAATAAAAATAAAAAGTTAATTTTATAAATTAGATTAAAAAGTCGAAAATATAGAATAACCGTCACAACAAACAGTATACGTAGACACTTCCTACATTCAAATGACATTTGATTTGATCATCAAATTTAATAATTATGAATTATTATTAGTATTATTAAATGTGATTTCGGATAAAATTTAATATGCACCTCTGCATTAAAGTCATTTTTTATCACTCACGTGGTTATTTGCCTCGGCTTTCGCCTCGGAATAATTTCCACATTCGTGATAAAAAATACGACTTTACTGCCTTGATACATAAATAACTATTATTTTACCTAAATTTTAATTTTTAAGGGAAATTGACCTACTTTTTAAATTTTACTACATAAAATAGTGTGATTTTACCTAAATTCTTTTTTTTTAACAGAAATTAACCATTGTCCTATGAAAAACAAATTAAAATACCTTTTCTCAAACGGGCCACCTGAATTAGGTCAAAATTAGTTTTTGTTTGTAGATACATTTTTTTGATAGTATTTTACATCACTAACACTAATCCTAAAGGATTTTGTAAAAAAAAAATTTCAATTGACATATTCATGATATTAAAAGTCAAAGTTTTTAATAATTAAAAAATAAAAAAATTCATTATGGCTGAACTAATTATCCGATTCCAACGATATAACTAGCGTTGGAATCTTGTTTTGACATAGATTCTTTGTTATTTTTTTCAATTGTCCTATTTTCATTTAGGTCGATTTTTTTTTGTTTTTTTATACCAAATTCGGAAATAATTGCCTTCTGCGCCAGCTATCGACTCGAGAAAAAAAACACATATACTCCAATCATTTCTCGAAATTATGCTGCTGAGAAAAAAAATGGCCCGCAGGTTGACAAAAAGTTATTCGTCCTTTTGTGGCCGCGCGCGGTGTCAGCTCACGCTCCGAACCGTGTACGCTGTACGCGCTTGTGACGCGACGTCTTACGGTGGTCTGGAACCTGCGGGCCATTTTTTTTCTCAGCAGCATAATTTCGAAAAATGATTGGAGTATATGTGTTTTTTTTTTCGAGTCGATAGCTGGCGCAGAAGCCAATTATTTCCGAATTTGTTATAAAAAAAACAAAAAAAAATCGACCTAAATGAAAATTGTACAATTGAAAAAAATAACAAAGAATCTATGTCAAAACAAGATTCCAACGCTAGTTAAATCGTTGGAATCGGATAATTAGTTTGAGGAGATCTGCAAATACCCCCCCTAATAAACAATCCGTGTGTTATTACGATCCTAATTGTTTAAAATAAATGTATTCAAAAAGCCATGTAAATAAAACTAACATTTAAATTTAGCGCAACGGAAATACAAGTGACATATAAAAGGTAGCGTGCCATTGGTTAGAAAGACTCTCCTGATTAAGTGGGAAAAGGTAGGGGGAAAGAATGCTAGACGCAAGGGAAGATAGGGGAGAACATTCATTCGAGCAGGGCCTTTTTCGATGAGCAGAGCCGAGCAGCGACAAGGGTTATAAAAATTTGTGTGTGCAGAAAAGTGTTGGAATTTGTAGGTTTGTACATTTTAAATAACTAAATTATTGTAGTATAAATATTCCCGAGCATTTTGGTATAATTAGTTTACACAAACACCTTGTGTAAAGATAAATATTCGATCAATTGACTTGGCGTCATCGTTCGATCTATTTAGCTGTAATGGCTGCCGTTTAAAACAAACCACGCTGTAAAATTTACGTTTAAAACTAGGTATTTCGTATTATAATTTATATTCTAAGTTGTAAACAATTGGTACTTGATTTTATCTAATAAAAGGCAGGGAATTTTAACGAGTAATTATCAAATTAAAAGAGCAAGAATTTACGGTTATTTCATCAAATTAAAATAGGCAGGACCGTATTCGATTTAATTAAGCTAAATGTCAGGGCAGCACTTAAGATTATTTAATTAATTTTAATAAATATTTCAAAAGGGGATTTTCTATAGACGCTGTGTAAATTAAGTGTATTTAATATCGATTTTCTTGAATACGGGATTTATAAAATTGTACTCGCGGATTCACATTTATGTCCCGTAATTATTTAAGTAAATTTTACCAGTCATTTTTAAATATTTGGTATTACGTTTGGAGTGAGTGGCAACAGTAATTGTACGATAACGACATTTGATTTATCCACTTTCCGTGGAGTCCTGACACAATGAGCCCATTTTGAATTTCTATCCTGTAAATTTTAAGAGGTGTGTAAAGGTCTGTATTCATCTGAATGCGCAACGCAGAAATTGCCCTTTGTGATTTGGTCAATTTATTACCTAGTATTTTATGGTAATTATTAAGTTATTAAAGTTTGCCGACTAATGAGGCATAACGGGCGATTGCGGACCTTCAATTGGAATGACCTCGAAGCCGATTATTATTTACTCCTTTTCCAACAGTTTATTGAGCCTGAACTCTAATAAATATTACATGAAAATTTGTGTAACAGTAAACTTAAATTCAACAGTAAATAATAAATATAAAAACTTTATTTGGATGATGGAGGCCTATTGCAGACGGAATGCTTGATGAATAAAGTTAAATTTAAAATACAAAAATAGAGACTAAGACTCAATCTACTTTCACCAAACAAACAAACAAATAAACAAACAAATCAGCAAAAAGCGAAGATAAAAATTAAAAATGAAAAACGAGAGCTAAGCTCTAGTATGATGTATTATTTATCTAATGGTATTTATATATTTATTTATATTTGGGTTGTAGTCGCAGTAAGGAGATATTGTGTGGTTTTAAGAGGTTGTAGGAGGTCCTTTTCTTTCAGAGTTCACTAAGTTAAATGTCGTTTGGGTTGCGGTTATTTTTGTTGCCCTATCCAAATAAATATCATTATTGTTTGTTATAAATTGTAAATATTTTATACGTGAAACTCACTCCCATAATCCCTCATTTTGAAAGGTTTTATGAGCGATACTTATAAAAAATAAACGGGAGCCTTCCGGGTTTTTGACCTGAGTTCAAACGTAACTTAGTGCCTTTTATTTACTGTATTTTTATTTCCCTTTTAAATACTTTCCCCATGAATACAACACCTCACAAGTACCTTGGGTTACTAAATTAATGAGCTTTATTACCGTAAGTATTTATTTGATTTATTTGTCGTAATTTAATATAACATTTGCCGTGGTGTTATATTTCATTTATCACTTGGGGTGTAACTTTTACGGATTCTTTGCTGGGGGGGGGTGTGTACGCTTACAAGTTTAGCCATAATGATTTTTTTTTATTTTTTAATTACTAAAAACTTTTACTTTTAATATCATGAATATGTCAATTGAAAATTTTTTTTTTACAAAATCCTTTAGGATTTGTGTTAGTGATGTAAAATACTATCGAAAAAATGTATCTACAATCAAAAACTAATTTTGACCTAATTCAGGTGGCCCGTTTGAGAAATTCTGACCCACCTCAATATTTGGATTTTAAAAATAATGAATGTAAATTTTGTAGTCAGCAATTGTATGGTTATTTACAAAAACATTTTGAAAGTGTCGCCGCTTAAAAAAAATTAAAAGGTATGGTGGTATTATAATATTTTTACAAGATCAGTTATTTTCATGTTTTAAATGGCGTTTATCAAACTTGATACATAATATACTATTATCTACTCCTGAATTGTCAAGCTGTGACTTTTTGTCATTTTAGTCACGTAGTGAAGTTAGCAACAGCGGCTAATGGACATTTTAGTCACTGCCGCCTTGAAAATTAATAACGACTAAATCCAAAGCCGGTTCTTTCTCCATAAAATAATTCTCAAACTTTATAACGTGCTGACATCGCTTATGTCATTCTTCCTGGGAAAATGTGGAAAAAATCCTCACACAGTTTATCTACTTGTGTAAAGTTATAGCTTACATTTCTCTCAGCAACATATTTGTTTATAAACAGCCTTATAAGGCTGCCCAGACTGAGATTGAGATCTGGGTGATATGGATCCATCCATCCTCGAGGAAGCCTCAAAACTGTAAATCCTGCATTTCTCATAATAGTATCGATTTCGTATATTTTATACTTTGGTTTATGAGCTTTTACTAAAGAATATAATTCTGCTTATAACATTTCTTCTGAAAATGGAATATTTCGTTCTATTAGCCATTTCTTTATGTCATCTTTTCTGGTCGTTGAAGTACATTTCTCAGCCTGCACCTGATTTTTTATTTAAAATCCATGGAGGCTACTTACTACTAGGTTCTTTAAAAATAATTGTCAATTTACCATAATTTGTTAATACTTATATCAATAAAAACGTACCCAACCCTAACAAAAATTTTCAAATGGATTATAACCTATTTTTATTTGCATTAATGTTACTTACCTCTTTTAAACATACCTTAACTTTATAAGAAATTCTTGTTTACCTTAAATACATATAATTCTATTCTTATTGTATAAATAAATGGAAAATTTACTATTTTTACTCTCAAATATCTTTAATATTTATTATATTATATTTAATATTAATGTTGATATTTAAACCTTTATTAGTTCTCTGTGCGGCCGAGATTGGCCGTATCATGTATCTAGAGCTCTTTTCTTTCGAATGCGTTCTTTAAAGTTTTGCGCTCACTGCAACTTTTTAAAGTCTCTAGCTAGATTTATCGAGTTGTAGGGTAAACCACATAGTTATTGGAATATTATTTATTTAAAATTTATATTATATAAATTATATATGCCGTTGTTTTAAACATTTTAGTTTTTTTATTATAAATATATAAAAAAGATAGTTTGTTTGTTTAAACTTTATTTACGTTTACAAAAAAATAAGAATATTTGAATTTTTAATAATAGTTTTATAAAAACATGCAGAAAAGTATAGTAATTGGACATTTTTTATAGTAATTGGACACATGGACCATAATATTGGACATTTTTATATAAACATAACAACTTTACATCAAATAACATAAATTGTTAAATATTTTTTAAAGATAAATTGCTTTTAGGTAATTTTTTTATTTCGTTTTTGTAAATATCACATAGGTAATTCATATATTTCTTTCTCGGATTCTTCATCCCTTTTCTGGATTCTGAAGGTAACTACTAATTCCTTGGTTTGACTTCTGAAATAGTTTGTTGCAAATATCATTAAGTGTGGTATCTCTAGTTTGTGAAGCATTTATAATGTTTAGGCCGGAACAGGATGACTATATATATCTAATATTTTTTCGGGTGGTATGTTAAAAGTATTTTCCGAATTTATTAATTTTGTTGCCATTACTTTTTTATGTTCTTTATCATGTACTGTATTTAAATCACTGTTATTCTGCAAGATGTCCTGTGACGAAGAAATCACTATATTATTTTGGTACCTATTTTCATAAATTTTGCAACATAAAATCCCATCTCTAGTTATGGTCGAAATGAATTAATTTTTTGCTTAAACCAAGCTCACAAAGTTCAACTAGAGATCTCTAAAAAGATGTTAAGAATTTTGAAAGGGAAGAGTAATACTTTTAGATGGCGTAACAATTTTAAATACCTCCTCCAACTCTTGTAGAAATCATATTGAAGACGCTGTATCACTGGGTTACCCCATGCTGATAGAAGACATTGCCGAAGAGTTGGATCCAGTTTTGGACAACGTTTTGGAAAAAAACCACATCAAAATCGGAACCACTTTCAAAGTAAAAGTAGGCGACAAAGAAGTGGACGTCAACAAAGACTTTAAAATGTTCGCGACCACCAAGTTGGCGAATCCCATGTACACCCCCGAAATTTACGCCAAGACTTCCGTCATCGACTTCACCGTAACGGTTAAGGGCTTGGAGGATCAGCTGTTGGGTCGTGTGATATTAACTGAAAAGAAAGAGTTGGAAACTGAGCGCACAAACATGATTAGAGACGTCACGGCGAACCGGCGTAAAATTTTGGAGTTGGAGGAAAACCTCCTGTACAAGTTGACAACCGTTCAGGGTTCTCTATTGGACGACGATACGGTTATAGAGGTGTTGAACGTGACCAAAAACACCGCAGCTGAAGTGAGGGAAAAACTGGCGATCGCGAAAGAGACCGAGATCAAAATCAACGCTGCCAGGGAGGAGTTTAGACCTATAGCCACCAGAGGCAGTGTGTTGTACTTCCTCATCGTCAGCATGTCCTTGGTGAACTGCATGTATCAAACGTCCCTGGTGCAGTTTTTGGAGAGGTTTGTATGGCACGCCGTTTTAGCATTTATTAGATTTAAAGATTAAAGTTTAGCACTTAAATTATGTTTTAACAGGAATTTATAGTTAAATTTTTTTAAACTCAAAACAATTGATAGTCAAAAAATATTTTAAATATGAAATGCAACAGTGAAAATTTATGTTTAAAAATATTGATTTTTAAAAGTTTTGGTTGTAATATTTTATTCTACAAAATTATTGGTTTAAATTTTTAAAGAGTCATTTAAATGATAGTTGATAAATTTTTAAAACAAAAATTCTCACATTACATTAAATGTAAGTTTTAAATTTTAAAGTAGTAATTTTTGGATTAAAAATTTATCGACTATCATTTAAATGACTCTTTACAAATTTAAACCAAAATTTTCTATTTTTATCAATTTTAAAGTGATATATTTTTAAGACAAAATTTATAACTTTACATTTAAAAGTAAGTCGATAATTTTTAAATTACAAAGTGTAAACGTAGCTTTAGTAGAAGGCACAAGAGTCTGGGATCGGAGCCACGATGCAGCCAGTTTGATCCGTTGATGTTTTTTAATTGTCGAATTAATTTAGTACAATAGGCACTAAAAATGTTGTTGTTCTATTATTAAATTTATGTAATAAAGAAACATTTCATTACAATAATTTGTAAAACGCGTCAAACATTTATGGAGCAAGCACGATTTGGCAACACTGCGGATCAAACTGGCTTCATCGTGGCTCCGATCCCAGACTCTTGTGCCTTGTACTAAAGCTACGTTTACACTTTGTAATTTAAAAATTATCGACTTACATTTAAAACCACTTTAAAATTTAAAACTAACATTTAAATGTAATTTTTGTATTGAAAATTTATCGACTATCATTTAAATGACTCTTTACAAATTCAAACCAATAATTTTGAAGAATAAAATATTAAAATTCCGTTTTTTAAAAATTAATATTTTTAAACTTAAACTTTTACAGTTGCATTTTATATTTAAAATATTTTTTGATTATCAATAGTTTTGAGTTTACAAAAATGTAACTTTTTAAACTATTTTGTTAGAAAATGTTTTATATGTGTTTTTGTTTTAAATGGCTTGATACTATTTTTTAATACTAAAAAATTTAACTTTACCAAATTAATATCAATAATTTTATAAAATATTTATTTAAGTTAACACAATGCCACCCAAATAAATTATACTTGGGAAATTATTTTTATTAAAAAATGAAAGTTAAAAATTTTTGCAAACATTGATAGAAAATAATATTGTTTAATACAGAAGTAAACTGTTGGTTAGTAAATTTTGTCTTTCAATAAATGATAGTTGAAAATATTATAAATTTATAAATTTAAACCTAAAATTTTTAGTTAGGAAAATTTTAAACCAATAAAATTTTGAATTAAAAAATTATTTAATAAATGTTAAAATGGCGTGCCATAGGTTCGACTTATCCATGTACAGATCGGAAAAGAGCCCTGTGACCAGCAGACGCATCCTCTTCATCATAGAATATCTGACGTACGAAATTTACAAGTACAAGTCGAGGGGGCTCTTCGAGAAGCACAAGTACATGTTCGTGCTGCTGATGTGCCTCAGAATCGACTTGGACAGAGAACACGTAACCCACGACGAGTTCAATAACTTCATCAAAGGGGGCGCTGCGTTGGACATCCAGACGTGTCCGGAAAAACCGGCCAAGTGGATAACGGACATGACCTGGCTGAATCTGGTGGAGTTGTCCAAGCTGCGGCACTTTCAGTTCGTCGTGCAGCAAATTTCGGCCAGCGACAGGACGTGGAAGAGCTGGTTCGACAAGAACGCCCCTGAAGAGGCCGTCATACCGGATGGATACAACAATTTGGATGTGTTTAGAAAGCTTTTAATGATAAGGTAGGTTTTTATTCAATTACACTCACAGGCAAAATAATCAATCCACTCAAATTTTCGATGAATTTCAATCACATTTTAAAACATTACTAAAAAATAGACGTACGTTTATAATATACAGGTTTAAACAAAAAGATGTTTTTACCATAAGTTTAAGACACTCTGTAGAGTGGCAAAACCGTATATTGTTCTAAATTAAGTTTTATTTATCAAGTCACATCTATTCTTAACAGTTTTGTTTTTGGTTTACCTAGATATATTTATTTTTTTGGAAAATATGGATTTTTAAAAAAAACATTGCAATTTCCAATATTTTTCTGTATGAAGAACTAAGGTTGCTATGGTCCATCCATAGGCTATGGAGAATGACAGTGACAATTTTGTTGAATCATCCCATACTTGGACATGTCATACACGGCTTTCAAACGCTATCAAATTGTTTTTTGCAAATTAATGTTTAAATTTTCAGGTGTTTTCTTACTTAAAAAAATGGATATGTCCCCGACTGATGTTGCCAGAGCCATTAATTTAATCCAGGATGGACGGTCACAGTATTACGTGGCAAGTGTTTTAAACGCCACAAGAAGTAAAGTACAAAGGGCAACATCAGTCGGAGACATTTTTAAAAGTAAGAAGACACCCCAAAATTAACACATTAATTTACAAAAAACAATTTGATAGCTTTTGAAAGCTGTATATGACATGTCCAAGTATGGGATGATTCAACAAAACCGTCACTGTCATCCTCAGTAGGCTATGGATGGAAAAATATTGGAAATTGCAATGTTTTTTTTAAATCCATATTTTCCACAAAAATAAATATATCAAGGTGAACCAAAATAGATGTGACTTGATAATTAAAACTTAATTTAGAACAATATACGGTTTTGTCCCTCTACAGAGTGTCTTAAACTTATGGTAAAAAACATCTTTATGTTTAAACCTGTATATTATAAATGTACGTGTATTTTTTAGTAATTTTTAAAATGTGAGCGATTCTCCATTAATGTATCTACAATGTTTAAATCAGAAATCAAATAAAAAAGTTATTTGCGATTGAAATTCATGGAAAATTTGTGTGGATCGATTATTTTGCCTGTGAATGTATTTTAAAATTATACTTTTGCGAAACAAAAATTAAATTTAGAGCTTGGTGTCCAGATAGGACAATCACCCAAAGCAGAAAATACATAGCGGGATCGTTGGGGCAAAAATTTGCTGAACCAGTCATCCTAAATTTGGAAATATTGTATGGGGAATCAAGGGCAACAACCCCTATAGTTTGCTTTTTGAGTCTGGGTTCTGATCCGACAACTGCCATAGAACAGACCTCGAAAAAATTGGAGACAAAGGTTAAAGCAATCTCCATGGGTCAAGGACAGGAAGTACACGCTAGGAAGCTTTTGGCGCAGGCTCAAGCCGAAGTAAAAATTACACTTTGATAGTTTCATTTACTAACATTGAGCCCACCTATATTACCTAATTTTGGGCTGCTAATTTCAAAAATGCCACTCGTTTTGCTCCGGGACGTCTAGGTTTGAAATAATTGCGTAATAAAATGCTCTGCCCAATTATCTCAAAATGAAAGTTTTTTGTTAATATTTTGTTTATTTATTAAATTATTTTGCCTTAAATCTATTTTGGATGTTCAGTATATTTTTGACGTTTTTTGTCAAAAATATACATGGACTCCATACAAAGTCATTGGTAGATAAATGTCAAATAGAAATTTTGTTTGTTCCATTGTAGTCGTATACTATAGTACTTTTCTGCAGAGAAGTGCTTTATTAAATACCAAAACTAAAATTGTAATGTTTTTTTGGTAAAAAGTATCATTTTTTGAAATTTTTGTGTCGTTTTTTTAATTACTAATTAAATTGAAAAGGCAACAAAGTAAATGGGTTTCGGTATAAGCATTACTCTTCGACTATTTTTTTATATGTTTTTATTCACATCATGCCTAAAGTACCCAAAAATTTAATCTGGAATCTTATTTATTAAGTCTTATCAAAATTTTATATCGAATTAAAGTATAAAGGTGCCTTTATCTACTTTATCGTTCAAGCGCACTAAAGTGCATCTATTAATTATTGACATTTAAAATTTAAACTTTAAACTGAATTTTTACTTGAAAGTGATTTTAAGAACCAAAAATGAAAAAAGAGCAGGAAATGGAAGTGGCAGAGAAAGAGAAAGGAGACGAACATTTATGTCGTCGTTGTAAATTTGTTTTGTTTTTGTTGCGGTACATTTACGCGCAAGAAAAACCAACGCAATATTTCATTACAAAATTTTATGAGATATACCTACTACTTTAATTTTGCAGGAATATTAAATGGACCTGATATACGACGTTTAATGAAAGATCAAGCATTCAAAAATGCTCTCAAAGTTGACGAGCGTGTCGCATATGGCAGTGTTAAAGCTGTCATTGAACATGTTCTTGGTTCATATCGGGCCTAAAATTGGCGCCAATTCATTGATAAATGCTTTCCGTTTTGCAAAGAATTAGCGTTAATATGTCATTTAAAATAAGTTTTCTTTTTTTTATCCTGATAAATTTGCCGAACTGATGAACATGTCATGGAGAACGATTTCACCAAGTAACTTCAAATCTAGAGCATTGGTAGATATATATGGGTATAGCGGAAAGAAGTTGGATTCATTACTAGGAGACATTTGCCGGATTTTGCAGCAAAAGATGTACGACAATGATGAGGATTAAGCACAATACTGCCGTGCTTAATGAAAACGCCGTAACCAACAATTTTGCGATTTTTGTTTTTCGGCATTTTCTACTAGAACAATTCATCCTGCGTCTATCCCCGGTACTCAAAAAACCGTATCTATATATATATACGGTTTTTTGAGTATCGGGGATAGACGCAGGATGAATTGGACGCCTTTCTGCAGAAAGGTACCAACCCACAAAACCAAAAAAATCGAGATATTTAGCCTATAAACTAATTAAGTATGTATAATTTATCTGCAAAATAGGTCATAGCCAAAATGCAAGTGTAGTTAAACCTATTAATCATTGAACCAACCAACATTCAATAATAGTGTGGATTACTAATCCAGAATTAGAATCTGTAGAATATCTGCAAGTGGGTTGGATCTTTTTTGTAAAAAAGCAGGCTGGTAGACCCACTACCAAATTTAAGTCTTAAGATTTTAAAGATTTCCTGCTTCTGCAAAATATAAAGTCTTGATGCATTTTTTTGGTAGCTTACAAGATGATGTGGGGTTGGAAGATGATGTGGACGAATTTCAAATAGAATCAAAATTAATTCATATTACCATTATAATAGTAATATTAGTTGTATTTTGTTTGGAAATAAATAATTGCCGCTTTTCTTTAAATACATACATATATCAGATTGTAGTTTTCATAAATTGCAGAAAGGAACCAACCATTTTTTTCGTCACCCTTACACATAACATCACAAAATCCACCTGATGAAATTATTAAATTATATCCCTTAAACCTCCTTAAGTCCAAAATCGGCATAAAATTAACAGGTAATTTTAAAATTATTAAAATCTTTGATAGCTTTTTTCTCAGTTTCATCATGGTGTGGGTTGGTCCCATTCTGCAGAAAGTTGTCCAATTGTTCTAGTAGAAAATGCCGAAAAACAAAAATCGCAAAATTGTTGGTTACGGCGTTTTCATTAAGCACGGCAGAATAATACTAATCCAATTTGATATTTGATACGATTTAATAAACTTAAGGTAGAAATAATTAAAATAAACGACAAAAAATGTCATATTGTTAAGATAAATATGATCTATTTGCCGTATACCAATTACTTTAGTACATTCAAGATAAATTTAAGCCAAAATAATTTAATTAATAATTAAAATACCAACAAAAAACTTACATTTTGAGGTGATTGAGCAGAGTATTTTATTACGAAATTATTTTAAATCCTAGACGTCCAAGAGATAAACTAATGGCATTTTTCAGCGTCCCAAAATTAGTTAAACTAAGCTGGAGCAAAGATATTATCTTTGAGCTGGAGTACTTAATGTTAGGAAAAAAAAGTTTGTAAAACTATCAGTGTTATAAATTTAATGTCTATGTTTAAGGGATTTTGGGCGCTTTTACAAAACTGTCATTTATCCCTGGATTACATGGATGAAGTTCTGCTGCAATGTTTAGATTTTGAGAAAGGTATTGGAGATTTTAGTCCAGACTATAGGCTTTGGATAACTACTGAAGAACACGATAAATTCCCAATTAGTTTGCTCCAGTTGTGTATCAAATTTACCAACGAAGCACCATCAGGTAAACGATGATTTTTTTGTATTGTTTGGTTGGTAGACATCATGTTGTGTTAGGTATAAGAGCAGGATTGCTTCGCACTTACTCTTCAATGAATCAAGACATGTTGGACTATTCTGACGCATGGCAGTACATACCTATAGTCTATGCCATATCCTTTATGCACACCGTGGTGCAAGAAAGGAGGAAATTCGGACCGCTCGGTTGGAATATACCATATGAATTTAATTCGGCCGACTGGTTGTCCAGTTGCTTGTTTTTGCAGAACCATTTGGATGATTTGGACCCAAAACGAGGTGTTAGCTGGATTACTCTAAGGTTTGTTGACAATATCATACTACACAGCAAACGGAAAAATATAGAACTGTATAGGAGGACTCCGCGTTTGAATATTAAATCTTAAAGTTTTATCAGAACTGTATTGAATCGTGCTTTGTTTTTATATTTTTCGGCTCTATACCTATGCACGACTATATTTAAAGTCAAACTCAAGGGTGTCTTCCAAGATACATTGTTTTGATTTTCTATATTCAACAGAGAGGTAGAAACTCGACCCTGTCGAATGGTGCAGTCATTTATGTCTCTAAAAATTATTAAAAAAGGTTTCAGTCCAATGGTGCAGCAACTTCGGATTCCTATTCTCTTCAGAGACATAGAAACTCAAGCTTTTCGAATTTTACTGGCAATGATTTTCGTTAATGTCCCCGGGAATTATACAAAAACAGCGCAATGCGATATCGCAACGGTTTCGACTTCTCTTTACTCTACCAAGTTATAGAAACTGGAGTCTCACTAATACTGTTCTAGTCAATATTTCTGAGAGTATAAAAAGGGGGTGTAATATTGCAAGAAGTTTTGATCTTTTGATGGATGCAAGTAGTTTAAATTTTCTCATTTCTGCATATGATTTTGTTGAAAATAGTTCCTTTGTCTGATTTTTATTTACCGTAACAACTCAGGTATGTAAAGCACAGAGGATATGATAAGTATATTTATGTATTATATAAAGTACCTATATTTGTATTAAAAATTTCAGAGGTTATGTTGAAAAAATGATTGATATGCTAAGTATTAAACTTTAATAATTTAGTAATGAGGTCTGTTGGTACACCCTGCACTATCTCCACTGGTATATGTTAGTACAGCAATATTTAAATCTGGTTGATGAAAAAGTACACACCAGTGCAGGTTATTGTAGCATCTACGAACAAATGAATTAATGGCCCATTGGCAATTATTCCTTTAGGAAAAATATTCAACACAGCTTAATTAATTAATAAAATGAAAAAAAATCACAATCATGTCGTATATAGTTTTTTTTAAGCATAAAATAATTTTTATATTAATACTAGTTCAAAAGTGAAATTACGACCTCTATACTGTGGAGAGTATTGAAACGCTCGACTGACGAATACAAATCTATACCGTGGGGAAGATTTAGAAAACAATATTCAAACGTGGCGTCATCCTATACACTTCTATAATTTTCCGTTTGCTGTGTAGAGAGAATATCATACTTTCTTTAGGTATATGTTAGGTGAAGTGCATTATGGAGGAAGAGTAACCGATGATTTCGATAAAAAACTCCTAAACACCTTCTGTAAGGTCTGGTTCTCTGACTTGGTTTTCCACGAAGATTTTCTGTTTTACAAAGGGTATAAAATTCTTAAATACAAGAACGTTACTGAGTACATAGACCAAGTGAACACATTTTCACCTGTGGACCCCCCTCAAGCCTATGGACTGCATTCGAATGCGGACATAACGTAAGATGACATCATTAACACCTCTGAGTCATTCCAAATAAAAACACCAAATGGGGTGCGCTGCTTGATTTTTATTTTGATAAAAAAAATTGAGGATGATCTTTTAGGTATCGAATATGAAAATCCGTTGCCGTTTTAATTTTTGGATTCTTAACTTTTAATCGGCACCCTTTAGAAATCTGAAATCGTGTCAATTTCTTACTCTCTTATAGTGGGCCAGAACTTTTACTTTGTGACAAATATTGAAATGATTTTAATTTTGTTTTACTGTTCAGTAAGTGTGTTTTCGATATAAATTATTATTATCCAATTAGTTAATCATAAAAGAATGGTAAACCACTAAAGATTCATGATAATTTGCCAATTTTTGTGATTTTTGTCTGGCTCCTGTGCCTATTCTACTAAATCTAGAAAGTTATTTTTTTTCAGGTATTAAGTACTTATACAATAGAAAACGTAACTATAATTTTAAGTTTGTAGACTATCATATTTTTTATTAAAAAAATTATTGAAACCTGATAATTCTTAAAATTAGTCAATTTTACCCTCAGAAATCATTATGTTGAGAAAAAAATAAAAATCTGAAACTTTCAGGAAATGTAGTTTCCACCTTCATCTTTTCAGTCCAGTTAGTCTTGTTTTGTTATTTTTATTCCTTTAAAAGATATATAAATTTCTTTAATGCCCGTTTAGTAGCGATATTGTTAGTTTTATTTATAATTTAAAATTTAGATGGCTTTCGAACATGATCATCATGGAGCCTACACAAGGAGCCCGAACTTCATGTAAACAAGAATCTTCCTAAGATAAGAGGGCGCTGGTGTACTACCGGTCCAAAACAGTAGAGGGGTATAACCAGAGATGGCGCCACTACCTACCACTTATTATTGTGCAAATAATTGAGGTTATGCAACTGTCAGTTTATCACTTTCTGAAAACAATGTACCCATGTACCTGGTTCACTTCACAGATTATAAAGAATCACTTATATTTCACAACCAAAACCTTTTCATTAGCATCTACCTACCAGGTACAGCCATAAATAACAAAATGATTCGTACGTCAAAACATTATTGCAAATCAATTGTCAAAACTTACTTGCTTACTTCACATGTATTTTCGATACTATTTTCACGTCATTCGGACGCATTAACAAGCAGCGCCGCTGGTGGTGAAAAAAAAAGACTTAAATTGTGCAATTTAGTGGACAGGTTTTGTCAATTTTCCCTATTAAGTTCGGGCTCCTTGTGTAGGCTCCATGATGATCATGTTTGGAGGAGAAGTACACGTGTCAGAACTGTCAAAAATATTTCATAAATATTATTTGTGCGTATTTTTTTGGTAAATTTTGTATATAACATAATATGTCATATTATGTTATATATAAAACTTTTAAAATCACCAAAGGAATTCCACAAATAATAATTATGAAATATTTTTGACAGTTCTGATATATTTGGTAGTTATGTTATATTTTATTTATTGTATAATCATATATATAAATATATACATATAATTTACAATACACAATATATAATTTACACAATAGGTATTAGTTTTTTGGTAACTGGGTAAAATAAAACATGTTATAATAAAGGGATTTATTTAAAATATTTTTTGGTTTTTGCTTATTTTTAACAATTTAAAACTTCTCAGAACTTGAATATTTTCTATGAGAAAGAGGTACAAAATTATATGTTCTTGCATTTTTAATTGCAATTAAATTCATGAATCTCGAACACTCCGTCATTTATTACACTTGCAAACTTGCAAACTTTTTGAAATCACAATTTAAATACGCACAAATAATATTTATGAAATATTTTTGACAGTTCTGACATTTCTCCACCAAACATGAATTGACTAAGTCAAAGCCATCTAAATTTTTAATTATAAATAAAACTAACAATATCGCTTATCTGCATTAAAAATAGTATATTACACTACAAGGGCAGAAAGTGTGAGATTCCTGCTTGATAAATAAATAACAGTAGGCCGTGAATTCAGCGGTGCCAATACAGTAAAAATAAAAGGTTGTATTTTAATTAACAAATTACTACTTTATAACAAATAAAAGTACCATTAAACACTTAAAACAACATAAAAAGTAAAAAAGTAAAAACATAAATTGTTTATTTGTTGTTATAATTGCAAAATTATGGTTTAAAACTGTCATGTTTTTGTGTTTCTCATGTTGGCAGTACGAAATTTGAATGTTAAGCACACGACTAAAAAATTTTTACTCCCGCTATTAGAGTGTGCGCGTATAGCTTGACCAATGCATAAAACGTAAACTTTCTGCCGTGGAATCGGGGACGAAACCACGTATTTTAAGTCGAGGTAGTAAGAAAAAATATTATATCTTTTACATGGATAAAAATAACAAAACAAGACTAACTAGACTGAAAAGATGAAGGTGGGGACTACATTTCCTGAAAGTTTCAGATTTTAATTTTTTCCTCAACATAATGATTTTTGAGGGCAAAATTGGCTAATTTTAAAAATTATCAAGTTTCAATAATTTTTTTAATAAAGAAAATGATAGTGTAGAAACTTCAAATAATAGTTACGTTTTCTATTATATAAGTACTTGATACCTGAAAAAAAGCAACTTTCTAGATTTAACAGATTAGGCACAGGAGCAGGACAAAAATCACAAAAATTGTCAAATTATTACAAATCTTTAGTGGTTTACCATTTTTTTTATGAGATAATTAGATAATAATAATTAATATTGAAAGCATACTTACTAGGCAGTAAAATAAAATTACAATCATTCCGATAATTGCCACAGAAAAAAGTTTTAACCTCTTATAAGAGAGTAAGAAAATGACACGATTTCAGGTTTCTAAAGGGTGCCGATTAAAAATAAAGCAACTAAAAATTAAAACGACAACGGATTTTCATATATGATACCTACCTAAAAGATCATCCTCAAATTTTTTCATTAAAATAAAAAATCATGCAGCGCACTTTTAAATTCATTTTTGGTGTTTTTATTTGGATTGACTCCTCTTCAAAAACTTGATGATAATTGTAGGTACCAAACCAACAGCACCATACAAATGTTTGATCAAATGTTGGCCATACAGCCCAAAGAAACCGCGGCTGCAGGTGGTGAAACTAGAGAAGAAGCTGTTATAAGGCAAACAATGGAAATGCAGGCAAAATTACCTAAAAATTATGATCCTTTTGAAGTGAAAGAGAGGTTGCACACGAATTTTGATAATGTAAATATTTATCGGGTGATTTTTTTTTCACAGATTACGAATAATGAACCATTTAAACCCCTTGAACATTTGCCTGCGGCAAGAAATAGATAGAATGCAGAAAGTCATAACAATCGTAAGAGTTACGTTAAGCGATCTTCTTCTAGCAATTGATGGCATCATTATAATGAACGAGGTATGTTATGACAGTGACTTCTTAAATAATTGTTTTTATCTCCTCGCGGTCTATAATTTAAACTTTATTGTTGTCAACATTCGATAAAGAAATATCTTGTTATAGCCTAGGCCGATAAACATTTTTATGAGGCAAGTAGGTAATTAGTTCGATTTTTTCTCGCTAGGGGTATGGTTTTGACAAATTAATCCTTTTCTAATGCCGGTTTTCCACTAAACGAACAGTTGAGTTTGGGTTTTGTTTGTGTTTTTAAAAACTTGCAAATCAAAAAAAAAACTGAAACAAACCTGAAACTCTTGTTTCCATCAAGCAAACTAAGTTTTGTTCGAGTTTTGTTTTTGTTTTCGGTCCTTTTCCACTAGTTGTCGTGATTACACAGCAAACGGAAAATTATAGAGGTGTATAGGATGACGCCACGTTTGAATATCGTTTTCTAAATCTCCCTACGGTATAGAGTTGTATTCGTCAGTCGAGCGTTTCAATACTCTCCACAGTATAGAGGTCGTAATTTCACTTTTGAACTAGTATTAATATAAAAATTATTTTATGCTTAAAAAAAAACTATATACGACATGATTGTGATTTTTTTCATTTTATTAATTAATTAAGCTGTGTTGAATATTTTTCCTAAAGGAATAATTGCCAATGGACCATTAATTCATTTGTTCGTAGATGCTACAATAACCTGCACTGGTGTGTACTTTTTCATCAACCAGATTTAAATATTACAAAACTAACATATACCAGTGGAGATAGTGCAGGGTCTACCAACAGACCTCATTACTAAATTATTAAAGTTTAATAGCATATCGATCATTTTTTCAACATAACCTCTGAAATTTTTAATACAAATATATATACTTTATATAAAACATAAATATACTTAACATCATATCATCTCTGCTTTACATACCTGAGTTGTAACGGTAAATAAAAATCAGACAAAGGAACCAAAGAAAGGAACTATTTTCAACAAAATCATATGCAGAAAGGAGAAAATTCAAACTACTTGCATCCATCAAAAGATCAAAACTTCTTGCAATATTACACCCTCTTTTTATACTCTCAGAAATATTGACTAGAACAGTATTAGAGAGACTCCAGTTTCTATAACTTGGTAGAGTAAAGAGAAGTCGAAACCGTTGCGATATTGCATTGCGCTGTTTTTGTATAATTCCCGGGGACATTAACGAAAATCATTGCCAGTAAAATTCGAAAAGCTTGAGTTTCTATGTCTCTGAGGAGAATAGGAATCCGAAGTTGCTGCACCATTGGACTGAACCCTTTTTTAATAATTTCTAGAGACATAAATGACTGCACCATTCGACAGGGTCGAGTTTCTACCTATCTGTTGAATATAGAAAATCAAAATAATGTATCTTGTAAGACACCATTGAGTTTAACTTTAAATATAGTCGTGCATAGGTATAGAGCCGAAAAATATAAAAACAAAGCACGATTCAATACAGTTATGATAAAACTTTAAGATTTGATATTCAAACGCGGAGTCATCTTATACACTTCTATAATTTTCCGTTTGCTGTGTATGTCAGAACACACTTTTTCAGTATCAACCAACATGTTTAAACGTCATATAAAAACGGATGCATGAAAATTAGAACATTTCTTATCGGACGATTTTATTGAAAAACGTACAAACGTATAACGGACAAACGGATACATGAAAATTAAGCTTTAAAATTAATATTAAGGGCTCAAATTTTCACTAATTTTTTTTGCCATTCTGAATGACATTCTCGATATATTTTTCAAAAAAAAAGTCAATTTTTTTAGCCCACTTTAATATATAGGTATATACCTATATGTGTATCTATTAAACTTATCCAGCGTTACAAAACAAATTTTCTATCCTCTATCTATAAAATAGGCGCGCCGCCGAGGCAGTAGATTGTGTGCGAGGTAATTAATAAGCTTTCGCCGCCGTGTTTTATATACTATTTTTTTTCAAGCTCTAAATTTCGATATTTTTTTGAAATTTTGTAACCTCATTTTTAGGTTAGGTTTAACTGTCAGACGACAAAATGTCACCATTATTGTTCGGCGGTCAATAATAATTTGACTTTTGAACTAGTACAATAATGTAGTGACTACTAGTTCAAAAGTCAAATTATTATTGACCGCCGAACAATAATGGTGAGATTTTGTCGTCTGACAGTTAAACCTAACCTAAAAATGAGGTTACAAAATTTTAAAAAACTACATTGTAGTATTTCTATATAGTATATTACACTACAAGGGCAGAAAGTGTGAGATTCCTGCACTACGCGCCATGATGCCCGAGGCGAAGCCGAGGGCATCATGGCGCGCAGTTCAGGGCTCTCACACTTTCTGCCCGTGTAGTGTATACTATTTTTCTTACTACCTCGTCTGAAAATACAACCCGGCCGAAAATACGGGAAAAAATTAAATGTGTATATCGAAATTGAAAACAAATTTTGAGGTTATATTAGAGTTGCATATGTTGAGTACTAGTGCACACGAATAAAAAATTTTTACTCCCGCTATTATAGAGGGTGCGCGTATAGCTTGACCAATGCATCAAACGTAAACTTTCTGCCGTGGAATCGGGGACGAAACAACGTATTTTTAATCGAGGTAGTAAGAAAAATGTTTCTTATTTACCTACCAATTTAGTATGAAATTTGTATCCAGACTAAGAAAATAAAATAAAAGTCGAAAACAAAAAACACAACACGACCGTTTCCACTAAACAGACTCGAGTTTCAAAACACGTCGAAACCTTTTGATGTTACCGCTTTCGAGCGGGACTCGAAAAACAAAACTCAAACTGTCGCAAAACACGCCAGTCTTCAAAAAGTTTGCAAAAAGTTGCAGTTTTGTTTTATTCGACACGAGTTTGTGTTTTGTTTTTGTTTTGTCCGTTTGGTGGAAAACCGGCATAAGAAATTAACGTTTGGTTTAATTTATTTATAATACTCACTAATTTGTTTGTTTTACTGTTAATGTTTAATATTTTTCATTAAATTATTGTAAAATTAAATATGAATAATAAAACAAAAAGTGAGGTTAGGCAACCAAGAAAATGCACGATTCTTTTTCTACGATTTAACTTATCTTTAAGTTTTAATTTGCTTTAAATTTTTAGTGAAATTAAATGTTAAACACAGCTTAAACATTCCAAACTACCTATTTTTTAAATAAAAATCCAAACAAATTGAAATTAAATACCTACCTATTTATTAAACAATTAACTGAATTCAATGTACCTAATAGCAAAAATCCATTTCTACTTAAATCATGTAGCTAGGTATTGTCAAACTTTACTGCTTCTAAAAGTAATAATAATGATTGTACATTTAATGTAATCTTTAGCTAATACATAAATGCGATTCTAAAAAAGTGAGGTTAGGCCGCTTTGATGTTGAATTAAATTGACCTATATAAAGTGCTTTGAAGATAAAATGTTGTATGCCATTCGGCCAAGAAGTGCCTTTTTGTGCTTCGCTCAATTGTAATACCTTGTAACCTTGAGCTTAGCACAAAAAGCCTTACTTCTTAACCTAATGACATAAATAACTATTATAAACAATGATGTTTAGACTCTGAGGGATGCAATGGATAATATTTACGACGCTAAAGTTCCTACATCGTGGAAACGCGGCTCATGGGAAGCAAGTACTCTAGGTTTTTGGTACTCCGAATTAACTGACAGGGATGACCAATTTAGGACCTGGTGTTTTGGCGGTAGACCTACCACTTTCTGGATGGCAGGATTCTTTAACCCTCAAGGTACCTAATTCTTTATATGGGGTTTATACCTAGGCGATTTCTTTTTATTTATTTTTTAGGTTTTCTAACTGCCATGAAGCAGGAAGTGGCTAGAGCACATAAAGGTTGGGCTCTAGATGCAGTAACATTACACAATGAAGTTACCAAAAATAGCAAAGAAGAAATAAACTCGGCACCCCCAGTAAGTATATTTCAATAGTCCGGAAAATGGGCATAACACTTTTTTTATTATTTTTTAGGAAGGTGTTATGGTCTACGGTCTATACATAGATGGCGCTGGATGGGATAAACGTCACGTGAGACTTAGCGAATCAATAAATAAAGTGCTGTACACACTTTTCCCTGTGGTGCATATTTTTGCCATTTACTCCACAGCGCAAAAATCATCAAGTCTCTATTTTGTAAGTACAATATTTTTATATATTTTTTTAACTTGCATTGCCAAAATTTCAGTTTTACATAAAAAACATTTTAGTGTCCTGTATACAAAAAATCCCGAAGAACAGACCTAAATTATATTACCACACTTTATTTGGACACCGCAAAACCGCCTTCGCATTGGTGCTTAAGAGGAGTCGCGCTTTTATGCGACACGCAGTAAAATGTAGTTTAATATAAAATATAATAAAGTTATTTTAGTTAATTTTCTTTCATTAAATTTTAATCCGCTCCTGAAGTCTTCCTAAGTCCGCCCCTGCCTGCTGTCAAAATGTTGCCGTGTTGGCAGCAGTGAGCTTTGACGTTTACAATTTAGTATTAGGTTAGAAGCCAATCAACAAGCCGGAAATTCCGGTATAATGCAAATATTTTCGGGATAAAGCTCTCAAAATGGATTCAGACAAAGTTACGATGCTAAGATATCGAGGCTCCAAGCTAGCCAAAGTGAAAAAGTTGGATATGTTTCCGAAAATCGAAGAAACGTATAAAGAAACAAGTAGAGTAGGTGGAACTTGTAAGTAAATCGTAATTAATTCGTTAAAAACGATAAGAAAACATGTTGGTTTTTAGTCTCATTAGTCAGTTTTGTACTGATAGGCTGGTTGGTTTATTCGGAAATTAGGTATTACTTAGATAGCAAGTTTGTTTTTAAATTCTCCCCCGACACTGATTTGGATCAGAAGCTGAAAATTAATGTGGATCTAACTATTGCCATGCCATGTCACAGTAAGTACAATAAATAATATTAGTGCAGTTATTGTAGTAGTCAGAAAATTTGTAATGCACTTTTTGCCTGATTTAAATCAAGTGATTTTTTTAATTTAATCAGTTTAGAAAAAGTTTCTAAAATCTAAAAAACACTTAAAAGATCTAAAACTAAAGCACAATAATATCTTGACACTATTTAAATAAATTCATATGTATAGAAAAACTGCTTATTTTGTTAAATAAAATAATAAAGGAATATAAAAAAATATATATGACAGTTGTGGACGGTGGTTTATTTGTTTAGAAAGTAGTGCCAATATAATATTATTATAGTCAAGTTATTTTTAGTATTTCTTTTAATAGTACACTATTAAAAAAAGCTTATAATTTTGAAAAATCGTAAAATAAAAAAAAACATTTTTTGTTGATTTTTTTGATTTTTTAATAAATTTTTTGATTTTTTTTAAATCATTATTTTTTCCAACCCTGACTGGAACAACATTGTTACAGTTTTTCCATTGAAAAAGCATGTAAGCAAATCTTGCTTTTTTCTTTTTCTTGAATAAAACCTAGCTTCACATTAATAGTATATTATGTATCAAGTTTGATAAACGCCATTTTATACACGAATTTAATTTAGGCACGAGCGAGCTTGCGAGCGAGTGCTTAAATTAATGAGTGTATAGAAAAGTTTATAAACGAGGTGCATACTATACTTTTTCTACGACAAATTATCTTAATATGATTTAAATCAAAAATTTGTATAGAGCGCCATCTATGAAACAACAGGGGAAACTGTCAAATGTCACATTTTTACATTTTATGAACACAATTATAAAGGTTATAAATAGAAATGTATCTTGAAAATTGACAGTTTTTCACAGTGAAAGTAAAGGAAATGTTTTATGAGGACTTAAGTAAATTTACAGTAGAGTCCGTGCCCGAATTTAAGTTATAGTTTATTGCCGGCGAAATTAAAAGGTCAGTTCAATGTTCATATAAACTTTTCAAATATTGGCGTTGAGAAAATATTTAATATTTTTGTATTGAGATAATAAAATAATTTTCACAAACTGTCAACTAACTTAAAACTAACTTCAGCCCGTGACTAAAAACCTGTTGCTAACTTCAGCCGTAAAGCCACAACTTGTCAATGTGTATTTAAAAGGTCACTTAGTGTCAGGGAAACATGTACTATAAAGGGCGTTTTAAAGGTGGGAGTAGAAAAAGTATCTTATTTATTTCCTGTGAAATTAATGGTTTTTCGCTGTTAACTTTGGAGACAAAGGAAATACTTTTTTTGTGAAAAATTCTCCAAAACAAAATCTATAATTAATTTATTTTAAAATTTTGCAAAAATTAGTTTGATTTGACCTTTAAATATTTTACAAATTTTAAGTGTTTTTGGAACCTTAAAAACATTAGGTAATATAAATATTATTTAATTCTAAAACTATTGGCCTTTTTTCTTAAATTTTAAATTTTGATAACTTTAATTTCGCATATCTCATAAAATTTGAATTTTAGAGATTTAGATGACATGTTTTGTGGAAAACTAAATTCCCCACAAAAAATGGATTTACTTTGTTTCTTCTGAAGTCAACTGTCATATTTTTGTGTTTCTTAAGTTGGCAGCATGGAGTTTGAAATGACAATTTTAAAAAGTGCTGAAAAAATTGTTATTTGAGGTTACCATAAAAATATACTGTAATAATCAATTTATAAACCATCCACATAATTTTTTTGTTGCTCAAGTTTATAAACGATTTTTTGAAAAAATCCATGGAAAATAACTATTCTGTAACAATTTGTTTACCTACTTCAAAACCTTATTTTTTACATCAAAAAGTCCTACTTACATTTGAAAAAATCAAATAATTGAGGTGATTTATCTGTCAGTATATCCATTTGAAGAGTTTGATACATAAATAATGTTAGGCAGTAAAAGCAAATTCAGCAGTGCCAATCACATATTTAAATATGTGGTGCCAATGTAGTAAAACTAAAACGTTCAAAAATATGTTTCTAAACTCTAGAAACAAAATAGGATCTTATTGATAGCTTAAATAGTATATTAAAAAACTAATGTCATAAGACGTCATTTTGTCCACTACAAATTGTCCGGGTGCGACAAAAGGTCTTATGACATGAGTTCTTTATGCTATTTTATCTATTTTGCAAAAATTCTATTAAAAAAATTAATTTTATACCTTAAATTTAGTTTCGTCGAATTTTACTTTAGATAGTTGGTATCACAGTCATGGTTTGACAGTTAATGTCAAAATCGATTCGCCATGCCGTCCTTAATTTAATTATTTACAATAAGCGGCTGTTAATGTTAAAGAAAAAAAAAGGATTTTCTTTAGTGTAAAACAAAATTTATTGCCAGAAAAGTATCGTAAGTACTAGAAAAATCATAGAAATATTATAACAAATATGCAAAATATATATGCTGTTTAAAGTATAGCCAACCTATAAAATCAAAATTTTGGGTGGGATAAAGTATCTCATTGCAGCACCGAAAGCGGTGATACAATGAAATCATTATGAACGCAAAATAGATAAAATTAATTATTATAGTTTATGTTTTATGGAAATCTCATGAGCGAGCTCGTGAGAAACAAAATAAAAAAAATGACGTATAAAAACAAATGTATCTGAAATTATTTGTGAATGTATCTGATGCCTCAAAATCATAAATTAAAATTTGGTGATACTACCTGAAAATGAGACAAAACCATAAAAAATAATCTAAATAATCCATAACTGTTTATATTAGAACTAAAAATGTCTTACAATTATGATTAAAAAAGTGCATTAGGTATTTTTTTTTCTGACTACATTTTTTACTCTTCCAATCCTACAAATTTTTAAGTTTTGTTGCCAAATATATTGGCAAGCCATTAAAAGATTCTAAAAATCTTTTTAGACTTGGGAGCAGACATTTTGGACTCAACCAACCAAAACACATTCAAATTTGGCCAATTGGAGGAAGAAGACACGTGGTTTGAGTTGGCGCCAAATCAACAAATGCACTTTGAAAACAAAAAACACTTTAACTCGTACCTAAGAGAAGAATACCACGCTGTGAAAGATTTGCTGTGGAAAAACAGTTTTTCCTCCAGTTTCGGCAACTTACCTCCCAGAAGCCATTTCCCGGACACGCCATACGACGCGTGTAGGATTCACGGTTCCCTGGAACTCAACAAAGTTGCAGGGAATTTTCACATAACGGCCGGGAAAAGCATTAATCTGCCTAGGGGGCACATCCATATAAGCGCCTTTATGTCCGACAGAGACTACAATTTTAGTCATAGAATTAATAAGTTCAGTTTTGGTGATTCTAGTCCTGGTATTGTTCACCCTCTAGAAGGAGATGAAGTTATTGCAACAAATGGTAATTTTCTTGTTAATTAGGAGAACCCTGTATATTTTTTTCGGCGATATTGTCGTCAAAAATATATTGAATCCTAGCGACTGCGCCATTCGCATTGTATATTTGGTAATAATTTTAGGGATGATTTTATACAACTACTTCATTGAAATCGTACCCACAAATGTGAAAACATTTCTTACTTCTGTGGACACTTTCCAATACAGTGTGAAAGAACTGAGTAGACCAATTGACCATGATAAGGGCAGCCACGGTATGCCCGGAATATTTTTTAAATATGACGTTTCCGCTCTAAAAGTCACTGTACGACAAGAAAGAGACCATTTGGGGACCTTTTTAGCTAGGTTATGTTCTATTATAGGAGGAGTTTATGTTTGTTCAGGTAAGTTTCTAAAGTGGGATGGCTGTTTCAGATTTTTTTGTGAGATTTTTTTTACTTGAAAGCAATTAAAAAATAATGAAGCGTAGGCCACGTATAATCCTGTAGAAACATGGACTTAAATTTTTCGTTTTTTTTTAATATACAACCTTGTTATATTAGGGTGACGAAATGGCAGATAGCCTTAATAGTATAATGACCTATATAATGTATTATATTATTGAAATTAATTGAATTTGTGACATTAAGAACAGTAAGGATAGTTCTAAACGCATTTTTGTGAGAATATTTCGACTATTTTATAAAATGTAATAATCATATTTTGTAAAATAATTTATATCTTATTACTTAAATGCATTTTAAATTTAAGTTAACTTTTAAATTGTTTTAGAAAATGATTTGTCAAAATAAAATTGTCACATGTATTGTTCTTAATCTCACTGATTCAATTGAATTTTGTTATTTGATTGGTTTTGAAACAGCCTATTTGCTTTTAAAAAATAAAAATTATTAAAACAATATTTTTTAGGTATTTTAAATAGTCTTGTACAAATTGTTTTTAATTTTATTATGTGTAATTGGAGTAAAAAATCTGAAGAAAAAGAAAGTATTTATAAAAAAAGTGAAGAACCTAATGTGATACCTTTCCAACCTCGTAGTTATTAAGTAGAATATTTTATTTTTCTTATACACTGTGTGAATATATTTTTACAACAAATATTTATTGTATTATTTTGCCGTTATGCCTGCCGAACAAGATTTTATCGCTTTATTTTTCCCTATAACTTTTGAACCAAATCACAACTTGGACAACTCACCCAGAAATCCTGAACAACGTCTAGATACGGTTGAAATGATCAATTTTTGAGAATATTTTTAAAATTTATAATGAAATCATAGCTTATGGTATTAATATTAAAATATGTTGGAAAAATTTGGAAAATAAATTTTCCAAAATGGAAACTTTCCTTAAAATAAAAACTTTTCGATTCCCATCTCTAATAAATAATGTAGATTCATTTTCTTTATTAGAACGGCAGTATTGAAAAAGATTGAAAAAAAACAATTTTAAAGATTAAAAATTTAATTACCTACGTCTGTAGGATACGGAATACAGCAATATTTCTAATAATATTATAAAAAACAATGACTCACTGGTTTGTACAACAATATAAAAGTGTCTTGTACGCACAAATCGCCACAATTAAAAACTATCCTCGTCAGAACTTTCCATGTATTTTTTTTTTCGGAATCGCTCATCAACTTTTTCTTCGGTTTGGCCTTCGATTTGATCGGTTTATCGTCGTCCTCGGAACCGCTGGTCCTCTTCTTCTTCTTGGCCGGTTCTGGGGCCCCTTTCGGTTTCTTCTGCCATAGCAGCATTATCTTTCAACTCCAATTCGATGTCGGACATTTTATCCGACTTGTCGTCTGATAAAGCGTACGCTTTATCCGCCTTATGGGAATTATCTATGCAATTACCGATGTCGTCCCGACTCCAACTGCCATATGGAAAACATGGACGCAGATAGGCGTTAAATGATGGTGGACATAATGATTATTAGACCCACCATCATTTGACGCCCATCTGCATCCATATTTTCCACGTGGCAGTTGTATTTGGGACGACATCGGTTATGGCAAAGATAATCCCCACTTTTCTTCAAACCACCTGTACAGTTGAACTTGCATTAGCCGGGTTTGACGAATTTCAAGATACCGATTAATATTTTATCGTTTTAAATATGAAAGCATTTTTAAAATATCAAAATTAATGACAGTGTTTTGTTGTCATGGTAGTTGGGGAGCAACCATAGACAAGGGAAGATCCATTGCAATCCATGATTTGTGGTCTCCATTTTAACCTTAGTTTTTCTTGGAAACGTTTACTTTCTACTCGCTATATGGGCTTGCACTTTAGACGGTTAATAAATGATTTAAAAATGTTTTTCCAGTGTTATAAAAAAGTTAACTTCCATTAATAAAAGAGATGGGAAAATTCCCATTTGACGACAATTCCCGAAAACGGTCCATCGAAAATTCCCGAAAGCTTCAAACAAAAAAGTTATTGCGGAAATGAGTTTTTTGTGCCGGGAGGATTGCAAAAATAAATAATATTGGCTACCTACAGAGGAATATTAAAAAGTAAAAGATACTGAAAATAGTATTGCAGTTCTGACCAATAAAATATGAAAAAAAGACTACAGTCAAAATAAAAAAATTTTTTAGTGAGCACGAGTCTTTTTTTTTAAATACAGGCTCTGGAATTGCTAAAATTATATTTATTAGTGCCACGTACTCCATTGACATCTGTACAACTATCTGAAAGAATTGTCATATTATCAGCCTCTTGTACTATATCTTCAACTTCTTTTTGGATTCCAGCATATTCAGAGTTAAGCAATGTTGTACTTAATTTCTTTTTTCCAGGTTGCTTGAAACTTGAGGTAGTTGATTAAAAAACTAAACTAAAGTGGCAAGAACTAGAGTAAATTGTTCAAGCAAATAGTTCTTCCAAAGTATTCTGTTTGTTCAGAGACATGCATGTTATCAACAAATTCCTTTATGTTTACAATACTGGTATTGCTACCTGATGGACTCTCTTCTAGATTTTCAGTAGACTTAAAATTTTGCATAGATAATCTTAAAATATAAGATATTAATTTGTGGGTCACAAAGACACTTTTTTATATTTTTGAACATTTTGGTTGCATTAACGCCATTATGGCGTCGCCATATATTTTTTACAGAACTTACATTGAGTATGGGTTTTTTGCACTATTTTGTAATAATTTTCTTGGCATTGTACTGTATCTATAAATAAACAACCAAAACGTCAGAATGTTTTTAACTTTGTTTATTGTTTTTATTTTGTTTAACTTTTGGAAAGCTTTTATGCAAAGGGTTTTTTGCAAACTATTTATGAATTGTGATGATGAGATCTCCAACAAACTTCTTTTTCTTTAAATTAACACAAATTAACTTTTTCTTATTCGGATTCTTGGCCTTAACTTTGCAAATCAATAAAAGAAACTTTTAAAACGAAAATAAATTCCCGACTGGAAACTTTCCGATTCCCATCTCCAATAAATAATGTGGATTCATTTTCTTCATCAGGACGGCAGTATTGAAAAAAAAAGATTAAAAAAAAACGACAATTTTAAAGATTAAAAATTTAATTACGCCTATAATATACGGAATACAGCAATTATAAAAAAAACAATCACTCACTGGTTTGTACAATAAAATAAAAGTGTCTTATACGCACAAAACGCCACAACTAAAAACTATCCTCGTCAGAACTCTCCATGTATTTCTTCTTCGGCCTGATCGGTTCGTCGTCCTCGGAATCGCTCATCACCTTCTTCTTCTTCGGCTTGGCCTTCGACTTGATCGGTTTGTCGTCGTCCTCGGAATCGCTGGTCTTCTTCTTCTTCTTGGCCGGCTTCGCGGCCGCTTTCGGCTTCGCCTTGCCCTTCTTCGGCTTGCACATCGCCTCGAACTCGTCGTCCGAATCGTCCTTCTCGCTCACGTTAAACGAGGCGTCAGATTCCGACTGACTCCTCTCCGTTTGCTTCCGCTTGGGGGCGGCGGGTTTCTTCTCCGCCTCCTTGGTCTTTCCGACCAGCGAGTCGAACATGTCTTATAATAATAATAATAGCTTTATTTACGGATATACCATTTTACAATTTTTACAATAAGTTACAAATTATTTATCTTGTTTTTAAACACCACAAGAGAACAATTAAAAAATCTAAATCTAATTTATTAACATCAGAGCAAATTCTACAGATTGGCATATATTGGCCATATTTAGTCATGATTTTTAATGTAAAATTAATTTGCTTGCCTGGTATTTCTATGGCACGCCGTTTTAACATTTATTAAATAATTTTTTAATTTAAAATTTTATTGGTTTAAAATTTTCCTAAGGTTTAAATTTATAAATTTATAATATTTTCAACTATCATTTATTGAAAGACAAAATTTAATAACCAACAGTTTACTTCTGTATTAAACAATATTATTTTCTATCAATGTTTGCAAAAATTTTTAACTTTCATTTTTTAATAAAATTAATTTCCCAAGTATAATTTATTTGGGTGGAATTGTGTTAACTTAAAAAAATATTTTATAAGATTATTGATATTAATTTGGTAAAGTTAAATTTTTTAGCATTAAAAAATAGTATCAAGCCATTTAAAATAAAAACACATATAAAACATTTTCTACCAAAATAGTTTAAAAAGTTAAATTTTTGTAAATTCAAAACTATTGATAATCAAAAAAAATTTTAAATATAAAATGCAACTGTAAAAGTTTAAGTTTAAAAATATTTTTAAAAAATGGAATTTTAATATTTTATTCTTCAAAATTATTGGTTTGAATTTGTAAAGAGTCATTTAAATGATAGTCGATAAATTTTCAATACAAAAATTTGAACATTACATTTAAATGTTAGTTTTAAATTTTAAAGGGGTAACTTTTGCATTAAAAATTTATCGACTATCATTTAAATGACTCTTTACAAATTCAAACCAATAACTTTTATTTTTAACAATTTTAAATTGATACATTTTTAAGACAAAATTTATAACATTACATTTAAATGTAAGTCGATAATTTTTAAATTACAAAGTGTAAACGTAGCTTTAGTAGAAGGCACAAGAGTCTGGGATCGGAGCCACGATGAAGCCAGTTTGATCCGCAGTGTTGCCAAATCGTGCTTGCTCCATAAATATTTGACGCGTTTTACAAATTATCGTAATGAAATGTTTCTTTATTACATAAGTTTAATATTAGAACAACAACATTTTTAGTGCCTATTGTACTAAATTAATTCGACAATTAAAAAACATCAACGGATCAAACTGGCTGCATCGTGGCTCCGATCTCAGACTCTTGTGCCTTGTACTAAGGCTACGTTTACACTTTGTAATTTAAAAATTATCGACTTACATTTAAATGTAAAGTTATAAATTTTGTCTTAAAAATATATCACTTTAAAATTGATAAAAATAGAAAATTTTGGTTTAAATTTGTAAAGAGTCATTTAAATGATAGTCGATAAATTTTTAATCCAAAAATTACTACTTTAAAATTTAAAACTTAGATTTAATGTAATGTGAGAATTTTTGTTTTAAAAATTTATCAACTATCATTTAAATGACTCTTTAAAAATTTAAACCAATAATTTTGTAGAATAAAATATTACAACCAAAACTTTTAAAAATCAATATTTTTAAACATAAATTTTTTCTGCTGCATTTTATATTTAAAATATTTTTTGACTATCAATTGTTTTGAGTTTAAAAAAATTTAACTTTATAAATTCCTGTTAAAACATAATTTAAGTGCTAAACTTTAATCTTTAAACTTTTATCTAATAAATGCGTCAAAAGGTCTGGGCAATTTATACAATTGTTTAGTAGTTTATAAAGAAACACAATACCTTCGGAGGTCTCGTGCGGCGGCGGCGGTTTCTCCTCGTCCTCGCTGTCCGACAGCGCTGCCACGTTGTTTTCTTTCTCCGCTACGGCGGCGTTATCCTTCAACTCCAACTCGACGTCGGACATTTTCTCCGACTCGTCGTCCGACAGGGCGTACTTGACGGGCTTGGCGGCGGCCCGGCGGTTGGTGCGCTCCTTGACCGGCGAAGGCGCGAAGTCGATCTCCTGGTCGGAGCCGAACGAGACGGCGTCGTCGTCGTCGTCGCTGTCTTCGCTGCGCTTCTTCCTTCCGCGCTGCTTCTTCTTCTTCGCCGAGTCGTCGTCCGAATCGTCGGCGGCTATCTTCCTCGCTTTGCCGCGCTTTTTCGGCGAACCGTTCGAAACTGAAACCGAGTTCGCTATCAAGTTTAAAACTTGGCAGCTGATATTTCTCAAAAAATGAGCTTTATCGTTTGGCACCCCATTTTTTGAGAAATTTCAGTTGAAATTGCACAGATGATTTTTTTTTTAATTTGAAAAAAACCGCTAGAATAATTGACAATAAAGTATATCTCAATTTATATTATTTAAAAAATTGACTTATCCGGACGATTTTTTTAAATTTTTGTTTTTAAATGTAATTTTCAGAAAAATATAAAAAAAAATATTAAGACCGATTTTAACGTCTTTTTAAATTTTCGAAAAAAAAACGAAAATAATAATGATCGTCGTTTTTATTTTATTTTTTATTAGAAAATAATAGAGATGGCAGATGCTCGAGTGCTTTGCAAAGCGCTCATAAGCGCTCATAAATGCTCGAGCATTTATAAACGATGAAATATAAATTTTATTAAAAAAAATTATTGAAAAAAAAATTTGATTGAAAAAATTTTTTTTAACCATTTTGGAAACCGCACCCCTTTGTGACCTGCACTTGTTCTGATGTAAACAGTTATTTGTTGGTTAATTTATAACCCCGCTTTTTAGTGTTGGCGCCAAATTCAAATATCGACATAGATCATACAATATACCTTGTATGATCTATGAATATCGAGCACTTTGGTAAATGCTCGAGCATTTATTTATAAGCGCTCGAGCATTTATGAGCATTTATGAGCACTTATGAGCGCTTTTGAAAGTGCTCATCCTTCTCTACTATAAATACAATAAATAAAATTATTTAATAAATTATGTTTTTAAATAGTTAAACAAAAAAAAGCGAATTGTTGAAAAAAAAAACATAATAAACCAAATAACATTTTTTTAAATTTTCTTTACTTTTAAAAGAATTTTCAAAAAATAAATAAAAAAATAGTTAGTTTCATAGAATTTGCAGAAATTAAAAAAAACAATCATCGAGAAAATTAAAAAACATTATCCTAAAAAACCAAGTTTGCAATGAAGTTTAAAACCTAACAGCTGAGATTTCTCAAAAAAAGAGCTTTTAACGCTTTATCGTTTGGCACCCCTTTTTTTGAGATATTTCAGTTGATAGGTTTTTAAATTTCACAGCCAATTGGTACAGATGATTTTTTTTTATTTGTAAAAACCACTACAATAATTGACAATAAAGTATATCTCAATTTTGAACTCCTTAACCCTGTACAAATTTTGTTTCTAAAGTTAACCGAAATTATTTTTTTTAATTTTTGTTTTTAAATGTAATTTTCAGTAAAATTAAAATAATCGTCGTTTTTATTTTATTTTTTTTATTTGAAACTACGTTTTCTGCAAATTCTTTGAAATTTTAAATGGCGTTTTTTTGTTTCAATTTCTTTATATACAATAGCTATAAATACCATAAATAAAATTATTTAATAAAGTATGTTTTTAAGTAGTTTAACAAAAAAAGCGAGTTGTTGAAAAAAAAAACATAATAAACCAAATAAAATTTTTTTTCATTTTCTTTACTTTTTACTTTTTTAAGAATTTTCAAAAAATATATAAAAATATATTCTGAAAGTTTCATAGAATTTGCAGAAATTAAAAAAAATCATCGAGAAATTTTCGTAAACCAAGTTTGCAATGAAGTTTAAAACCAACAGCTGAGATTTCTCAAAAAATTAGCTTTTAAAGCTTTATCGTTTGGCACCCCATTTTTTGAGAAATTTCAGTTGATAGGTTTTAAAATTGCACAGCCAAATGGTACAGATGATTTTTTTTAATTTGAAAACCGTTACAATAATTGACAATAAAGTATATCTCAATTTTGAACACCTTAACCTGTACAAATTATTTAAGTGAAAGTTTGTTTCTAAAGTTAACCGAAATTATTTTAAAGATTGACTTATCAAAACGATTTTTTGTAATTTTTTTTAAATGCACTTTTCAGAAAAATATAGAAAAAAATATTAAGACCGATTTAAACGAGTTTTTTGAATTTTCGAAAAAAAACGAAAATTTACCAATGATCGTCGTTTTTATTTTATTTGTTATTAGAAATTAACATTTTCTGCAAATTTCTTGATATTTTAAATTGCGTTTTTTTGTTTTCAATTATTTTATATACAATAAATAAAATTATTTAATAAAGTATTTTTTTAAGTAGTTAAACAAAAAAATGTTAGTTTCCAATAATAAAAACAAAGTATTGAAAAAAAACATGAGACGAATTCCATCATCACAAATTAACCACTTAAAAATTGTTAAAAGCCCGTTGAATTTGAAAATTTCAGAGAATTTGCAGAAAATGTCAGTTTTCAATAAAAAACAATCATCGAGATATTTTCGTTTTTTTCGAAAATTAAAAAAAAATCCTAAAAAACCAAGTTTGCAATGAAGTTTAAAACCTACCAGCCCAGATTTCTTAAAAATTGAGCTTTTAACGCTTTATCGTTTGGCACCCCATTTTATAAGACATTTTAGTTGATAGGTTTTAAAATTGCACAGCCAATTGGTAGAAATGATTTTTTTTAAATTAATTTAAGAAAGTTTGTTTTTAAAGTTAACCAAGTTTTTTTTATGAATTTTTCAAATTTATATACAAAACTTTTTTAAAAATTGACTTACCAGGACGTTTTTTTTTAAATTTTTGGTTTTTAATGTACCTACTTTTCAGAAAAAATATAGAAAAAAAATTTCAGACCGATCTTTCTCGAAGATTATCATTTTTAATTTTTTTTCTTTTTATATTATAACTAAAAAAAGCGTCTTTATTTTTCAAATATTTATAACTTTTTTAAAAATTCACTTATCGGAATGAATTGTACAATTTTCTGGTTTAATAAAGAATGACTTTTTTTAAACATTTGCCAATGATTGTTGTTTTTATTTTATTTTTTTATTAGAAACTAACATTTTTTGCAAATTCTCTGAAATTTTCAGTGACGTTTTTTTGTTTTTTTTTTATATATATATATTTATATGGTGGTGTAGTAGTTAGCACTGCGGACTACAAGCCGAGAGGTCGTGGGTTCGAATCCCACCAGGGGTATGGTTGTTTATTTGTGTTTGTCATTGTGTATTTCTGTAATTGGGCCTGGTGCCTGTTGAAAGCACATTAAAAATAATAAAATAAAAATAAAATAAAATAATTTTATAAACAATAGCTTAAAAATAAATAAAATTATTTATTACACCATGTTTTTTAAGTAGTTAAACAAAAAAAATAATAAACCAAATAAATTTTTTTTCATTTTATTTGCTTTTAAAAATGGAATTTTTGTCACTTTCAATTTCATTTCCCACTACATCCTCAAAATCCTCAGATTTTTTTTTCGATGATTGTTACTTCATTTATTTTTTTTGTTCAAACTTTGAAGTTCCCTCTACATCCTTAAAAATCCTCAGAGTGGTATTATAAAAAATAATTAAAAAAAAAATTGAAAAATAAAAAACGTCACTGAAAATTTCAGAGTACTTGCAGAAAATATCAGTTTTCAATTAAAAAAAACAATATTCGACAAATTTTGGCTTTCCCGAAATTTAAAAAAAAAGCGAAGTGTTAAAAAATAAACATAAAACGAATTCCATAACAAATTAACCTAAAAATTGTTAAAAGCCTGTATTTGTTGAATAATAAACCAAATAAATTTTTTCATTTTCTTTGGTTTTAAATGAAATTTTCAAAAAAAATATAAAATTTTGTTTCTTATCATCGGGAAATTTTTGTTTTTTCCCGAAAATTAAAAAAAAGTTGAAGATCGGCCTGAACAATTTTTTTTCTATTTTTCTAAAAAGTACATAAAAAACAAAAAATTGAAAAAAAATCGTTCCGGAAAGTCAATTTTTGAAGAAAGCCGGGTCAAATGTGGTCGATTTGGTATATAAAAATATATACAAACGGAAACAACAGCTAAATACAATAAATAGCATACCTGAAAAATTGAGTTTGGTCTGCTTCATACCGTCCGACTCCTTCTTCACCGCCTTCTTCCCCTTGGCTTTCTTCTCGATTTCCTCCGGAGTGCCCAGCTTATCCTTCAGCGTCTTCTTGCTTTGCACCATCGCATCGAACTCGTCCTTCTCCTCCCCGTCCAAGCTGATGTTCTCCTTTTTGACGCGACCCTTGCCCTTGTTCTCCTTCACTCTCTGCGCCTGCTGTATCTTCTTCTTCATCTCTTCCGTGATCTTCGGAGCCACCCTCTCGGCCATCGGCGAAGGCATGGTCTCCGTCAGGTTCGCCTTTTTCCTGCCCTGAAGAGAGTCCAAGATAAAAACGAGAAAAAGGCTAGGAAACATGTTGATTTTCATTGCTTTTAATTGGAATTTTAAAATAGTTATTTACGATATAAGCGGGATAAGAGCTTTTTGCGATTGCCTAACTCGTGCTACGCACTCGTTGGGCAAATTTCGCATGCGTACGTTAATAAAGCGTTATCACACGTATATTGTACAAATTTTTATCTACGCCTCTAAATGAAAAAATAAACGGTAACTATTTTTGTCTAAGACTTAATTTAGAGTTATTTTGAAATTTTGAATTTTTTATTTGATTGGTTAAAAGCAGAGAAAAACGCGTGCGTTAATGAACTTCTTATCTTACTCAAAATGAGTGGGATAAGAAGTTTGTATCTCACTGGCGTAGATAAAATATATATAAAAATTCAAAGTACATTTATTATTATGTTTTTTAAAATTTTGATTCGCTCTACAATGTAGAGTCTACATCCTTAAAAATCCTCAATGGTATTATAAAAAATAATCGAAAAAAAAAATAGAAAACAAAAAATCGCCACTGAAAATTTCAGAGAATTTGCAGAAAATGTCAGTTTTTAATTAAAAACATGAAACTAATTCCATCACAAATTAACCTAAACATTGATTATTGCCACTTTCAATTACATATTGTTTATTATGTTTTCTAAAATTTTGATTCGCTCTACAATGTAGAGTCTACATCCTTAAAAATCCTCAGTGGTATTTTATAAATAATTGAAAAAAAAAATAGAAAACGAAAAAACGCCACTGAAAATTTCAGAGAATTTGCAGAAAATGTCAGTTTTTAATTAAAAAAAAACAATAGTCGACAAATTTTCGAAAATTAAAAATGCGAAGTTTTAAAAAAAATCATGAAACTAATTCCATCACAAATTAACCTAAACATTGTTAAAAGCATGTTGTTTTAACTTTTTTTTCCAAATGAAAATTCTTTTTTTTTGTTCTAGAATCTGTAGGGTGTCCCCTAAAAAGTTGAAAAAGTTTTTTTCCCATTGTTTTTGTAATTTAAGTAAAACATTAAAAAATAAAATACACTTTCTTTTGTATTAGAATGAAAGTTGAGTGAAAAAAATCACATTCTACAATTTTTACATGTTTTCCACGATTTTGGACCAAACAAAAGAATTCTTCATTTGATTAAATATTTATTTAAAAAATGAGTGGGCCACCTCAAGAAGTAAAAAAAAAATTGTTCTCTACGACTACTTAAGAATAGTAACATTCTAGTGTAATTTTTGAACATAGAATAGTACATTCTGTAACAAGTTTGGAATACAGCATATTCCGCTCGAGGAAAAATTTGACACACGAGCCGAAGGCGAGTGTGACGGTTTTACGAGAGTGGAATATGCTATTCCAAACGTGTTTCAGACATTATTTTCTCTACGACTACGTAAGAATAGTAACGCTTATATAATTTTAAACAGAGAAAAGAAACCAAGCAGTTTTTGACATTTAAGTTTTTTGTATTGTCAAACCATTTTGTGCCATCACAATTTTATAATGTAAATTATAATAAATTTAAACAAATGGTATGCCTAAATCTTTATTATAATTAAAAATAGTTATTTACACTAACTAATAAAAAAAATAACATTGTAACAAATACAAAACTAATTTTACAAGTAATTGTATGATTAGAGGTGTCCCTCTATAAACTGTATGTTTCTTGGGATGAAAATAAAGTATTTTATTTTATTTATTTATTTATCTATGTCAACATCTATTCTTTTTTTACATTTTAAAGGTCTTTTTTTAAACTTTTTGAATCTGTCAAAACTTCAAAGCCGGTATAGTAGGTAACTGGTTTATCATTTTAATATCAAATTTATTATAATTTTGATTTGTATATTTGAAAAACAATAAATATAACCAATTTTTTGTGCCTAAACCTTAATTATACAACTGCTATTATTTTTTAATTAATAAATAATACAGTAATATTTAAATATTTTTAAATTTTTTACGTTTACTAAACAGTCAGGAGATGTCGTTACTTGTGACCATTCTTAAACAAGAGTAGGAATATTCTCGCACAGTATTGCAGAAAAACATCCTTTCTATGATCAAAAATTACACTAGAATGTTACTATTCTTAAGTAGTCGTAGAGAAAGGATGTTTTTCTGCAATACTGTGCGAGAATATTCTCACTCTTGTTTAAGAATGGTCACAAGTAACGACATCTCCTGGCTGTTTACTAAACGTAAAAAATTTTAAAATATTTAAATATTACTGTATTATTTATTAATTAAAAAATAATAGCAGTTGTATAATTAGTGTTTAAGCACAACAAATTAGTTATATTTATTGTTTTTCAAATATACAAATCAAAATTAAAATAAATTTGATATTAAAATGATAAACCAGTTCCCTACTATACCGGCTTTGGAGGTTTGACAGATTCAAAGACCTTTAAAATGTAGAAAAAGAATAGATGTTGACATAGATTACTTGTAAAATTAGTTTTGTATTTGTTACAATGTTATTTTTTTATTAGTTAGTGTAAATAACTATTTTTAATTATAATAAAGATTTAGGCATACCATTTGTTTAAATTTATTATAATTAACATTATAAAATTGTGACGGCACAAAATGGTTTGACAATACAAAAAACAAATGTCAAAAACTGCTTGGTTTCTTTTCTCTGGTTAAAATTATATAAGCTTTACTATTCTTACGTAGTCGTAGAGAAAATAATGTCTGAAACACGTTTGGAATAGCATATTCCACTCTCGTAAAACTGTCACACTCGCCTTCGGCTCGTGTGTCAAATTTTTCCTCGAGCGGAAAATGCTGTATTCCAAACTTGTTACAGAATGTACTATTCTTTTGTAAAATTTACTTTTTTTTATAAGGTACAAATTCTATCCCCATGCTAAGAAAAAAGAAAATTTTGTTTTCAACCCACCCTACTCTACAATGTAGAGTCTACATCCTTAAAATCCTCTGAGTGGAATTATGAAAAACAATTGAAAAAAAATAGAAAATGAAAAAACTCCACTGAAAATTTCAGAGAATTTGCAAAAAATGTCAGTTTTCAATTAAAAAAAAAACAATGATCGACAAATTTTCGTTTTTTTTCGAAAATAAAGTCTATATTCTCAAAAATCCTCAGTGGTATTTTGAAAAATAATTGAAAAAAAAAATAGAAAACGAAAAAACGCCACTGAAAATTTCAGAGAATTTGCAGAAAATGTCAGTTTTCAATTAGAAAAACAATCATCGACAAATTTTCGTTTTTTCCGAAAATAAAAAAAAGCCCCGAAAAGATTTGAAGATAAAAACGAGAAAAAGACTCGGAAACATGCAAATCGAAAAACAAATTCCTCACTTACCCGTCTACTTGTTGCTTCCTTCAAGCCGCAAACACAACAATGTAAGTTATAAAATGCAGTAAAACCCGAGGGGTCACCCACACCTGGGAATCCCTGGACATTTTAGAGGGGGAATACCATAGGAATACAATGGAAATACATAGGAATACAATAAAATATAATGGGAATACATGGGAATCCCTGGACGTTTTCCCTTTGGGTGGTTGACACCTCGTTAAAACCACAACCGAAAAAAAAAATACACAAGTGTTACTCACCGCAACGCCCTTTTCCTTCTTCACCGGCACGTTGGCCAACTCTTTCCTCTCCTTTTCCTCCACCACGTCGAGTTTCTCCAGAAGAGCGTCCAGATCTTCCCGATACAAGTCGACTTTGGTTTTTTTGCGTAAAATGTCGAGCTCGCTCATTTTCTGGTCTTTCTGCCTGAGCAGTTCGTTTTTCCGCTCGTCCGTCAACATCCACATCGACATACCCAACAGGTAGTCGAACTTTTTCACTTCTGCGAGATTCTTAAATTCGGCTTCTAAACGAACGAGAAATGTACGTTTAAAAACTGATTTTAACTGCCAAGCAACTTGACAAATCAGAAGTTATATCTTTAATTTTATAATCACTTAAAAACGGTCAAAACATTGTTTTCCATTATAAATTTATTTATTTATTATTTGAATTCCTAAAAAGTCTTTTATTAAATTTTTTATTTTATAATCACTTACAAATGGCCAAAACAAAATTTTTTATAATAAAATTACTTTTAAATGCAAATAACTAAGGATTATTAAGGAATTTCAAAATTTTTGCAAGAGATTATTTAAAGAAAATAAAACAGCACCGATTTGTCGTCTATTTTCCCAAAATCAGTGATTTTGTCCGCGGTCAAAAATGGAGCGAAACAGTTTAAACGAGAAACGAACGTGTTGTAAAAATTGCAAGTTCTCGAAATTCCTAAAAAGTCTTTGGTTATATTTTTAATTTTATAATCACTTAAAAACGGTCAAAACAATATTTTTCATTATAAATTTACTTTTAAATGCAAATAACTAAGGATTATTAAGGAATTTCAAAATTTTTCCAAGAGATTATTTAAAGGAAATTAAACAGCACCGATTTGTCGTCTATTTTCCCAAAATCAGTGATTTTGTCCGCGGTCAAAAATGGAGCAAAACAGTTTAAACGAGAAACGAACGTGTTGTAAAAATACCCACAAATCATTGAAATGTTACAAGTTGCAAGTTCTCGAAATTCATAAAAAGTCTTTGGTTATATTTTTAATTTTATAATCAATTAAAAACGGTCAAAACAATATTTTTCGTAATAAATTTACTTCCATATGCAAATAACTAAGGATCATAAAGGAATTTCAAAATTTTTCCAAGAGATTATTTAAAGGAAATAAAACAGCACCGATTTGTCGTCTATTTTCCCAAAATCAGTGATTTTGTCCGCGGTCAAAAATGGAGCGAAACAGTTTTAACGAGAAACGAACGTGTTGTAAAAAATGACAACAAATCATTGAAATGTTACAAGTTGCAAGTTTTCGAAATTCCTAAAGTCTTTGGTTATATTTTTAATTCAATAATCACTTAAAAACGGTCAAAACAATATTTTTCATAATAAATTTACTTTTAAATGCAAATAACTAAGGATTATTAAGGAATTTGAAAATTTTTCCAAGAGATTATTTAAAGGAAATAAAACAGCACCGATTTGTCGTCTATTTTCCTAAAATCAGTGATTTTGTCCCCGGTCAAAAATGGAGCGAAACAGATTAAACGAGAAACGAACGTATTGTAAAAATGACCACAAATCATTGAAATGTTACAAGTTGCAAGTTTTCGAAATTTCTAAAAAGGCTTTGATTATATTTTTTATTTTATAATCATTTAAAAACGGTCAAAACAATATTTTTCATAATAAATTTACTTTTAAATGCAAATAACTAAGGATTATTAAGGAATTTCAAAAATTTTCCAAGAGATTATTTAAGGGAAATAAAACAGCACCGATTTGTCGTCTATTTTCCCAAAATCAGTGATTTTATCCGCGGTCAAAAATGGAGCGAAACAGTTTAACCGAGAAACGAACGTGTTGTAAAAAAAATGCCCACAAATCATTGAAATGTTACAAGTTGCAAGTTTTCTAAATTCCTAAAAAGTCTTTAGTTATATCTTTAATTTTATAATCACTTAAAAACTGCCAAAACAATATTTTTCATAATAAATTTACTTTTAAATGCGAATAACTAAGGATTATTAAGGAATTTGAAAATTTTTCCAAGAGATTATTTAAAGGAAATAAAACAGCACCGATTTGTCGTCTATTTTCCCAAAATCAGTGATTTTGTCTGCGGTCAAAAATGGAGCGAAACAGTTTAAACGAGAAACGAACGTGTTGTTAAAATGCCCACAACTCATTGAAATGCTACAAGTTGCAAGTTTTCGAAATTCCTAAAGTCTTTGGTTATATTTTTAATTTTATAAAAACGGCCAAAACAATATTTTTCATAATAAATTTACTTTTAAATGCAAGTAACTAAGGATTATTAAGGAATTTCAAAATTTTTCCAAGAGATTATTTAAGGGAAATAAAACAGCACCGATTTGTCGTCTATTTTCCCAAAATCAGTGATTTTGTCCGCGGTCAAAAATGGAGCGAAACAGTTTAAACGAGAAACGAACGTGTTGTAAAAAATGACAACAAATCATTGAAATGTTACAAGTTGCAAGTTTTCGAAATTCCTAAAAAGTCTTTGGTTATATTTTTTATTTTATAATCACTTAAAAACGGTCAAAACAATATTTTTCATAATAAATTTACTTTTAAATGCAAATAATTAAGGATTATTAAGGAATTTCAAAAATTTTCCAAGAGATTATTTAAAGGAAATAAAACAGCACCGATTTGTCGTCTATTTTCCCAAAATCAGTGATTTTGTCCGCGGTCAAAAATGGAGCGAAACAGTTTAAACGAGAAACGAACGTGTTGTAAAAAATGCTCACCAATCATTGAAATGTTACAAGTTGCAAGTTTTCTAAATTCCTAAAAAGTCTTTAGTTATATCTTTAATTTTATAATCACTTAAAAACTGTCAAAACAATATTTTTCATAATAAATTTACTTTTAAATGCGAATAACTAAGGATTATTAAGGAATTTGAAAATTTTTCCAAGAGATTATTTAAAGGAAATAAAACAGCACCGATTTGTCGTATATTTTCCTAAAATCAGTGATTTTGTCCGCGGTCAAAAATGGAGCGAAACAGTTTAAACGAGAAACGGACGTGTTGTAAAAATGGCCACAAATTATCGAAATGTTACAAGTTGAAAGTTTTCGAAATTCCTAAAAAGTCTTTGGTTATATTTTTAATTTTATAATCACTTAAAAACGGTCAAAACAATATTTTTCATAATAAGTTTACTTTTAAATGCAAATATCTAAGGATCATAAAGGAATTTGTAAATTTTTCCAAGAGATTATTTAAAGGAAATAAAACAGCACCGATTTGTCGTCTATTTTCCCAAAATCAGTGATTTTGTCCGCGGTCAAAAATGGAGCGAAACAGTTTAAACGAGAAACGAACGTGTTGTAAAAAATGCCCACAAATCATTGAAATGTTACAAGTTGCAAGTTCTCGAAATTCCTAAAAAGTCTTTGGTTATATTTTTAATTTTATAATCACTTAAATATGGTCAAAACAATATTATTCTAATAAATTTACTTTTAAATGCAAATAACTAAGGATTATTAAGGAATTTCAAAAATTTTCCAAGAGATTATTTAAGGGAAATAAAACAGTACCGATTTGTCGTCTATTTTCCCAAAATCAGTCATTTTATCCGCGGTCAAACATGGAGCGAAACAGTTTAAACGAGAAACGAACGTGTTGTAAAAATGTCCACAAATCATTGAAATGTTACAAGTTGCAAGTTCTCGAAATTCCTAAAAAGTCTTTGGTTATATTTTTTATTTTATAATCACTTAAAAACGGTCAAAACGATATTTTTCATAATAAATTTACTTTTAAATGCATATAACTAAGGATTATTAAGGAATTTCAAAATTTTTCCAAGAGATTGTTTAAGGGAAATAAACAGCACCGATTTGTCGTCTATTTTCCCAATATCAGTAATTTTGTCCGCGGTCAAAAATGGAGCGAAACAGTTTAAACGAGAATCGAACGTGTTGTAAAAAATGCCCACAAATTATTGCAATGCTACAAGTTGCAAGTTTTCGAAATTCCTAAAGTCTTTGGTTATATTTTTAATTTTATAAAAACGGCCAAAACAATATTTTTCATAATAAATAAAGGAATTTGTAAATTTTTCCAAGAGATTATTTAAAGGAAATAAAACAGCACCGATTTGTCGTCTATTTTCCCAAAATCAGTGATTTTGTCCGCGGTCAAAAATGGAGCGAAACAGTTTAAACGAGAAACGGACGTGTTGTAAAAAATGCCCACAAATCATTGAAATGTTACAAGTTGCAAGTTTTTTAAATTCCTAAAAAGTCTTTGGTTATATTTTAAATTTTATATTTACTTAAAAACGGTCAAAACAATATTTTTCATAAAAAATTTACTTTTAAATGCAAATAACTAAAGATTATTAAGGAATTTCAAAATTTATCCAAGAGATTATTTAAAGGAAATAAAACAGCACCGATTTGTCGTCTATTTTCCCAAAATCAGTGATTTTGTCCGCGGTCAAAAATGGAGCGAAACAGTTTAAACGAGAAACGAACGTTTGTAAAAAATGCCCACAAATCATTGAAATGTTACAAGTTGCAAGTTCTCGAAATTCCTAAAAAGTCTTTGGTTATATTTTTAATTTTATAATCACTTAAAAACGGCCAAAGCAATATTTTTCATAAAAAATTTACTTTTAAATGCAAATAACTAAGGATTACTAAGGAATTTCAAAAATTTTCCAAGAGATTATTTAAAGGAAATAAAACAGTACCGATTTGTCGTCTATTTTCCCAAAATCAGTGATTTTGTCCGCGGTCAAAAATGGAGCGAAACAGTTTAAACGAGAAACGAACGTGTTGTAAAAATGCCCACAAATCATTGAAATGTTACAAGTTGCAAGTTTTCGAAATTCCTAAAAAGTCTTTGGTTATATTTTTAATTTTATAATCACTTAAAAACTGTCAAAACAAAATTTTTCATAATAAATTTACTTTTAAATGCAAATAACTAAGGATCATTAAGGAATTTCAACATTTTTCCAAGAGATTATTTAAGGGAAATAAAACAGCACCGATTTGTCGTCTATTTTCCCAAAATCAGTGATTTTGTCCGCGGTCAAAAATGGAGCGAAACAGTTTAAACGAGAAACGAACGTGTTGTAAAAAATGCCCACAAATCATTGAAATGTTACAAGTTGCAAGTTTTCGAAATCCCTAAGTCTTCAGTTATAACTAAGGATCCATTAGGAATTTAATAAACTTCCCAACAGTTCAATTGAGTGAAAAATGACCAGAGACCAAGATGTAAAGTTAAAGGATAAATGAGAATGAGGATTGCACTGAAGCTGAAAAGACTCACCGGTATCGACAGGTTTCTTCTTCTTGGTGCTTGAACCCTCCTCGTCCTCATCGTGTTCTTCTTCGGGCGCCTGAGCTTCCTCCTCCTCGTTGTTCCTCTCTTTCCACGTTTTCACCGGATCAGGAGCGTAACCCTTCTTAATCAGCTCGTCGACTATAGTCTTCCTCTTTTTATTCTCGACCACCAGCTCTCCGCCGCACTTCTCCATTATGAACCGCGCCTGGTTCGTCAGTTTGGCCGCCTCTGCCTCCAAAACGCCCTCGAGATAGTCCTTGCGCTTCTGGTAGTGCTTCAAACGCAAATCGTAGAACTCCTTCAGGATCTGCATCACGCTGTCGTAGCGCTTCAGGCAGCCCAGCTCGTCGAAAGCGCACATCGAGCTGGTGGAGAACATCGTCTGCAGCTTGAACACCTTGTGCAAGCCTTCCCTCTCGAGGACGGTCAGCTGGCCGGACATCAGCGTGACCACGAATTTCACGGTGGTGTCGGTGTTGTACTCCTTGTAGTCCTGAACGAGGGCCTTCACTTTCTCCGAGCCCGTCAGCAGCGGCTCGAGCACGTTCTCCTTGTAGTTTTGCGTCCACGTGCCCACCGGCAGCTCGGTTATCTCGATTTTATCGTCGCCGATTATGGCGATTTCGCCGCTGCAGCAGTACCGGTTGTCGCCGCAGTATTCGATCGTGCCTGAGATGGAGACATTTTTTTTTATCGAAAATTTCAGTTTTTGCTTGTACTTGAAATTTCACTTAAAGTTTCCTAAATTTCTGAAATTTCATGAAATTTATTGAAACTTTCAATAAATTTCACCACACTAATATATGGAATTATTTGTTAATAGTGGTAAACGTGGGTACAATGTGCCTACGAATTCTTGAAAACCATTCTTCCGACTAGTGTGAAGTCCGAAACATATCGTTCGTTAGTTTGTTTGTTGTTTTATTTTAAATTGGTTTTAAAATTAATGATATATATTTTTTCGGGACTGATCCCGGGATTAGAAAATGGGCTCGGGATTGTATCAGGGCTCCCACGGTTAAATTACAAATTTTATTTAGGAATTTAGGAGGTTTTTTGGAAAATTTTAGGAGAAAAAAGTACGCAAATGAATTTATTTAATTAAATAAAAACAACTTTACACTATACTTAAAAAGTAAGAAAAAAATAAGTAATTCTTTTTAACAAAAATATAAATAAATATAACTTCTTTTGTACAAATAGGTTATATTGACTAGTTTTTTAGCCAAATCGCTCGACGAGTTTTTTTTTATAAAATGAAAAGTGAGGTAAAATTACTACTTTTGTATATATCTACAAGTAGAAATTTCACCACACTTTTAATTTTATTAAAAAAAAAGCGTCGATAGATATGGCTAAAAAAGTAGGCCAAAGTTTAATGATGTTATTGTTACTAAAAAATCTCATAATAGAAAAAATATAAAGTACATGTACAGCAAAACATTCTTTAGATTGTTTACTATTTTAGCTATAATTTAAAAGAAAATTAAAAATCCTTTTGTTTGATATATAACACGGTATATTTTTGTCGAAAATTAACGAAATATGGCTAAAAATGACAATTTTGTAGAAGTCTAGAAGCTACTACATGGATTTTGTTTTATGGTATATTTTGTTGTTTTTTAAGAAAAATGTAGGTTGTGATACCTATATCATTTTAAAAAGAATTTAATAAACTAGAACCCAAAAATATATATTTTTTAAATTACTTTTTAAAAAAGAAATTTTTTAGCACAACTACCTTAATTAAACGCAGTCAAGTTGGCCTACTTATATTTAATTTTTAGGAGTTTTAGGAGATTGATGGCAATTTTAGGAGAATTTTAGGAGTTTTTAAGATTTAAGTCAAATTTTAGGAATTTTATGAATTTTAGGAGGTGTGGGAGCTCTGTTGTATATATCAAGTAGAAATTTCACCTCACTTTAATTTTATTAAAAAAAAAAACGTGTCAATAGATTTGGCTAAAAAAACTAGGCCAAAGTCAAATGATGTTTATATTTTGAGAGAAAAAATGTTAAACATTTAGTTAATAACTAACAATAATTGTAATGTGGATCTTGATACTCAAAAATCTCATAATAGAAAAAATATGAAGTTTGCATAATACAGCAAAACATTCTTTAGATTGTTTACTATTTTAGCTATCACTTAAAAGAAAATAAAAAATCCTTTTGTTTGATAAAACAGGGTATATTTTTATCAAAAACAAACAAAATATATTATTTAGGATGTTGTTTGGAGAATTTTAGGAAAAATAAACTATGAAAATGAATGTATATACAAAAGTTTATATACAAAAGTGCTCTTTTAGTTCCACCATTACTTCCTAAGAAGTCCCAGAAGCCAACTGAATGGCTTGTGCGGGTTAGGGGTAGGAACGGACCGCGGGCTTAAAGTCCCCTCCAAAGGACTATTACACAATATGACAAACACAAATAAACAGCCATACCCCACGACTTCCGGCTTGTAGTCAGCAGCACTAACCACTAGTCTACCGTCGGCGTTATGTAATTAATTAAAAGCAACTCTACACTGTACTTAAAAAATAAGAAAAAAATGAATAATTCTTTTTAACAAAAATATAAATAAATATAACTTTTTTTGTACAAATAAGTTACATTGTCTAGTTTTTTAGCCAAATCGCTCGACGAGTTTTTTTAAATAAAATTAAAAGTAAGGTAAAATTACTCCTTTTATTATATATCTGACAAGTAGAAATTTCACTACACTTTTAATTTTATTTAAAAAAGTGTCGATAGATTTGGCTAAAAAACTAGGCCAATGATGAAAAAATGAGAACTGTTTAGTTAATAACTAACAATAATTGTAATGTGGATCTTGATACTAAAAAATCTCAAAATAGAAAAGTTTGGATAATACAGCAAAACATTCTTTAGATTGTTTACTATTTTAGCTATGATTTAAAAAAAATTAAAAATACTTTTGTTTGATATACAGGGTGAGTCATTTACTTTGAAATATTTCAGTTAGCATGCATTTTAAGAAAAAATGTTTAAAATAAAAATTAAATGATTCGAGAGGGAAAATCAATCAGTACTAAAATTTGTCCTCATACTCTCCTTAGCTTTACAATTTCCAATGGAACACCCTATTTTTTATTGCAGATTCAAATAAAAATAGGTAGATTTTGTCTAAAACATTTTTTCATATTTGTAATAGATGGCGCTGTAATGAAAAAAAAAAATCAATTTTATTCGATTTTTCTTCTGTATGCGATTCTTCAATAATTTTTCTATAAAAATATCCCTTTTTTGGTAATAATTATCTTATTAAATTAAATCTGATTTTTTTAAGTACCCACGATTTTTTAACTAATATTTAAGTTTCCTTTGGTTTAAGTTTTGTACATTATTTCATTCGGTGATAATTATCAATTGCGCACCCTGGTCACTTTTTACCTGCCAGCATTAAATCCTTTAATTAAAGGATTATTGTACTATTTTTAATAAAAATACCTTATTTAAGGTTAACAAATCGATATTTTGTCAATTAATTAATTTAATCCTAATTAAGGTATAGAAAATGGTATTTAGTTATAAATAATAATTATTATTGAAGTATAAAGGAACTATTTATACATAGTTTAGCATTATTTAATCAATTTAGTTTGAAGATTAATTTCCAAACAAAAAGACCTCCTTTTGTTAAGCAGTTATTCATAATGAAAAAAAAAAATAGAAATGATTTTGATTTATGGAGAAGCAGGCAGGAATCTTAATGATGCTGTTAATATCTACGCTCAGCGTTTTCCGGATAAAATTCGATCACGCACTTCATTTCACCGTGCAGACAAGCAGTTTACTACAAACGGGAGTGTTCAACCGAAAAAAAGAGTTCGTCGAGCAACAGTCACAGGTCACGGTTAATTTTATAGACGATTTCAGAAAAAAAATATATAATCATCGAAAATTGTGTTTTTGGGTTTGTCCGACTCCCAAGTAACAGGAAACATGAAAATTAAAATCCTTCATGTAGGGCATTTTAGATAGGGGCCCAAAAATATGTCAAAAGTTTGTAATTTTTTCTAAACACTAAAAATATTAAATTAAAAAAAAACTTTTTTTAAGGATAATCTAGAGCGTTTAATTTTAAGTTAAAAGCGTCTCAAAAAGTTTTTTGTAGATTTCGGATTTAAACGAATATTAAACAATATTGTAGATAAATTAATGGAGAATCGCTTACATTTTAAAAAATTACTAAAAATAGACAAACGTTTATAATATACAGGTTTAAACAAAAAGATGTTTTTTACCATAAGTTTAAGACACTCTGTAGAGTGGCAAAACCGTATATTGTTCTAAAAGTTTTAATTATCAAATCAAGTCTATTCTTAACAGTTTTGTTTTTGGTTCACTCCGATATATTTATTTTGTGGAAAATGTAGATTTTTTTAAAAAAACATTTCATTTTCCAATATTTTTTGTACGAAGAACTAAGGTTGCTATGGTCCACCCATAGCCTATGGAGAATGACAGTGTTTTGTTGAATCATCTCATACTTTGACATTTTTTTGTAAATTAATGTGTTACTTTTGAGGTGTTTTCTTACTTTTAAAAATGGATATGTCTCGAGACATGGATTAAAGCAAAGGCTCTGGAAACATCAGTCGGATCCGACTGATGTTTCCAGAGCCATTGCTTTAATCCAGGATGGATGGTCTCAGTATTACCTGGATTGTACTTGGTTTTGGGTCAGTTCAATGTCCCTCAAAAACCAAAATATTTTCCCTCCTTTTCCGCAATCCACTAGCGGACTAGGCGAAAAAATTCTTTAAGAGGCCTTAATCATCGACACTGTCATTTACGGCCTTCTAGGCGAGATTTACCAGCCGGGGTAAAAATTCGTATCCACCAAACACAGGCAATGCTGTGCAGTGGCGGGATACGTGGGAGAACTAAAAGGGGCTAAAATAACCCTGGGAAATCAGTATAAGGCGTTGGCGATGGGGCCAGTCATCCGTTCGTCAAATTCGTATTCAACAATAAAATAATGAAAAACTTATGACACTGTTGTCGCCCATGTGCGATATATATATTCGTCTTTAATGTATTAAAGTTTATACATATGGTTTTAGGAAACAAATACCTCAATTTGTATTTTGACGAAGTTATGCCGAAAATATTCAACGTTTCGCAGTAGAACTATCTAAAGTCGGAGTACGGTACACAACAAAAATGCATGCCCTAGTTCATCATGTTCCAGAGTTCATTGAAAAATATCAACGAGCACTTGCCTTTTTTCTGAACAAGCGTCAGAACAAGTGCATCACTATTTTAACGTTTTCAAAAAATTTTAATTTAAATTCAAGGAATTTGCAATCTTTAAAAAAAAACTGTTAAGGGGTATTTGTTATTATAATAGCCAGCACATATAATTACATGTATTTATTTAGACATTAAAACATATTAAGTTAATTGAATTTGATTAATATGTATTATTTTGTGAAGTAAAAAAAATCAGAAATTTTTTATAACAAAACTATAGCATCTACAGAAGACTTTATAAGACGTTTTTTACTTAAAATTAAACGCTTTATTATCCTTAAAGATAGAGAACGGAAAGGGGGTAAAATAACCCCGGGAGATCAGTGGATGATAATATATCTGGGGCCTGCCATACGTTCCCATACTCATACTCAAAACTATAGCGTCTACAGAAGACTTAATAAGACGTTTTTAACTTAAAATTTAACGCTTTATTATCCTTTTTACAAAAAATTTAAAAATTTTCACATATTTTTGGGCCACTATATAGAATGCCATACATGAAGGATTTTATTTCTCATGTTTCCTGGTACTTGGAAGTCGGATAAACCCGAAAACAATAGTTTAGATGATTATATATTTTTTTTCTGAAATCGTCTATAAAATTAACCGTGAGGTGGAAATAATGAAATTAATGTATTATCAGCAACGGCCGCTAATCCTCATGCAAGCACACGAGAATTATCTAGAGATTTGGAAAAATCCCAGAGCAGTGTTAGCAGAATATTAGAACGAAATTCGAATTAATAAATGCATTGATGTCGAAGGCCACCATTTTGAGCACCTACTTTAATTAAAATTTAAAAAATAAATAAATTAAAAAAATAAAACCAAGTATTTTATTCAAAAATTATTGGAGAATCGTGTACAGAAGAAAAATCGTAAAATGCAACTGAGATATTTCAAAGTTTCAAGTTAAATGACACACCCTGTATAACACGGTATATTTTTGTCAAAACCCAACGAAATATCGCTAAAAATGACAATTTTGTAGAAGTCTAGAAGCTACTACATGGGTTTTGTTTTTTAGGAATATTTTGTTGTTTTTTTTTAATAAAAATGTAGGTTGTGAATCACAACTTGTGATATATCATTTTAAAAAGGATTTAATAAACTAGAACTTAAATATATATTTTTTAAATTACAATTGCAATTCTAGGAGTTTTCAAGATGTGGGAGTCCTGAAAATGTGACCAAAGTAGAAACGTCAATGCCGAGTTTTACGTCTTAATTTGTTGGATTTTTGTTTTATTACAGGGTGGAGAAATAAATTACAAACACCATCATGCCGAACAAATGAATATGAAAAACGGTTTTAGAAAAGCTGTAAATTAAAATTGAAGCCCTTAAATACCAAAAACCTACCTTTGAAGTTCTTGTACCACGGATGCAACATGTTGGGCTCGTCTCCGTCCATCATCCTCCTCAAATTGGTGGCAATTTCCCTCGGGTTGTAATTCGCTATCTTGGTGCTCCATCCGGTGCCGATACCTTCGGCGCCGTTCACCAAAATCATCGGTATAACCGGCATATACCAGACCGGCTCGATCTTCAAGTTATCGTCGTATTCGTGCTTCAGCAGTGGGTCGTCGTGCGGATGGAAAATCATGCGCGCCATCGGCGAAAGTTTGGTGAAAATGTACCTGGGAAACGCAAAAGTTGATGTATCCTTAGGTGGTACTTTACCAACAGAAATTAGACTCAATACCCAAAGAACCGAGGTTTTGGAAAGAAATTAATCAACTTTTATATTTTACATTTATTGGGGTTTAATTGGACATACACTGAGCAATCACCAATCTTTATGAAATTTTGTATAAAAATACTTATATCTCAGTTTATGTGTTCGAGGGTTTTTCGAGAAAATATTTTTAAAGCCCTTTTATTTAATAATAAAAAAAAACGTTCGAAAAATAACTTTTAGGGAATTTTTTTAAGTAAATAAAAAATATGCTGTTAAAGACCGTATTTTTGTTAGTATACCCTGAAAATTTTGTTCAAATCAAATGAACATTAACGAAGATACAGCGCTTCAAAGTCCGTAAAAATGACCCCTTTTTGATTATTTTGCTGAAAAGTGGTCATTTTTGACGACTTTGAAGCGCTGTATTTTCGTTACTGTTCGTTTGATTTTTACAACATTTTCATCGAATGACTAACAAAAATACGGTCTTTCACAGCATATTTTTTATTTACTTCAAAAAAAAATTCCCTATAAAAGTTTTTTTTAGCGTTTTTAATATTAAATAAAAGGGCTTTAAAGATATTTTCTCGAAAAACCCTTTTATGCGATAATCTAAACCATTTAAATATCTAAGGAATACAATTGATTTTGAAATAATTTAAATATAAAATATGTTCTATAATTTATTTAATAACCTTCATGTTATTTAATTAGTTGTTATTAATAAAATAATATATTTAAATGAAATATATACATTTAATACTAAAATAATTATAAACTTTTGCATAATTTTGCAAATAAAATTGTTAATAACCCTCTCTAATGTATTCACCTTTTTATGTAATTTTTGTTACCTGGGCAATTAGAACTAAAATAATTATTCATACTATGTAAATTAAAGCCATTAAAATGTTAAACTAAAATGAATTTTGTGCTTATAAAAAGAAATTCACTTTTAATACTTTTATCAACATTTTAGTTTTCATTATTTGTAGAGCAAACATGCAAAAACCGATAAATCTATTTTTACATTTTAAGAGGATAGAACCAATTCTTACTAATTAACACAGCATTTTAAGTAAAAACCGAAACAGAGACAACCCAACAGGAGCAACATTTCCTTTTAATAGTTTTTAAACATTTGGGGCAATCTGTTTTACACATTTTTGGCCAATATTTCATAATAAGTTAAAATGGATTTATCCGCTTTTGCATGTTTGCTCCATATTTGTTTTATGAAATAACTGCCCAATACCAACTTATTTCAATGTATAAAAATCAAATAAAATATGAAAACGGCATAAACTTATCATAATTAAAGCTTGGTTTTCTCAAAGGGTCTAACTGCCAAATATAAAATTGTGAGTAATCAATGAAAATAATAGATAAAATTCTTACAAAAATAATATGGAGTTAGAATATTTTAAAAAAAATAATATGGAATATTTTTTAAGTCGTTTTGCATGGCACATAGACTATTTTTAAATAATAATTTAATATTTGACCAAATTGGGTCCAAACCCTTTGCTTCAATTATAATTTTTTAGAACCCTTTTTTTAAGAAAGTATTCTGCTAAAACAATGCGCAAAAAAGCGGCATTTTTATTTTAAAAGAAATGTTAAATAATTATTAATGTTATTATTTATCGTTTTATTTTAAATAAACTTCTTTGCGCATTGTTTTAGCGGAATATTTTCTTAAATAAAGGGTACTACTAAATTTTACCATAAATTTAGTTTCGCTGAAAAAGTAGGAAAATCCTGAAAATTTCTATAAATTCAACTTTTACCTTGAAAACCTTTTAAAAAAGTTAATTTATCATAAAATAATACCTTTTTGTAAAGCCTTCAATTCCCTAGAAAAATTTGTTTCAGTTTTATCGGTCCACTAATCCGCTGACGAGTTATACAATTTCAAAGTATTTTAAAAAATGAGGGATCTTTAAATTTAATATTACGAGCTTACATTTTACCAGGATAGTTTCAGTTAACTTTTTATTATAATTACATCAAACGTTTTTTGATAAATCCTAGTATATTTAATTTAAAAATATACAAATATAAAAATTCTAAATAGGTATATTTTTTTAATTTTAACACATAAACGTGCAACAAGTTATAAAATGTGTTTTTATTCCCATGATGTGAAATAGTGTATTCAATCATTGCTACTTCCCAAAAATTTGAAGTAAGTTTTAAAAAACTACAACTTAATAATATTCTTTTTAGCCTAAAAAGTTCTTTTTAAAAGTTTTTCATAGAATAAATGTATAAATTTTATAAAACTATAAAAAAATATTTGGACAATACTATTTTCCGTAACTGTACATTTATTGGCAAAACTTTTCCAAAGATGAAAGGGCAATCCTTGGCCAAGTTTTAACCTGATGTGGTTCTCTGGGTAAGAGGGTAGGCAGAATTTAATTTAAGAACCAGGGAACTGTCTTACCTGGGACTGGCCGAGTCCTTGCCGCCCGACAAGCGGGTACCGAACTGACCGCGCGGTTCCAGAAGGTTAATGTTGTTGCTGCCCACGTAGTTTTGCGCCAAGTTTACGATCGTCATGCACAGAGAGACTTCGCCGTGGTGATAGGCAGAGTGCTCTGCCACGGAACCGGCCAACTGCGCCACTTTCACTTCGCGCTTGTCGTTACGTTTTAGGCATGTGAAGAGGATCTAAATTTTCAACAAGAAGAATGGTACTTTATCTCGAAAAAAAATATATGGAGTCTTAAAGATATGTAAGCTACAAAAACTGTGGGCCCATTTACTATTCATAGACTTTTAACTCGTTTTCCCCAAAACTACCTTTTCGGATATGGTGACCACGATATTTTTAAAACCACTCAATGGATTTAGATGAAATAACAGCATATTCTAGGGTCTAAAATCTAGGCATTAAAAACAGGATGATCCTTCTTTTGAAACAATTTCCAAGCAATTTTTTCTTCAAAATTTTGCGAAATTTGAAAAAGAAAACAAAAACCTTCGACATCATTCTCAAGAGCACCTTTTACAAGAGAGAGAGAGAAGTTGATAAATGGTCCAGAATACAAAAATTTCAGAAAATTTCCATTTTCCTACATCTTTGACTGCATGTAACTCCTTAAGAAAACAACTTATCTTACCTTTCTTTGAAAACCTAACCTCACTCAATGGATTCAGATAAAATAACAGCATATTCTAGGGTCTGAAATCTAGGCATTAAAAACAGGATGATTCCTTCTTTTGAAACAATTACCAAGCGATTTTTTCCTCAAAATTTTGCGAAATTTGAAAAAGAAAACAAAAACCTTCAAGATCATTCTCAAGAAGAAACTTTTACAAGAGAGAGAGAGGAGTTGATAAATGCTCCAGAATACAAAAATTTCAGAAAATTTCCATTTTCCCACACCTCTGACTCCATGTAACTCCGTAAGAAAACAAAAGTTATCTTATCTTTCTTTGAAAACCTTACCTCACTCAATGGATTTAGATAAAATAACAGCATATTCTAGGGTCTAAAATATAGGCATTAAAAACAGGATGATTCCTTCTTTTGAAACAATTACCAAGCGATTTTTTCCTCAAAATTTTGCGAAATTTGAAAAAGAAAACAAAAACCTTCGAAATCATTTTCAAGAAGAACCTTTTACAAGAGAGAGAGGAGTTGATAAATGGTCCAGAATACAAACATTTCAGAAAATTTGACTTTCATTAAAAACCTCATCTCACCTTTCCCTGAAAACAAAGTTCATCTTACCTTTCTCTGTCCAGGCTTGAACCCGTCGACCAAACAAGGTATGGACCTGATGTTATCGGCGTTGGAAAAGAGCACCAACTCCAAATTGACGAAGTCCGCGTAGGAGACGAACTTGGTGTCTTTGCCGTAGAGATAGACTTCGGGAAGTCCGATCTCCTTCCTGCGCCTCGACTCCACCATGAAGTTGGTGAGCCACTCTTTGCGGTGCTCGATGTGCTTGCGGCTGAAGGCCAGCACGATGTGATCGTCGTCTTCCTGGCCGCCGTAGCGGAAGCGGATGCGATGGCGCGCCATGTTCTGAAAGTACTCTTTAGCCTCCACGGACGTGGAGGTACCCAAACCTAAAAGAACAGTCGACGTTTTTTGATGCCTTGCGATTGGGATTATGTGAAACATAAAATATGGAACATTAAATAATAAGAAAAAAGTAATTTGTCTTGACGTGCGTCCAACTCGACAATATTAAACATTTCCGTAGTATTTAAATGTTCTGGGACAGTTTTTCGGGAGGCCAGAAACACCTTAAACTTTACACAAATAAATAAAAAAAACATGCGTAATTGTTTGGTAACTAGGTCACGTGCATTGGATCAGTACCACTGTTAGGTTTATATTCGCTTGCAGCCGTTGCGTGGTGTACCACCGTTTTACCTTGGTTAAGATCCTAGAGTAGGCGGAGCTATGACTCCGACTGCAAGCGATTTTTGAATGTCGTTGCTACTGAGCTATTGCTCCCAACTGTACATCACCAAAAAATATTGTAAATATAACAAAATAGCTAGATTTTAAGTAAAATATGCAATACCCAGGAAAATGGGCTTTAAATAAAGACATCTGAATATTACTATTTCATTAATTTTGTGTGGATTGTGAAGCAATATGCCGCTCATTTTCCTCTCACCGACTGTTAAAGCATTTTTCTTGTGATCCTCAAAAAATAGGGGTATGATTCCCATTGAAGATATTGCGCACCATACTGTTATCTTGTGGATTTTCCAACGCCCAATACACAGTGCGCCTCTGTAAAGTTTAAGTTTTTTGAAAAGACCACCCAAATTTTTTTGTTGTTGATTATAGTGGACCATCCCCTCATTACATACCACTAGTCATCTAAATCGCAGCTGATCCTTCTTGAAAGTTTTTTAGCTCTTTAGATTTTTTTTATTTTTTTAAGTATTTTTATAAAATTCACTTAATTTCCAAACACATGCTGGCTTTCTGGCAGGCAGATAGATAAAATTACAAATATTATCAGAACATCGGCAGGAAAAAAATCAATACCCAGGCAATATAGAACCTCGCGAAGAAGTCGATCTCGTATTTTGTTTAAATACTATAAAGAAGTTTTTTAATTTTGGAAACCTTAGAGGGAAAACTCCTACGGGCAGTTATTTATGCAGATGCAAGTGACCTAGTAAACGAAATTTTAGAAAGGAAACAAGAGTTTGGCACACCAAATGTCAAGGTTTTGTGCGATGGAGGCCAACATTTTTTAAAATATGTCTGTCCATATTTCCAGAAGATCCAGAAAATAAAGAGAATGAAATTTCATTGCGTTCGAGGGATTCAGATGAAGGTAACGCTGCAAAAAAGGAAAACTTATAGGTGTTATGGTTCCTAACATCAAAGAAACATACGAAAATCTTAACTTACTTTTTGACTTGGTAAAAATAAACAAGATATCCTTTAAATTTCTTTCTGACTTTAAAATAATTCTAATGGTTAATGGCTTACAGACAGCAACATCGTCCTACCCATGTCCTTATTGCTACATTTCGTTAAAAGAACTTCGATCATTCAGTGAATATCATAAAGAGTTGCGCTCCTATGGCGATAATACACTACATTTTAATAAATTTGACTTAATTTTTGAAGAAAACTTAAAACGTGAAAATGAATCTTTTAGTACTATCAATAAAGCCATTTTCAAAGAAGATGACGTTAAAATTTTCAAGAAATGTATTATTCCGGAACTTTATCTTTTGCAAAGATTTATTAATCATTTATTTTTTAAAGGACTTGTACCACTGCTAGGCAAAGAAAACGCATTAAAATGTCCTAAACAGCTACACTTGGTCACGAAAAATTATCAAGGAGAACTTTTTGAAGGGAATGCCTGCAGAAAGTGGTTGAAAAATGCAGAAGATTTAAAGTCAAAAGAGATATTAGTCAACCTGGAAGAAGTTTATGGTATACCCTTTGTTGTGGCTTTCAACACAATGAATCGTATTGTTGAAAAGTGTTTTGGTTCGGAGCTGCTTTGTACCTTAAGTAAACTGAAGGCTGACGTGTCACTTTTGAAAGGGCGCAGGAGTCTCGCAGACCCTTTGGAGCATCTTGTAGAAACGGTCCAATTTTTAAAAACTTGGTTGGGTCTGTGGTCGGAACAAGCTGGTGAGTCTGTTCATCGAGAATTTTTGTTAATTTGGAAGAAATACAAAATCAATGATGTAAATGACCTGCGATACGGACAGTAGTGTTATAAAGAATTTTGCTCTTGTTTGAAATTGTTTTAAAGTTAAATTAATTTTTGTAATATTTTAAGGGTAATAAATTTGATATATTTTGATTTTTGATTTGATGTTAAAGACTGTCAAGTATAGTGCACTGTACATTTTTCAAATAAAATTGTTAATAACTCTCTTTAATGTATTTATCTTTTTATGTGATTTTTTGTTACCTGGACAATTGGAATTAAAATATTTATTCTTACTACCATGTAAATTAAAGCCATTAGAATTTTAAACTAAAATGCATTTTGTGCTTATAAAAAAATGCACTTTTAATACGTTTATCAAAATTTTAATTTTCATTATTTGTTTTATGAAATAACTGGCTAATAACATTTTATTTCAGTGTATAAAAATCCAATTAAATATGAAAACGGTATAAATTTATAATAATTACAATAATTGAAGCTTGGTATTCCCAAAGGGTCCAAGTGCCAAAAATAAAATTGCGAATAATCAATGAAAATAGTAGATAGTAAAAATAATTTTAAGTTGGAATTGGAATATTTTTAATGTCGTTTTTCATGGCACATAGACTATTTTTAAATAATAATTTAATATTTGACCAAATTGGGTCCAAACCCTTTGGGAATACCATGCTTCAATTATAATTTTGTCCTACTTTTTCAGCAAAACTAAATTCATGGTAAAATTTAGTAGGATCGTTTCTTTAAGAAAATATTCTGCTAATTGGTAAATAATTATTAATGTTATTATTTACCATTTCTTTTCTTAAAGAAACGGTCCTACTAAATTTTAACATTTAGTTTTGCTGACAAAGTATTCTTATAAATACAACTTTTACCTTGAATACCTTTTAAAAAAGTTAATTTATCATAAAACGGCAACATTTTGTTTCGGTTTTATCGGTCCATTAATACGTTGACGAGTTATACAATGTCAAAGTATTTTAAAAAATCTCATGTTATTTTAATGGGAAATAGAAATTCCCGATAAGGGACCTGTAAATTTAATAAATTTTAACAGGACCATCTTTTTGAGATAGTTTTATAGGTGTGTTAATTTTTTTATTATAATTATATCAAACGGTTTTTGATAAATCTGTAGTATCCAAGAAATAAGTATACAAATTTTATATATATTATATTTAATTTAAATATATTAAATTTAAAATTTTTAAATATCAAACGTTTTTTGATAAATCCTAGTATATTTAATTTTAAAAAATAACAAATATAAAAATTCTAACACATAAACGTCATTGCTACTTCCCTAAAATTTGAAGTAAGTTTTATAAAACTACAACTTGATATTATTTTTAGCCTAAAAAGTTCTTTTTAAACATTTTTTCATAAAATAAATGAATAAATTTTATAAAACTATAAAAAAATATATTAAAAAATTAACGATTTAATAAATATGTAACACACCTAAAATAATTAATTCAAGCAGGTAGCAAATTCTAAATATAGACATATTTTTAAATAAATGAGCATTCAAATGGACATTACTATTTTCCGTAACTGTACCTTGAATTTATTATGAAAAACTCAAAATTGTATTTCATTTTTTCCTTTAACGCATATCCTATCTATCAGATCGCAATATTTTTTCAAAACTCGATAAGGTGTTAAAAAATCCCGAAAGTTGCCAACCTAAAAAAAAAAATTACCTTTGTAGTATTTGATGTTGAAGGTGTGATGGTTGGGCGTGTTGGCCTTCCACTCTTCGAACTCGGGCAGCGAATAGAACGAGAACACCTCGGTCCTCTTCTTGGCTTTGACGATGGGCGTGATGAACTCCTCGAGGAAGTTCTGCCTGAGCAGCTCCGGCCAGTTGTGATGTATGAAGTTGATGAGCAAGCCCTTGATGTGCGACCCGTCCTGATCCTGATCCGTCATGATCATCACTTTGCCGTAACGCAGCGTCTTCATGTCGTCCTCGTTGTTGTACTTCTTCTTGTACTGCAGCCCGATGATCTTGATCAGGTTGTTGATTTCCGCGTTCTCGAGGATCTGCTTGTGCGTGGCTTCGCGCACGTTGAGCAGTTTACCTAGAGACGTAAAAAAACGGTTTTTTCAGATGTGAAAAAAACATGAAAAAAAAACCTAGAAAAAAACGGTTTTTTTTGTTTTTTTTTAAATGAAATTTTGAGTAAAAAGGGTGTTATGTAATTAATGTTATATATCAAAATGGGTTGTTCCTTAGGGTCCATAAAGAAGCACCTGAAACTTTTTTTTTCTAAATTCCAAAGTCTAAAAATAATTTATAATAACCTTTATCCTACCAAAAAGTACGACTAGGAACTTTAGGTTAATCTGGTGGATTTATTATGTTATGGTTGGTAACAACAGTTTTTCCAAAATCTCTCAAAAAAGTTGACAAACATTGTTTAAATTTAGCTTAATTACAAAAATTACAAAATTAACAATGCAAATTGTCAATTTGGCGTTTTTATTAATTGTTGGTTATTTCATTTTTGTACTGAAGGTAAATTCAAACAAAATCTGCCAACTTTTATGACAGAATCTAGTGCATTTCTTTTAAATTTTAGGTTATGTTTTCAAATTGTAAATATCTTAACTAAGGGAAGTGCTTTTGGATTTATTTACCCAAATTAAATGTTTAAAGTTTAACCTGTGAACTGGTCCCAATTTCATCTGAGTAAACAGAGAAAAAAACTGATGAAAAAATTAATTTTGTGGTTATGGATTTCAAATTTCAAAGGTACTAAATTTTCTAATCATTGCTTAAGCTAATAGCTGGATCAGTAAATAAATACAGAAGGGTATTAGAGCTTTAAGGGCATAAAACTTTTGTATTTATTGAGTTTTTATTTATTTTTTGCAAGAAAAATTTTTAGTAACAATTTTTTACATCTGGCAACGCATAGCTACTTTGTTGCTTGGTATCTATGTACTCACAAAATACAGGTGTGCAGAGATAAACAAGTGTGTAACCAGTGGCGTATAACAAAAAATATAAAAAACTTCTAATGCATATTTTTTCTTTATCTTTGGAAAAATGCTTTTTAAAATATTTTTCCTTTATTCCTTATGTCAAAAGGTATTCAGTATTTTAATATATAACATTAATTACATAACACCCTGTATAAATAATAAAGTGAAATGTAGAATATATTACATTTATCATTATTGAAAATTTTGACAAAAATCTGATTTCTTATTATTTGGTAGTTTCCACATTAAAAACCAATAGCAATGTAAAACTTCTACCTACACTAATACAAAAAAATTAAAGGATACAATTTTTTTGCGATTTTTCGGATAGCTGTAATTTTGTTAAAAATGGTCATATTGGAGCCGTAAAAAAAGCAATTTGAAGCTTGAAGTTTATTTATTTTTTGCAACGCTCAATCCTAACGAATACCCTAATAAAAAAATCGATTTTTTTTGCTTTCTTTTTTGGTCCACAGCATGTTCCGACTCAACCACCAATGAATAAATGTTCTACAAGAATTTGCTATTGTTTTTTTTGAAAAAAAAATATCCATACTCTACATAAATTTGAAAAATCATGAAAAAAGTGCTTTTGGTAGCTTTTTGAAAAATCAAGCGCTGAATCAAAAATCTTATATGTAGTTACTTTTTTTAGGACCAAATCAAAACGAGCGCGGCCCTTATTGGTCAAATCGGCGGTTGTGGCGCGTGAATAACGCGAGACTGTATTTACATTTACTAATTGTCATTAGCTGGCCATACACAGGCGTTATTTCGCGCGGTTTATAGTGGCGTGTTGGGATGTAGCGGTTAGTATGCACGAAAGAACGGCATGGCAAAAAAAGCGTCATGTTCCATACACTTGATAAAGTATTCAAATAATTTAGCAAGTGATTGCCAGTGGTATATCAGTTACAAAGGAAAAATCGTATGTGAGTGGGCAAAAAGTGTCATTTATCGAGTCGTTTGAAACTGCATGTGATCATGTACAAATTTTCAACGTCAAATTTTGCCAAGCAAAGGTAAACCGTGACGCGGAATGTGGCGTGTGGACACGCCACACTCCATAGAAAAGCACGTCTGAAATCCCTTCCCGTTCTATCATTGCGCGCGGCGATACTCACTCACGTACATGATTTTCCATATGTTTTTGCAGATAACACGATAAACCGCGCGCAATAACGTCTGTGTATGGCCAGCTATTTAGTGGCTAATTTTAGTCCATGGAAACATAAAAAATTAGGCAAATGGGTAGAGATGTAAAAAAACGGTTTTTTTTCAGATGTGAAAAAAAACATGAAAAAAAACGTAGAAAAAAAGGGTTTTTTTTTGTTTTTTTTTCAAAATGAAATTTTGAGTAAAAAGTATATTAATAATAAAGTGAAATGTAGAATATATTAAATTTATCATTATTGAAAATTTTGACCAAGACTAAAAAATCTGATTTCTTATTATTTGGTAGTTTCCACATTAGAAACCAATAGCAATGTAAAACTTCTACACTAATACAAAAAATTAAAGGATAAATTTTTTTTGCGATTTTTCGGATAGCTGTAATTTTGTTAAAAATGGTCATATTGGAGCCGTAAAAAAAGCAATTTGAAGCTTGAAGTTTATTTATTTTTTGCAACGCTCAATCCTAACGAATACCGTAATAAAAAAATCGATTTTTTTTGCTTTCTTTTTTGGTCCACAGCATGTTCTGACTCAACCACCAATGAATAAATGTTCTACAAGAATTTGCTATTGTTTTTTTGAAAAAAATATATCCATACTCTACATAAATTTGAAAAATCATGAAAAAAGTGCTTTTGGTAGCTTTTTGAAAAATCAAGCGCTGAATCAAAAATATTATATGTAGTTACTTTTTTTAGGACCAAATCAAAACGAGCGCGGCCCTTATTGGTCAAATCGGCGGTTGTGGCGCGTGAATAACGCGAGACTGTATTTACATTTACTAATTGTCATTTAGTGGCTAATTTTAGTCCATGGAAACATAAAAAATTAGGCAAATGGGTAGAGATGTAAAAAAACGGTTTTTTTCAGATGTGAAAAAAACATGAAAAAAAACGTAGAAAAAAAGGTTTTTTTTTTGTTTTTTTTTCAAAATGAAATTTTGAGTAAAAAGTATATTAATAATAAAGTGAAATGTAGAATATATTAAATTTATCATTATTGAAAATTTTGACCAAGACTAAAAAATCTGATTTCTTATTATTTGGTAGTTTCCACATTAGAAACCAATAGCAATGTAAAACTTCTACACTAATACAAAAAATTAAAGGATAAATTTTTTTTGCGATTTTTCGGATAGCTGTAATTTTGTTAAAAATGGTCATATTGGAGCCGTAAAAAAAGCAATTTGAAGCTTGAAGTTTATTTATTTTTTGCAACGCTCAATCCTAACGAATACCGTAATAAAAAAATCGATTTTTTTTGCTTTCTCTTTTGGTCCACAGCATGTTCTGACTCAACCACCAATGAATAAATGTTCTACAAGAATTTGCTATTGTTTTTTTGAAAAAAATATATCCATACTCTACATAAATTTGAAAAATCATGATAAAAGTGCTTTTGGTAGCTTTTTGAAAAATCAAGTGCTGAATCAAAAGTATTATAGGTAGTTACTTTTTTAGGACCAAATCAAAACGAGCGCGGCCCTTATTGGTCAAATCGGTGGTTGTGGCGCGTGAATAGCGCGAGACTGTATTTACATTTACTAATTGTCATTTAGTGGCTAATTTTAGTCCGTGGAAACATAAAAAATTAGGCAAATGGGACTAATCTTGAAAAAAAACCTAAAATGTGAAAATAAACCATTTGAAAAAAAAACAAAAAAAAGGACCGTTTTTTTTCAAGTCGCATCTCTAAGTTTACCTCTCAAGGGGAAGACCCCGTAGTTGTCTCTTCCTATTACGGCGAGACCAGATACGGCCAAAGACTTGGCCGAATCTCCCTCGGTTAATATGAGGGTGCATTTCAGAGCGTTTTTCGTGCCGGCTTCGTTCGCGTCCTCCAGCTTCGGAATTCCCTTCAGCTTCGACTGTTTTCTGCCGCCTTTTTTCTCCAATTCATTCTGCGCCTTGAATTTTGCCCAGGACAGAACCGACTCGACTATGCCGCTTTTCGTAACGGCAGCGATGAATTTATCGCTTAAAGCGCATTTAGATCCGAACGACTTCATTTGCAGAGTCATGTTCTCTTTAGTTTGCGAGTCGAACGTCGGGTTCACGATCAAGCAGTTGATGAACACCCACATGTGGTTTTTCACTTGGAACGGCTTGATGTTAACCCCGCCCTTATTTTTCTTCTTCAGAACCTCAATCAGCTGTTTCACCACCATATCGGTGACGTAGTCCACGTGTCTGCCACCTTTAGTGGTGGCGATACTGTTAACGAAAGACATCTGTTGAAAACCCCGCTCGGAGAGAGTTAAAGCGACTTCCCAGCGTTCGCTGCACACTTCGTGGACAACCTTGAGGTTATTACCGGAATCGTCTTCGTTACCTTTCACGTACATGTCGACGTAATCCTTGAAATTCTTCACGGCGACTTTTTTGCCGTTGAGAAAGACCTTAACGCCTCTGGCGGAGGCGGCGATATCGTACGCTCTACGCGACATGATGCCGACGATATCATCGTCCAACTTGTCCATTTTGAATTTGGCCAAATCCGGGCTGAAACTGATTTTGGTGAAATCGTCGCCGAAGAACTCTTTCACCTTGGGATCGGACGCTTTGGTCATGTTGCTGCCCCACGTCTGCTTGAATTGCTTTTTATACTCTTTTGTAGCGGTCTCCACCGTGAACTTGGTGCTAAATATGTTGCACAGTTTGGCGCCGTAGCCGTTTCTACCTCCCGTAACCTTCTCCTCCTCGTCGTTGTAGTTCGAGGAGGTCAACAAATGCCCGAAAATCATCGTCGGCACGTACATGTTCTCGTCCTTGTGCATCACCACGGGAATACCCTGCCCGTTGTTCCACACGGAAATGAGATTCTCCTCCTGCTTTATCTCGATTTTGATGCAGTCCATCTTTTTGTCTCTCTGCTTGTTATCGGCGGCGTTCACGAGGATCTCGTCGAAGATCTTGTACAACCCCGGAACGTACTCCACCTGTTTTTGCACCATTTTTTCCGCCTCGGTGTCGTAAATCCACATGGATTCGGTTTGCTTTTCCACCGAACCGATGTAGGTGTCGGGACGGAGCAGGATGTGTTCCAGTTGGGATTTTTTCTGGTAGGTTTTTTCGATGTTGTTTTTTTTGGACGCTTTCGCGGCTTTGGGAGGGGATGCTTGGTCTGGCCCGGCGTCCCCTGCGCCCCCTGACCCATTCGTGCCCATTTTGATAAACAAACTCTGCAAAAGAATACAATTTGTATAACTTATTTCATCTTGTCCCCTTATTAATACTACATCTAAATAACTTCAACAATACATTGATCAGACAGAATTACTGAATAAAAGTTACTAACTGTTAGTAAAATTTGGGGGAGGTTAAAACACATATAGATATATTTTAAAGACTCATTTACGTTTCAGTGAAGGGAGCTAGAGTTATTTAGTTATGGCGTTCATTTTAGTTAATTTCATAGAACTGGAATTGTAAAATTTTGAGTTATTATGTGGACTATATGCTAAAGAAGTATCGGGTTGGGTTGGGCATACGAACTGTACATCATTTTTAAATAAATAGGTAGTTTTTTTACAAAAGAGAGGAAGGCAGAAGTCTTACTCGACAAATTTTGTTCAATTGCACAGCTAAATCGCGCACGTTATTTGTGTTTTACGTTGCAAGAAAAAAAATTAAAAAACTTTTTTAGTACCTACTCGATTTCATTTGATTATTCCTTATATCATTGATTAAGAAACTCAACGCTTAAATGCTTATATAGTTACGTTAGTGTGTGTATTTTATCTAAGGGATCATGGTGAATTATTGTGTTTTTAATTGTAAATAAAATTCAAGAACTAAATCGTTGCATTTTCATGTTTTGCCAAAGGATCCAATTCGGTAAGTACATTTGTTGGTGCAGAATTAACTAATGATAACTTTACCTAATATAATTTATATTTAAGTTTGGACATTTTTAAGAAATTAGTAAAAAATAATGTTTGGACAAACATAACCTTAAAATCAACCATTTTTATATTTGAGTTCTCTAAAAAACGCCGACAACTGCATTTTAAACAACAAAATATACCTACGAATTCATGGCAACATAATATTATATATAATACACAATATAATGGTATTTTACCGTTGACAGGAGACTTTAAAGAATTCTTAATCAACGCTTTTAGTAATGCTAAATGCTGTTTAAATTTATACGACTTATTTTTTTGACGATTTTAACTGAATTGAATTGGTTAACACTTTTTACGTTAATCATTACTAAAATGTGTATTTATTGTATCTAATAGATACAATTTATATTTACAGGGACTGTATGAAATTTATTTCTTCATTTGGATTAACACTGTTTATTGGAAAACCGATAAAAACTCAACCCAGGATTTCCTCTCGAAATACACCCAACAACACAACAAATCGATACACGGTTTTTTTCGATATTTTTTAACATTTTCCAGCTTTATTCTCAAAAACACTCGTTTGTAACACAGGCGTTTGACAGCTGATTATTAAAAGTTGTACTTTTGTAACGATGATAACAGCCGAGAGGTGGCGCTACTAGCGATACTTCTTTAGCGAATTGTTTTCTTATTTCTAATTTCTTAAGCAACATTTTGATGGGTGTTAAGTTGATAGAAGGCAGCATGTACAAATAAACCTGGAGAAAAACTCAAATTTAGAAATCAAAAATGGAGTGCCTCAAGGCTCAATCCTTGGGCCAACATTATTCCTTATTTATATTAATTCCATCACCAACTTACATTTAAAAGGGAATCTAAAACTATATGCAGATGATGCATACTCTTGCATACTATGCTAATTCCACAGACCAGTTAAGACATGAGACTTTTAACAAAATGGTTAAACTCTAGGGATAGAACGATACCGATATTGATATCGGTATATCGGCATATCGGCAATTGTTTCCAATTATCGGTATCGTATCGTATCGGCAAAAAAAAGTTGCGCTTTTCACTCTTCAGTGCATAAATGAAATAAAGTCGTAGGGAAATGTGTATAGTTTTTAAGAAATACATTTTGCCATTAACTGGAATTTAATGGATTTTAAACAATACTTAGTTTTTATTTGCAGAAATGCATAAAAACAAAACAAACGAATTCGATAAAAATAAAACCTATAAATTCTCAATCCCTACCACAGTGGGCGGGGTTTGGCACTTGTTTTATTTAAGTGTATCTATTCGTTTTAATACACACTGTATAAAGGGCTTTCCAGAAATCCGAAATGTCCCTCACTACCAATCATAAACGTTTCCTCGCAACGGAATTAAAACGGGACTTCCCCGATTTTTGCTTCGGTCGTGTATAAATAGATGGCATTATGTTTGCCGATACGATATATCGGTATATCGGCACGTAAAAATCGGTATCGGCCGATATATCGTATCGGCAAAAAAAAGTGATATCGTTCTATCCCTATTAAACTCCCATAAATTGTCTCTCAATGTTGAGAAGTCATTGTTCATCTACATTTACAAGTTTCTTCAACTATCAAAAAATGTAAAGTACTACATTGATTAGCCTTTTATGTAATCTTTAATAAATTGTGATTATAACTGTGATATATAATGTAATGTATTGTTTAAACTATTTAGAGGTGTCTCTCTGTAAACCTATAGTTTTTTGAGACAAATAAACTGTTTTTATTATTATTTATTATTATTATATTAATTTTAGCATATTTAAGATTTTAATTGGCATTTAAAACACTAAATGAAAAAGGAATTTTAAAAAAACTCGAGAATAAATGTCAAATCAATATTTACACTCCACAGAGTTAATTTAAAATATGAATGAAAAAAGGAATTTCAAAAACATTGTATCTGGAAAACAATCAAAAATCGAATAACAACATTTAAGTTTTTTTTAATGTTTTTACTTGTAGAATACACCCTTGAAATTTGAAAAAAATTGGATACAAAATTAAAAAGAATTTGGTAAATTTGATGCAACTTGGCAATGTAGCTTTGTCCTATGTCAAATGTCATCTGTTATCTGTCAACATGACACTTGTCAAAGTGTTGCTCAATATTATGAGAAAACAATCATTAGAATATTGTGTAAATTATTGTACAACAATTTCTTTTTAAACTTTGTAAAACAATACAGTTTTTTAAAATTGTTTTTATGAATAGAATACTTCCTTGAAATTTTTTACTTTCCTTCCGACTCCACCTGTATAGTTTCAAAAGCATTTATACTGCTTTCGAGGGTTTTTTAAGTATGTTTATGTTTATGTCTAAAATGGGTTAGTTACACTGTAGCAGTGGATGAATAATACTTAGATGGTTATCAATCTTATAAATATACATATCAAAATGTAAACATTTGGTGCAAAGACTTTCCGAAAGGTGTGTAGGTACTATGCTCCACACTTCAAAGTCCCACCACGTGACCACGTACGGAACGCAGTCTTTTGATAATTTGTCATTTAAGGCTTTTCAGGTTATGTATCTGTCAAAGTATAGTCAATGCAAGAAATAATATTTATACTGTTACCATTTATGTTTAAGCGTTAAAAGTTTATAAATCTTTATAGTATCACAGTAACAATGGTTGGTTGAAGAGTTTAGGAGTATAAATACTGCATTTAATGAAATTCTAAAGTGTATAGTGCCAAATAAGTAAAATTTTTGTGCATTTGGTCTACATATATCTGGTTTTATCCATAAAATAGTTTTAACTAAACGGCATTTATTAAAAAAATCTAGCTTGTCTATTATGGAATAAGAATATCTGTATCAAAGGTAGGTTAATATATTATAACAAAAAATATTATCTAATTTTTAAATTTTAAGGTTAGAAAAATCTATTTTGATCAAAATAAATAAGTATTTTGGATTATTTGGAAGAGTGTGTTAATATGGTCATATAAATATAGATATACTAAATAATTGTTGAATATGGTTCAAATTAAATTAAAGCTTTTATACTCCTAACAACAAAACTTGTGCATACCTACCTCTCGGGATCCCTACTTTAAGTTAGATTATAAGGAAACAAACAATTTTTAGAGATACATGCAATGTAAAAATATTTAATACTCCCATAACATGTGATTTTTGGAGTTTTTAAAAGTTATAATGATTTTTCGGTGAAGATAAAATTCAGTTGAAGCTTTATATGTAATTGTATTGATAAAACTTTATGTAGGTATACTGGATAAGAAAGACTACTACAAGTAAAAATATTAGATAGAGGATACTGTGGTTTTATTTAAATTTTAGAATTTATAAGGTTATTTATAGCTAATGATTGTTCGATGTAGATAAAATTTTGTCGAAGCTTTTATAGGTACTTGTATTGACACTATGGGTATATTAGCTGACAGTATAAGGAACTTTAAGAAGGTTAGCTATTGAATTTCCAAAAACACTTGTAAAAACAATTTACAGTTACAGTACGTACCTAATCGTTTTATATTTGAGATCTCTCATGGTGCTTATTTCCAAGAGCAAGTTATTTAATTACAGCTTACATTTAGGTAGTGGATGACTAATTTGTTTAACTTGGGCATAAATATTTATTTATTTAAAGTACCTACATATAAACATCTTTGATTAATTAAATAAACAAAAAATAATATATTTTAAATAAAAATTTAAAGAATCTAAAATCAAAAACTCACATATAGAAAAAAAAATAAGTTTGGAAATTTGTAAAATAATAAAAAACATTATTTAAAATTATTTAATAATTTGCAAATTTTAATAATTTTAAGGTGTTGTTTTTAGATTCCTTCTTTAAAAATTAACCCCTTTTAATATTTAATTAATTTTAAAAATCTTAAAATAGTTAAGTTTTACAGTTAAAAATATTTATGCCGGAGTAAAACAAAATAGACATCATAATTGAACAACTGGCTCTTGGAAATAAGCAATATTAAACATTTCAAATATCCTTTTTCTATGATAAAACCATTAGATACTTAATTTAAAAAAAACTGTAAATTCTTTTTAAAAATTCAATAGCTAACCTTCTTAAAGTTCCTTACACTGTCAGCTAATATACCCATAGTGTCAATACAAGTACCTATAAAAGCTTCGACAAAATTTTATCTACATCGAACAATCATTAGGTATAAATAACCTTATAAATTCTAAAATTTAAATAAAACCACAGTATACTCTATCTAATATTTTTACTTGTAGTAGTCTTTCTTATCCAGCTTAAAGTATACCTACATAAAGTTTTGTCAATACAATTACGTATACCTAAAGCTTCAACTGAATTTTATCTTCATCGAAAAATCATTATAATTTCTAAAAATTTCAAAAATCACATGTTATGGGAGTATTAAATATTTTTACATTGCATGTATCTCTAAAAATTGTTTGTTTCCTTATAATCTAACTTAAAGTAGGGATCCCAAAAAGGTATGCACAAGTTTTGTTGTTAGGAGTATAAAAGCTTTAATTTAATTTGAACCATATTCAACAATTATTTAGTATATCTATATTTATATGACGATATTAACAAACTCTTCCAAATAATCCAAAATATTTATTTATTTTGATCAAAAAAGATTTTTCTAACCTTAAAATTTTAAAATTAAATGATTTTTTTGTTATAATATATTAACCTACCTTTGATACAGATATTCTTATTCCATAATAGAGAAGCTAGATTTTTTTAATAAATGCCGTTTAGTTACTAATTTATGGATAAAACCAGATATAATATATTAACATATTATGTAGACCAAATGCACATCATAGATAACAAAGCACATAAATTTTACTTATTTGGCACTATAGACTTTAGAACATAGAAAAAGAATTTCATTAAATGCAGTATTTATACTCCTAAACTCTTAAACCAACCATTGTTACTGTGATACTATAAAGATTTATAAACTTTTAACTCTTAAACATAAACATAAATATTATTTCTTTCATTGACTATACTTTGACAGATACATAACCTGAAAAGCCTTAAATGACAAGTTTTCAAAAGACTGCGTTCCGTACCTGGTCACGTGGTGGGACTTTGAAGTGTGGAGCATAGTACCTATTATATAAAATTTACAAACATACTATTTTTATATTGGGGTAGTTTTGGGGGCGTATCTAAAAAATAATAGGTAGGTACGTCATGTTTGAAAAAGTACTTCTATAATTTTGTCATCAGTGTGTAATATACATAAAATGAATAATTTGTTGTATAAAATATGAATATACAATTATAAATTTGTTTTTAAAATTGCATTTAATATTTTTCTTAACAAATCTTCCATGTATCATAACATGGTTAATTTTATTATAAATTTAAAGAAAATCCGTTATAATTTAATTACTCCCATATTATTAATATCACAAAACATAAATATGAATAAATAAAACAAAAAAAAAAAAATCATAGGACGCTACCTTTACCTTCTGCAAAATACCCAATTGAACAGGTTGTTTACATCTCCCAAATCTATGGAATACATTAATAAATCTCATCAAATACCCAGACATATTAATAATAACAACATGTTGCTTAAAACACAACAGAAATTTCCCGGCATTTGACCCAAACAATACAAATTTCGTTAATTAACCTCAACACGAAAAAAAACTAAAAAATCACATATGCATAATTACCTTGATATCTGCCATGAAGCGAATATTGATGCAGCAATCTCACAAACAAGAAAACCGCACTAAAACATTGCAAATTGTAGAAATTCTTGTGCCCTTTCTTTCAACAAATGGCAGAAACGACGACTCTACAACCGCTCAAAATGCTTCGTTAAAAAACGGTAACTGTCGGCATAATTTTAAAATCCGGCCAATCGCGAGCCTCGATTTCATTTTTATTCCCGCTTGACCAATCGAAAGACAAGGACGGCATCGTTTCTGTCAAACGCGAGATTTAGAATCGATACTTACCTATCTTAATAAATTTTAAACTTATTTTGGTTTATTTTGGAATAAATTAACGGTTTTTTTTTATAAAAATTTCGCTTTCAATCGGGATTTTTTTAAGTTGCGTAGTTACGAGAGAATAACCTTGAAGCCGTACCAACATTACGCGCGAAAGTTTGAAAATCAACAAAAATTACTCGCAAAATCAAGATAGTTGAAATATTTATCTAGGTATGCGAGATTTATTATCTATGGCGAGAAACCCAACCTATAAAAATTGACAACCGTCACACCTAACCTCACTTGTCGTTGAATAATGAAGAATTTAAATAGTTATTATGAGTGAGAAATCCCGGATTGAGCGAATAATCGACCAAATTAATTCACAGAATGCGAAGAAAATAGCTTTGTCTCTTGTTATAGCCTTTGCATGTTACCATTCACTGCTACATATAAGACATGGTAGGTAAACAAATGTTTTTGGTGGTGGTTTGTTTATTTTGGTTAATTTTAGGCACAAATTCTTGCAAGTGGTTGTTATCAGATGGAAGATATAAAGGGGATCAAGAATGGCAGCCCTATGGGTGCATGTTACACCCATATAGCAAAGCGTAAGGATTTTATAAAGGTATATAAGAGTTTTTTCATCTTAATATTTCAGAGATACCAGAAAATGTTTAAGATACATTGCTTACTATGGAAAAGAATCACATTTTGTATTTATTGGAGATTCTAGAATCAGGGAACTGTATATTTCATTTGTTGAACATTTAAAACAAGACGAAGATAATTTACTTTACTTAACTGAAAAACCCATGACTAATTTGACACACATCGACAATAATCTAAAGATTAAGGTTGAATTTATTTGGTCTCCTTTTATTTCTAAGGAAATGATTGGTTGTTTCAGGTAAAATATAAATAATAACATTAATGGCACTTTTTTTGCAATAGTAATCTGTTTTTATTACTTGTAGAGAATGGGATGTTAAAAAAGATCCCCCATCCATAGTGATAGTGGGTTCAGGGTTGTGGCCCATAAAACAAGCAAATTATTCGACTGAAAATGTTCACGAATATAATTTAAATTTAACTAGATTAGTGCAGCCAATTGACAATTTATTTAAAAAGAAAACCAAAACTTTATGGGCTTTACAAGAACCTGTAAACCCTGATAAATTGGAGCCGGAAAACCAAATGATCACCAACGAACAAATTGATTTGTACAACAAGGAAGCTATACAGGTAGTTTTTGTTTTGTTTTAAAGTATGTATTTTAAAAAATTTTGTGTTTTTGCTTGATTTTAAACCCCCAGAATATATGTCTATATCATCTATGGTTAATTTGCAATTTTGGTTTTTGAATTTGTTTTGTTGATAAAACCATTTTTGATCAGTTTTCATTTATTTGTTATTTTCTTTCCAACAAATTAATGTTAGTAGAAATCTCTCTAGAATTCTCCATGGATGTCATAAATTTTTAAATTATAAAAAATGCATAAAAAATTTGGTGATAAATTGAAAGCTTTGATCATGTCAATAAAAGCAATTACGTTTGAGATGAAGAATGAACAAAAACTGACAAAAAATGATTTTTAGCAAATTTTTCCGAAAAATCAAAATTGCAAATTAACCATAAACAATGAAAATGATTTTTCATATATTCTGGGCGTTTAAAATGAACAAAATCTTTTAGAAGAAATAAAAGTTTCTGAGAAATGTAATTTTGTTTCCTCTTTGTAACCACATTTATGGACTGTATACAGGTTATCCGGTTTTTCGAGGTTAAGCATATCCTATCAGATAATGTTTTTAAAATAAAAAAAAATATTTTTTTTTATATTTTCATATTAACACTTGCCTATTAATATTTTTAGGATCCTAAAAATATTTCGATCTACAACTTTTTTATTAAGCATTTTTTGTTTTAATCGATTTTAAAGCATTAAAATTCACAAAAACTGTAGATACCTACATAGGTAGTATATAGTGATGGGCGTTCCGGGTCACTCTTTTGAACCGGATCACTAGATCTGGATCACATAAGTGAACCGGTTCAACGAACCGGTTCAAAAGAACCATTTGAATCTCAAACTAATTAAACATAACACTTAATGAAATCATTCTGAGCACATAAACTTTAAGTTTATGTTAAAAATGTTTATCACTTTAATACTTAAGAGCCTTTATTAAATTATAAGGCAATACAAATTGTTATTTTAATAATATTATAAAGGCTATTAAATATTACATTGTATTTTATTAAAGTTTTGTTATACCATACTATTTATTTTATTAAAATTTTATAAAACAATAAAAACTTTATTATTTTAATATTTTACATGAAAAGTTATATTTAAAACATAAATGTTGTAAGTTTACACAATTTAAATTAATTAATATTAAAAATATATTTTAAACGACATTGTCATAAGGGAAATCATCTCATATTTCTGTGGGTTTGTAAAAAATTACCAAAAGTATAAATTTGCCTAACGTAGTAACGCGCCACAGAACGCAAGAAGTTCGGTTCCGAACGATGCGACCGGCATAGGCACTAGCGAGCTGCATGATACAACAGTCATGATCGAGCCGCGCCTAAAGAATCGAGATGTTTTGGTCAGATCTGGATCACAGAAAACAAAACGTACTGCGAGCGCGAGTCGTTCTTAGCTCCAGGGAGCCGGTTCAGATCTCTCGCGACCCGCCGCTCACGGCTCGAGCGGCTCGCCATGCGCGGCCTGTTCAATGCATAGCGAGTCACTCGCTGCGAGTGGTGAAGCAGTAAATCGGAGCTTAGAACGGCTTGCGCGCGGCCGCTTTGTAATTTCGGACCCGTGAGCCGGTTCGTTTAATTTTCGTGAACCGGTTCACGTAGATCACTTATAAGACCCGGTTCACTGAGCCGGTTCAGATCTGACCGACACATCTCTAGTAGTATACTACATACATGCTCCACACATCATAGTAACACCATGTGAAGTGAAATATTTAAGGTTAATTTTCTGTCAGTGTCAAGTTAATTTCTTCTTATAAGAAATAGTATATTACACTACAAGGGCAGAAAGTGTAAGATTCCTGCACTGCGCGCAGTTCAGGGCTCTCACACTTTCTGCCCGTGTAGTGTATACTATTTTTCTTGCTACCCGGCAGAAAATACGGGAAAAAATTAAATGTGTATAAAAAAACTTGTGTCAAAATTAAAATCTGACGTTCAAAATCAATCAAACTGTAGCGTTGTCATGGTAGCGGGAGGAAATGAAACTTTTCTTACTACCTCGGCCGAAAATACGTATGCATAAAACGTAAACTTTCTGCCGTGGAATCGGGGACAAAACAACGTATTTTCTGCTGGGTAGCAAGAAAATATATTTTCTAAAAATAATACAATATACATTAGGGTGATTCAAAAAAATCGCATGCTCATAATCAAATACTCATTTGACAATACTTTCAATCAGTTACAAAATTATTAAAAATAATATTTTATCCGAAATCGGCAGTAAAATAGTCATAAATCTACAGTAAAGTAAAAGAAATCGGCAGTAAAGTAGAACTTTACTGCCGATTTAATACGAGTATACGAGTATTTTAAGTTTTGTCTACTGCTCCTTAGCAGCAAGGAAATAATATTTAAAAAAATGCACCGTTGCGGAGGTCGATTTGACCCTTTCATAAAATAATAAGTTAATATCACACTTCCTACATTCAAATGACATTTGATTTTACCATTAATATTAATTATTAGTATTATTAAATGCGATTTAGGATAAAATTTAATATGCACCTCGGCATTTTTTATCACTCACGTGGTTATTTGCCTCGGCTTTCGCCTCGGCAAATACTTTCCACATTCGTGATAAAAAAAATACAACTTTACTGCCTTGATACATAAATAAATATTATAAAAAACGGAAAATAATAAAATCGGCCGAAAAAGTGTTATTTTTTGGCTGCCAATTTATTATTATGTTGACTAGAAAATACATATATTGCATTATTTTCAAAAAATAGGACGAAATTAGTTTGACACTGACAGAAAATTAACCTTAATTATCAGTCACGTGGTGGGACTTTGATTGTCTTATATATTTTTGTCACATATACAAAACGTGGTATATACAAAGTATAAATACTTTTTAATATATTGTATAAAATTTACACGGTAAATGATGATATTTTAGATTTTATAACAGCAAGAATTTGGCAACGTCGTATTTCGACCACGATAGCCAGAAGGTTTTTATCATAGACATATTAATATGTAGATTGTTTTTATAATTAACCATTTTGTTTGTTTTATGTTGTATACAAATTGTTTTTCATTGTCTTTTTCCATTATATTTACGAGATTTTTAGTGGCTTTTACATAAAATGCATATTATGCCACTTTTTGTTATTTATAAAGCCAAAACCACAGAAATTTACTTAAGCTTAACCTAGGCGATGTAAGCAAAAATTTGAAATAACCTAAATTTTATTTTGTTGACAATTCGTATCATACATGGACGTATTAATATGTCTATGTTAAACCCCCCACTTATTAACTGACTATGCGCATAAGGCAAATTGACAAATTTCCCCTCAAAAAAGAATTCAAGGTCATCTATAAAAAATATAGCGAATAATCAACAAATATAAAACTTTTGTCGTACCAATTGGAAAATAAAATGATTCGTTTTTTTCTTTCAAAAAGGTGGGAAATTGCTGGTGGCATTTAAAATACAGATTAACAGTTACTGTACTATAAGCAAAACTTATTAATAATAATAAATAATAAATCGAATTGAAAATTTAGGAAAAATAAAAGGAGAAATCAATGTAAATTAGGAAGATCATACAAGAAAAAAAAATGTTTTTTCATCTTTATTACAGGTTTTAACATACTCTTCTGCATACTTATGGTGGAGTGTCAGATTAGTTGGGCAAGGAATGATCACAGAAAGTCCGGACGGCATACATTTAGCCAAAAGGGCTCTAAAACATGACACCCAAATCCTACTAAACATGTATTGTAATGATTACATGAATTACAATGACGGCACTTGCTGCAGCTCCATGGAAGGACACACCACTTTGCAAGTCGTTACTTTTGCCATTCTGGCGCTATGGTGAGAACAAAGTTTTTCATTATTTTAATAAACATCTAATTTAGGCAAAATTAGGGCTAGATTGAGCAAACATATGGCGGACAGAAAAGATTTACTCGGGAATATGTTTTCAGTGTTGCCACATCGTTGGCGATGTTGGTGCATCGTTTGATCAAAAAGCTGCGGGGCAGCCCATCGTACTCTCTACTGCCCGACAGCGACGCCCCGATTCCGCAACCCGCACAACAGCAAAACTGCTACACCCTGTTCAAGTCCATATCGATAATGGCGGTCATAATGGCGTACTTTTTCATCTGCGATAGAACGAACTTTTTCATGAAAGAAAACAAGTATTATTCCGAGTTTAGTTTTTGGATACCGATAGGTTACGTAACGGTGCTGGGGATTTTTTTCACCGAGGACAGCAAATACACGAAGGTGTTGCACCGGCACCAGATCAACGAGTGGAAGGGGTGGATGCAGTTGGTCATTTTGGTGTATCACATAACGGGGGCCAGCAGAATTTTAATCATCAACATGCACATAAAAGTGTTGATATCTGCGTACATTTTTTTGCTGTCCTACGAGCAGTTTTGCTACGCTTTTCAAATGGGAGACACGGGGGTCGTAACGTTATTCCGAAATCTTTTCAAGCTGAATTTCATGACCGTAACGCTGTGTTTGTGCATGAATCGCCCCTATCAGTTTTATCATTTTGTGCCTCTACTGTCGTTTTGGTACGTGGTGAATTATTGTTTCCTAGCCTTCCCCCCGCACATATCCGCTCAAAATTCCGAAAACAACATGATACAATATTTCTATTTGCTCCTCAAAATCATCGCGTTGTTCAGCGTGATAACCATTTTGTTCATGTCCGAGGTTTTCTTCGAAAAAATCTTCGTCACCCGCCCTTGGAAGGCGTTGTTCGTAACCACAGACGACGACATACACGAGTGGTGGTTCCGGTGGAAACTGGACCGTTATTCCGTCTTGTACGGCATTTGTTTCGGCGTCATCCTACACCTCGCCAAAAAGTACAGCGTATTCACCGACACCCACCACGGCAACCTGTTCTCGCGCGGCGTAGCGCTCAGCGCCACCTTCGCGAGTTTCCTCGGCATCGGCGTCTACATCACCGTGACGTTCCTGTGCCGCAACGAGTTCGAGTGCAGCGAGATCCACTCGTACATCGTCTTCCTGCCCGTAGTGAGCTACGTGATGCTGCGCAACGTGTCGGGAGCGCTGCGCACGCGCTACTCCAGCCTGTTCGCGTGGTTCGGCGAGATATCGCTCGAGCTGTTCATCAGTCAGTATCACATCTGGCTGGCCGCCGATACGCACGGCGTTCTGGTGCTCATTCCCGGATATCCGGTCTTGAACGTCATCGTGACCTCGTTTATTTTCGTGTGCGCCAGTCACGAGGTGCACAGGGTGACCAAAGTTTTGATCCCCTACGCCGTACCGTCGGACTGGAAGTTGTTTTTGAGGAATTTTATTTTGTTTTTGGCCATTCTGGTCCCCATCGGCATCAAAGACGGCATGTTTTAATGTTGTTGGGCTATTTTAATGAAAGTTGTGGGTTTTGATAAAATTTGGGTAAATGCTAAGTATGCTCTCAAATATTGAAAAAATTAAGGAATAATCCTTAAAATACATTAAAAGACGCGAGATGGCGCTTTTAAATCTGCTGCTTACTTAGCTTATATAATACACTGACATATACACTCTATAAATTGGCCCAAAAACGTCAATTTATTAATGGAATGTACACTCACAGGCAAAATAATCGATCCACACAAATTTTCGATAAATTTCAATCGAAAATAACTTTTTTATTTGTTATCGGACTTAAACGAATATTAAAAAATATTGTAGATAAATTAATGTACTAAAAAATAGATGTACGTTTATAATATACAGGTTTAAACAAAAATATGTTTTTACCATAAGTTTAAGACAGTCTGTAGAGTGGCAAAACCGTATATTGTTCTAAATTAAGTTTTAATTATCAAGTCACATCTATTCTTAACAGTTTTGTTTTTGTTTCACCTCGATATATTTATTTCTGTGGAAAATATGGATTTTTTTTAAAAATATTGCAATTTCAAATATTTTTTCTGTATGAAGAACTAAGGTTGCTATGGTCCATTCATAGGCTATGGAGGATGACAGTGACAGTTTTGTTGAATCATCCCATACTTGGACATGTCATATACGGCATTGAAAAGCTATCAAATTGTTTTTTGCAAATTAATGTTTAAATTTCGAGGTTTCTTCTTACTTTAAAAAATAGATATGTCTCCGACTGATGTTGCCAGAGCCATTAATTTAATCCAGGATGGACGGTCACAGTATTACATGGCAAGTGTTTTAAACGTTACAAGAAGTAAAGTACAAAGGGCAACATCAGTCGGAGACATTTTTAAAAGTAAGAAGACACCTCAAAATTAACACATTAATTTACAAAAAACAATTTGATAGCTTTTGAAAGCCGTATATGACATGTCCAAGTATGGAATGATTCAACAAAACTGTCACTGTCATCCTTCATAGGCTATGGATGGACCATAGCAACCTTAGTTCTTTATACAGGAAAAATATTGGAAATTGCAATGTTTTTTTTTAAAAATCCATATTTTCCACAAAAATAAATATATCAAGGTGAACCAAAAACAAAACTGTTAAAAATAGATGTGACTTGATAATTAAAACTTAATTTAGAACAATATACGGTTTTGCCACTCTACAGAGTGTCTTAAACTTAAGATAGATAACATCTTTTTGTTTAAACCTGTATATTATAAACGTACGTCTATTTTTTAGTCATTTTTAAAATGTGAGCGATTCTCCATTAATGTATCTACAATATTCTTCAATATTTGTTTAAATCCGAAATCAAATAAAAAGGTTATTTGCGATTGAAATTCATCGAAAATTTGTGTGGATCGATTATTTTGCCTGTGAGTGTATATTTGTCCTTATAGCTCAGGAGGTAGGGTTCCTATACAGGGTGTAAAAAAGGGTAAAAGAAGACGAAAAGTCCTTTGGCGTTTTTCGATCTGACTCCATAGATGACCTTAATTAGTTATTACCCGGACAACAATCGGGATTTCCTGGTGAAGTCATGATGATATCACAACGTGAGTTTTTTATCACGCCGTGATATCCTGAGTGCATACACATGCTTCATCACAGTGATATCATGTAGAACTCACGGTGTGATATTTGCAAAATTTGCGCATGCGTAATAGCCCTGCGAACTGCGAATTTAAAACCTACTTTGTTACCTGTTGATTCAACATAACTTTTCTCTTAGTGTACGAACGTGGCGCATAAATGATTATCAAAACACCGTTGGCATAAAAAATCACGACATGATTTTTTATGCCATCGGTGCACCGACATCTTTGGATATTTATTTTTGCGCCACATTCGTACATTGAAAGAAAAACTATGTTAACAATTGAATTAACAGTTTTTTGCGGTTAAATACATTTAATATTTTCTTGAATGTAAATTAACTATTAATTTAAATCCAAAAAAATATTGAATATTTTTATTTAACCACAAAAACTGTTAATTCAATATATATGTAGGTATTCTTTTTCTCTCAATGTACGAATGTGGCGCAAAAATAAATATCCAAACTCCGATGGCATAAAAAATCACGAAATGATTTTTTATGCCATCGGTGTTTGGATATTCATTTTTGCGACACAATCGTACATTGAAAGAAAAAGTATGTTAACAATTGAATTAACAGTTTAACATTCAATATTTTCTTGGATTTAAATTAACTATATATAGTTAATTTAAATCCAAGAAAATATTAAATGTATTTAACCGCAAAAACTGTTGATTCAACATAATTTTTAGGAACGTGGCGTAAAAATGATTATCCAAACACCGTTGGCATAAAAAATCACGACATGATTTTTTGTGCCATCGGTCAATCGCAAACAGCGATGGCATAAAAAATCACGACATGATTTTTATTTCTCACGCAGTGACATCCGGATGATGTCCGTATGAATAAATTTGTGGAAATCACGACGTGACGTTCGTATGATTTTCATTTATCACGCGGTGACTTCCGTATGATATCAGTATGAATAAAATTTGTGAAAATCGCGACCTGATGTTCGTATGAATATCACGAATGTTGTCCGGGTAATTAAATAAAGAATGTCAGAAAACTTAACCTAACACCAAAACACTGACAATGACAGTGAAAACTATACAATCAAGCTCAATTCACTCTACTCTAATAGCCGTCGAATTTGTACAAAAATGGGTTTTTTATAACTTTTATTTAATTTTTAATTTCAGTATTAAAGAATGCAATTTTTTTTATTAATTAACAGCAATGCCTCAACAATAAAAACAATGTGATGGGAGCATCTCATAATATGATCAAATTAGACTGAACATATTTTCAGCACCTAATTTGAATAAAAATTTAAAAATACGTTTGTAATAATCAATTTGTAGAATTTTGAATACTAAAATTAAAAACTAAATAAAAATTATAAAAAACCCATTTTTGTGGAAATTCAATAGTAGTGTGAATTGACCTTTTAGTTTTTCGCACCTCATTCCAAAGATAATACTATCTATAATATTATCTTTGCCTCATTCTGCTAAAGCAAGCGTGTGATTGGCATTTTATTAACGCCCTTGAAATATTTTAACCCTTTTTTAACACCCTGTATATAATTCGTGAGGTTTTATGTAATATGTTTTAGAAATTTTTTTAACAAGGTATTTTTTATATATCTATTTAAAAAAAGCAAGGAAGTAGGTATAATGTAAATAGATATAGAAAAAAATATTAATATAAAGCTAGATTTTGAAACTGCAAGTCTACCAAACTTTAAGTGGTGCAAACATGAGAAAAAAAATAGGTACCCAACCTTAATTTACTGAAAGTGACAGATACCTAACCTAAAATCTACTTTATTCATCAATACCATAGTTACAACCAAGGCTACCTTAATTACAAAAATGACACAATCAAAAATAATAAAGTAACGTCAAATTTACATTTTTGTAATGTAGGTAAATTCAAAGATAATAGGTACCCAAATACACAAAATGTTTTTTTCGAGTTTTTTATGTTTGCACCACTATTTTGGTATACTTGCACTTTCGTCATTGATACTGTCTAGACTGTTATGAGAAAAATTTGTAGCTTTATATAAAATTTAATGATTTCACAAAAACTGTAGCTACCTCCCGGGCTAATATTATATATTTGGTCATTTTCATGATAGGTACATTGGTATTATGGTCCTTATAATAAAAATATATTGGAACTAAGTATACAGTATTTTTGTGTTAATTTATTTATTAAAATATGTATATTTTCTGTATATACAAAACATTAAAAGTTAGGTACTATATATAACATAACCAGTTGTTTTTAACAACCTTTTTTATATTAAAGATAACATTTATTTATTTTGTAATTATAATTATTTTTAATTGTTCAAAATTCTTGTTCAAATAAAAACTAAAAATGCATTTAAAACCTTTAAATATTTTTTTAGTAGTTAAGTCCTAATTTAGCCAATACCAAATGCGCTCAATCTTTGGAAAATTTAAGGAAAAATGCTTATACTATTAACTTAGGTGCGCAACCTTTTAATTTTTCAAATACAGAGTGTTCCAAATTGAAATAAATATTGTTAACCGGAAATTGATCGCCAAGAGAACGAGGGCATATTTTCGACCAAATTTGAGAATAGTTGCTTTGAGATCTTAATGCCTTAGTTCGTGGAGAATACCACTAAAATTCGGTTTTATTCTTAGACAATAAATTCTCAGGACTATATTTACCAAACTTTGGTGGGCCGTATTTTGTTTTATCAATTGTAATTTATGGATTGTACCATTGTGTCTTTTTTTAATTATTATTTAACTGGGAAAATTCCTTATTGATAAGGAAATTTCGTATAATTGTTACGATGAAGGTTTTGGAAAAGTTATCTATTGGTAGGTATGTAGGTATATATTATCCATTGGTCGTTGGCCGTTGTTATAGGTCGTCCAAAACTTTTGGACCAAAAGCAAAACAGGTAAGCATTTTACGTATTTTTTGTTTCTTTTACTTGTCTCAGTTTGTATTTGTAAAAATGCGCGTCAAACATAGAAAGTTTGTGCTCCTTTCTCTAGTCTTTATGATTGGAACTCATGAGTTTGCAACATTTTATCATAATTTTGACGTTTGACGTCATTGTTGTTGTTGTATCATGGTTTGACTTTATATGCTAAAGAAGTATTGCTAGTAGCGCCACCACTCGGTAATATCGTAACAAAAGTACAACTTTTGATAATCAGCTGTCAAACGCGTGTGTTACAAAAAACATTTAAGAATAAAGCCGGAAAATGTTAAAAAATATCGAAAAAAAACCGTGGCACGATTTGTTGTGTTGTTGGGTGTATTTCGAGAGGAAATCCTGGGTTGAGTTTTTAGCGGGTTTCCAATAACCAGTGTTAATCCGAATGAAGAAATAAATTTCATACAGTCCCTGTAAATATAAATTTTATTTATACAATAGATACAATAGATACAATAAATACACATTTTAGTAATATTTAACGTAAAAAGTGTTAACATTTCAATTCAGTAATCGTCAAACAAATAAGTCGTCTAAATTTAAACAGCATTTAGCATTATTAAAAGCGTTGATTAAGAAGTCTCCACAGAACGGTAAAATACCATTATATTATGTATTATATATAATATTATGTTGCTATGAATTCGTAGGTATATTTTGTTGTTTAAAATGCAGTTGTCGGTGTTTTTTAGAGAACGCTAAAAATGATTGATTTTAAGGTTATGTTTTTGCAAACATTATTTTTTACTAATTTCTTAATAATGTCCAAACTTAAGTATAAATTATATTAGGTAAAGTTTTCATTAGTTAATTCTGCACCAACAAATGTTCTTACCGAATTGGATCCTTTGGCAAAACATAAAAATGCAAACATTTAGTTCCTGAATTTGATTTACAATTAAAAACACAATAATAATTATTATATAATTATTCACCATGATCCCTTAGATAAAATACACACACTAACGTAACTATATAACATTTAAGCGTTGAGTTTCTTAATCAATGATTTAAAGAATAATCAATCGAAATCGAGTATTTTACTAGTTTTTTTAGTTTTTTCCTTGCAACGTAAAACACAAATAACGTGCGCGATTTAGCTGTGCAATTGAACAAAATTTGTCTAGTAAGACTTCTGCCTTCCTCTCTTTTGTGAAAAAACTACCTATTTATTTAAAAATGATGTACAGTTCGTATGTTTTAACTGTATTGTTGACAATTCTTAAATTCACGTAATGCTTTTGAAGTCCACCAGATGGCGCGCTCATTGCGAAAACCCGATACTTCTTTAGCGAATAGGTTATGTGCATAAATTTATTCTATAGTGAAGGCCACCTACTTTTTACATTTTTCTTTAGCATCGAACCAATGACAATCTACATTTTTTGTTCACAATTTTGTTTTGTTTTCGAGAAAAATAAAATTCAAAAAAACTAATTGAGCTTTCACGTTAATCAGCAGGAGCTAAGATCCAGCAAAGTATTGCAATTTCAAGACATTGGAATTTATATTCAGTTTTTTTAAATCCACTCACTTCCTTAGTTTTACCCGCCACTGGTAAATGCGGAAACAGCACTTTTTATGTTTTTTATGTAGCTGTGTTATTAATTATTGCGCATCATATCTGTGAATCTAATTTGGTTATTTACATAAGTCTTTATAGTTTAATTTTTTTCAAATTTATTCACACTTTTTAATAATTAGTATTGTTATAGCACAAAAACAAGACCTACTTAATTTACCGTATAAAGGGCCAGTTAGTTTTTCGAAAGTGAGGGCCATAAAAATTAAAAATGAATACTGAAGCACCGGAAAAAATAATGCAGCTTTTATCGTTTACTTGGGCGGATTACGCCCTATTTTTCTCAATGTTCTTTTTATCTGTGCTGATTGGCATTTATTTTGGATGTTTCCAAAAGAAAAACGACACCCCTGAAGAGTACTTATTGGGCAATAGAAATATGAATATATTTCCCATTGCTATGTCATTAATTGCTGGGTAAGTAGATACCTACCAACAATATTTTTTAGCCTAGATTTTTTTTCTTCATTTTAGACATCTTTCCGGCATTACTCTTTTAGGTGTACCGTCGGAAATATACATGTATGGTGGACAATACTGCATGTTTGTGATTGTATGCTTCCTAATAATAATAATAATGAATTACGTGTACTTGCCTCCTTTTTACAACTCCCAAGTTTCAAGCAGTTACGAATACCTCCAACTAAGGTTCGACGAAAAAATTAGACTCATGGCTTTGGTTCTTTATGTAATTGCAAGTTTTTTCTACATTCCTATAGTTATTTATATTCCGGCACTGGCTTTTAATCAAGGTAAGAATGAACTGTAATGATTTTTATCCGAAATCGGCAGTAAAGTAAAATAAATCGGCAGTAAAGTTGAACTTTACTGCCGATTTAATACGAGAATTTTATGCAACCCATTATACATTTTAAGATGTGTCTACTGCTCCTCAGCAGCAACTAAATAATATTTTAAAAAAAGCACCGTCGCGGAGGTCGGTTGGTCCCTTTTTTAAATGTTGTTTAATAAAAATAATAAGTTAATTTATTAAATAAATTAAAAAATCGCTGCGGGCAAATATATAATAACCGTTGCAACAAACAGTATACGTACAGGGTGTCCCAAATTGGTTGTCCGTATAGGCTATCTCAGTAAATATAAATGCTAGAAAAAATTCGACCACGCATCCCCGTCGTCTTTTTTAAAGATACATCGGATGATGTCTTTGAATTTTCTCGATTTGCATTTGTTTAGGAGAAATACCTATTTTTTCAATTTTTGCCGATTTTGACAAATGCTTCGTTAATATTTGAGTTGCGAATACAGGTTTAAAATATTATGTAGGCACTTTTTATCACAGAATTCATTAGTGTAGACAGATTTTTTTTAGCTCTTTTAGGTTAAGAGATATGACCCTATACGGACAACCAATTTGGGACACCCTGTACAGTTCATTTTTTGTTAGGTTGGTGGCTTATGCCAGTTTTAGTATTTAAAAATGGTACTTCTGCTAAAGAATTTAATTAAATACTTTGACACTGTCTAATTGACAATAATATTTATTATTGACTATTTCCCCTTGTCTTAATTTCCACCAATCATGAACGCGCAATTTTGAATTACAAATGGTTTCTAGGTGAAAAAACTGTGTGACAGCACCTGTCAGCAGTTTATTCGAGTTTACCCGCGGCAAAACTTGACAGCTGTTGTCACCAGAAATTGCAATTTATATTTTAATTGTTAACTGTTACTCATGAAATAGTCTTGTCAAATACCATTCGGGCATCTAATTTTTCCTGTGAAAAAAATCGAAAAAACACAATGCTAAGTAATATTTTTTAACAAAATGCATTCGTGCAGGTGCAAAAATCCTCCTCTTCGACTCGGATTTTTGTTGCCACCAGCACTCATGCTTTTTGTTAAAATATTTTATATAATATATATTACTTAGCAACGTGTTTTTTCGATTCTTTTCGGAAAAATTAAATGCCTACTTACGATAATTTACTTGTCAATTATAAATAAAAATAATAGCAACGAATTCGAATGTAAAAGCCCTTTTGAGGGCAAAACTTCATTTTGATGAAATTATGCCAAATGCCACAATGGAAGAAAAAGTACATTGCCTTATGGACATTTTTGGACTAAAAAAGTAACGAATTTGGTTTTATAAATATTACATCACACATTATTTTCACATTATTCACCATTGGACAACATTTACGTTCACAAAAAAATTTAATTTCTTTTATTTAAATTCTTTTCAAAACGAAGATTATTATCCGCTAGGAATACTTTCTCTTCTGGGCCGTAAAACAACCTATATTTAACTACTTTTTTATATGATTTTACTCATCCAAGCACCACCAAAGCCAAATTGATTGCATTTTTAACTACGAATTTCGACCACTCAACTTGACAACTGCACAATGTAACCTACAATAATTTATACATAACCACAATTAGATTTATAACTAGCTTAGTTTGTTTTAATCAATGCGACCAACTTGACAACTGTATTTACCAACCAAAACCCTAAATTTGCAACGTTGCCGCAGTCCAGATAAAACAAAATGAACTTTAGACACTTCCTACATTCAAATGACATTTGATTTGATCATCAAATGACATTTGATTTAATCATCAATATTAATAATTATTATTAGTATTATTAAATGTAATTTCGGATAAAATTTAATATGCTCCACTCACGTGATAAAAAATACGACTTTACTGCCTTGATACATAAATAACTATTTTACACCCTGAATATTTTTTTTAGTAACTGGGATGTCTATACATTACATAACGCCAATTATTTGCGCTATTTGTATTTTTTACACTACAATAGGAGGGTTAAAAGCTGTAGTGTGGACGGATGCCCTTCAATTTAGTGTGACAACAGCCGCTTTATTGGCAGTTTCGTTCATAGGTGTCGGAGATATCGGAGGTTTTGGGAAATTGCTAGAAATTAATCGACATGGCGATAGATTGGAGTTTTTTAAGTATGTTAGTTTCTAAGACTAGGGTCATTTTCAAAATTCTCGTACATGAGACATTCTTTTACACATCGTACGGATTACAGAAAATATATTTTTTCAAATTTTTAAAATGACTTAATTTTTTTTTACAGCATCTTTTCATAAATTTAGCCGACCCCTATATCGGAATTTTTGCAGAAAATGTATTTTTCCAAAGATATATTGATTTAAACTTTTGATAAAATTTGAAAAAATGCTGAATTCTTTTGTACTTTAAATTCATTATCTCCGGTTCTACTGATCGGATCGATTTCATTTTTTTTTTATTTTAAACCATATTACATAGTCTTTTTAGATAAATATTTAAAAAGTTTGTGTTTTGTTTATTATATGAAAAAAATATTTTTTTTGTATAAACAGATTTTTTGTGTTTGCCCCCTCTATGAAAAAAAATGAAAAAAATACTGTTCTATGCACTATTTATTACTCTACAAAATGAATTTTTCAGAAAAATGGAGACTTTTTTGGATCGGAAGATATTAAATATTTTCGAGCGCGTGACCGGTACAAGCCGTAAGGGGGCATCCATTAATTACGTGAGGCGTTTAGGGGAGGGAGGGGGTCAAGCCAAATCTCATCAATTCTCACGTAAGGGAGAGGGGGGGTCTCGGCAAATATCACGTAATTTTTAACAAAGTATGTTTTTTTAATAAATCCAACAGAATCAAGCAGTTTAACGTATAAACATTAAAAATAAGCATTTTTTAAAATCTCACGTGAGATTAGGGGGAGGGGGTTGAGCCAAATCTCACGACATCTCAGCAAGGGGGGAGGGGGTCAAAAATCGCTAAAATTGACTCACGTAATTAATGGACACCCCCTAATCAGACATCTTCGAAACGCTAACACATTTAGGATAGTGTAAACTCCCAGTAAACATTTGTGATTGCGTATTGAAATCACTCCGAAATCTCGTCGTGACATCGTGATATCACTGGCGCATTCATATGTTTCTACAATACACAATCAATGGTATATCAAGTCGTGACATTCAAGCGCAATACGCACTCAATGGGATATCACTCCGTGACATTGCTAGCGCGCATGCGCGAGCGAAAGTGCAGGGGAATATTTAAAACATGTTGGAGCTGTGATAAACGAAAAAAGCGTCGTCGCTATCGTTAATTGCGATGCAACGTCTTTTAAAACACGTTGCATCGCTAGTAACAATAGCGACGACCCTCTTATCGTATATAGATATAGCTGTGATCACAGCTTCAACATACTTGCGGCCTTGGGTGAAACAAAATTATGGGCTAAAATATTAACAGTCAACGTTTATTTAAATAAAATAATAATAAGACAAGTTTTGCACACTACCTTTATACAGGGTGCATCAAGTATCCTATATGTATACAGGGTGTCATATTTATTTTATGGGCGAATTTGATAAAACCTTTTAGGTTTTTAGTAGTAGGCAAAGGGCTTAATTTAATCTAAATTAAATTTAGTTAATCCAGAGGCGGCGCTGGAACATCCCAAATAGATATTTAAAATAAAATTTGGGTATGATACTGCTTTTTTAAGTTTATTATTTATAGATTACAAATAAAACGGAAACGAATTTAATTTTTTTCTTCGCTTGCAAAATCGCAAAGAAATATAAAGTGAAGTTATATATTTTTGGGGAAATAATTGTTTAAAATCATTAACCTATAACGTTTATTAAAGAAAAAAGTCTTTGTCTAACAATAATAACATAATACGTAATTAAAGTATTATGAACAAATTAAAGTAATGTCATTTAAATGAAAAGTTTCGTCCCTGCGGGGTCACGTCGTGACATAAAAAGATCACGCGCGTGTCACTGCTTGACATAAAACGACAAACTTAATCACTGTACCAGCAATTGGATATCAAGTTGTGACATGTCACGTCGTGACTTTTTCGTGATATCACAAATGTTTACTGGGCTCATACATCGTTTTAAAAAAATACCAGCGCTTTTTGTAAATTAATTCTGATTTTAAAGGTGTTCAATAATTTTAAATAAATTAAATTTTAAATAATACAAACTCTAAATAATGAGTAAATTTATTAACTGGCAGAATTGACATTTTGCACAAATAAGTCACCAATTAAAAGATGTCGAATCATGGCACTCTTATACAAAATATCACGTCACTCGCCACATGCACTAATACGTTTGAATATTACGCGCTTGACAGTCCTGTCACGCGCTCGAAAATGTTTAATATCTTCCGATCCAAAAGAGTCTCCACTGTTCTGAAAAATGTATTTTGTAGATAAACAAAAAGCGCATAAAATAGTATTTTTTTCCTTTTATTTTATAGAGGGGGCAAACATGAAAAACTAGTTTAAAAAATTAATCTGTTATTAACTACCTATACTTAAAAAAAAAATTAATTTATTTATTTGAAAAGCCTATTCAATAAGGTTTAAAACAAAAAAAAACAAAATCGATCCGATCAGTAGAACCGGAGATAATGGGTTTTATGTAGAAGAGAATTCATCGTTTTATCGCAATTCATAAAAACTTTATATCAACAAATCTCTGAAAAAACAATTTTTTTACAGAAAACCTGATACACGTATCTGCTTATTTACTGAATAGAAGCGGTAAAAAAATTTTCATGCGAATCCAAACCCTGAAGTCAAAATAGGTGTACGATTTGTAAAAGAATATCTCACATTTAAAAAAGAATAAGTAAAAACAAAAACTTTTTTCAAATTTTGTTTATTTAGGGGTGTTATTTAACACCTAAAAGTGGGCAGTTAGATTTTTTAAAATAAGCCCTTAAAAAATAAAAAAGAAAAAAATTGTCCCCTGGGTCTAACATATTAAAAAAACTTATTTAAAAATGCTTAATAGAGTAATTGCATCAAAAATGAAAATCCCTAAAAACCTTTTTAATGTAATCTAGAGGTAAAAACACATTGCAAAAATATTTTTTTATATTCCAAAAGTTCAACCCTTCCCCAAAATATCAAATTAAAAAAAAGGTACTTTTCAAACGTTCCGAACTCCCGCCATATTGCATGACGTCATAAGCTCCAACTGTCAGAAATCAAGATGTCAACAAATAATAAACACCGATAAAGTTTATGTTTAACATGGAAAACGCGAAACCAAAAATTGGTTGTAAATATTGTTTTGTGCCTTGTTGTACAAATACAACCTGGAAAACTCCTGGGAAAGTTGTCCCTTCAATTATCAAAAGCAAAGTTTATGACCCTACACTGAGAGTAGTTACGGCTCAGCCGTATTTTCTTGGGTTTATTAATATTTAACATACCTATTCAAACCATATACCTAGTAAACGACATTTTATTTTACTTACATTAAAATGATCCTTAAAATGATCAATAAAATGTTGACTGCGGTGACGATGTTTTGATATCGCGCCGAGCTATTTTAATCCACTTTATCCTTATTTTCCCTTTTGGCACGGTGATAAACCTTTTCCCAGGAGTTTTCCAGGTTGTATTTGTACAAGGCACAAAACAATATTTACAACCAATTTTTGGTTTCGCGTTTTCCATGTTAAACATAAACTTTATCGATGTTTATTATTTGTTGACATCTTGATTTCTGACAGTTGGAGCTTATGACGTCATGCAATATGGCGGGAGTTCGGAACGTTTGAAAAGTACCTTTTTTTCAATTTGATATTTTGGGCCGGGGTTGAACTTTTGGAATATAAAAAAATATTTTCGCAATGTGTTTTTACCTCTAGATTACAATAAAAAGGTTTTTAGGGATTTTCATTTTTGATGCAATTACTCTATTATTTTGAAAATATATTTTTCAGCAAATGTACAAGAAATTTGAAAATAACCAATTAACCAAAAAAAAATTAAAAAAATGTACATATACCTACTCAAATACTTATCACACATATTTAATAAAAAATAAATAATTTAATAATATTTTAGCATGGACGTGAATCCTACTGTTAGGACAACATTTTGGGGAATTTGTATTGGTCTAACCACACATTGGGTGTCAATTTTGGGAGTAAATCCTTCCTCTGTGCAAAGATATATGTCTGTTCCTTCTTTCAGCAAAGCCAAAATGTATTTTGACAAAATTTAAAATTTAGCACCATTTTTTCTACGAGTCTATTTTTTTAGAACTGTGCTTTCTTTAGGTTTAGGCACACTATTTGTAAAAATATTTACAGCTTTACTGGGTTTCATAATGTATGCTAAATATCACGATTGCGATCCATATACCTCGAACAAAATTAAAAATCCCGACCAAATTTTACCATTTTTTGTTATGGATATTGCCAAGGATATTCCTGGACTTTCAGGACTTTTTGTTGCGGGAGTTTTTAGTACAGCCTTAAGGTGGAAATTTTTATTATTGGAGTTATGATATTAAAAAATATTATTTTAGTACCATGTCAGCGCATTTAAATACCCTAGCTGGCACTTTATACGAAGACTTTTTCCGAAAATTTTTACCACCGAGAATTTCTGCAAATAACTTCATTAAAAGCACTGTAGTGGTGTGCGGTGTTATCTGCGTTGCTATGGTTTTTATAATCGAAAAACTCGGCGGAATTATCCAGATTTCCGGGTGTTTTTCTGGAATAACCTCTGGTCCGCTCTTGGGTCTATTTACATTGGGAATGTTGTTTCCTACTGCTACAAAAAAGGTTGTTTTTGCGTTATTTAAATTTTTTCTGTATTTTATGACGTTTTAGGGTGCTTTGGTGGGTTCTATTACCTCCCTGGCAATAATGAGTTGGATTGTTATAGGATTTCAGTACCATTACATAAATAAACATATTCCGAACGTTTATAAGCCTTTGTCCGTTGAAAATTGTGGTTCTAATGTTACAAACATTAATTTAACAAATTCAACCATTAATAGGTGATTATTGCTTTATTTTGTCAAAAAATTTTAATTTTTTTTTTACATATTTTAGTGAAACAGGTCAAAATGAACCATTTTTCCTATTCCGAATATCCTTTTACTGGTACTATCCTATTGGTACCTTATTGGTGGTGATAGTGGGCTCTTTTGTATCATGGATTTTGGGCGATGCAAATGAAAAAAGATTTGAAAAAAACCTATATAGCCCCATCGTCCATAGATTCATACCGAATGCCCCTGCTGATTATGTTCAAGTGGCTTTAAAAGACATAGAATGCGAACAAGAATCGATTAAAAATATTTTGTAAATTAATTTTGCGTTATTATTTGGGCCTCGTTTTTCCCAAGCCCGGTCCTGTCCTCTTTTTCCGCCCTGCGAAATTTCTGTTGAATGTCACTAAAAAGCACATTTAGTTAAAAATATACTTAAGTCATTTATATTTTGCAGTAGGTATTTATTAAATAGGCCCTATAAATTCAATAAAAAATTAAAAATATGTAAACACAATTCGTTGCGTTGGTAGCTCTGGTGACCTTTATCCGTTTTTATACCTGCCGGTGTTGCCACGTTTTTTCCTCAAAAAATAAATAAAAAAAGCGTTCAAAACTAGGTTAAATAATATATAAATCAACAAAATGCATTGTTATGTGGTTAAAGATCGTAAATGGAATAAGGTATTATTTTTTTGTTGTTTTATAACCGTTTAAAGGGAGTTTTCAGGACGGCTTTTTAAAGATGTAGACTTGGCAACGTTGCTTTTATAGTATAGTTTGTCGATGATGTCAAATATGTCAGTTTATCTTTTATAAAAGTTAATATTTATAAACATTTCGTAAAAGACATACCGAATATACTTAAAAATAGTGCGTGTTCGTGCGTTTAGTTTTAAGTGTGGCCAAGGATGTTATAAAAGCCGCGTGCCGAGGATATTTAACAATTTATTTGGGACTAAAGCGTAAGTTATCACCCACATTATTATGATAATGCTAAGCGGTTTTCCTGATAGAAAAACTCGCCTAATTTAGGTGCGAGATCGATTTATTAAGCGTTAAGTTTTCATTAACATATTGCTATGGTAAAAATCAAATCAGAAATTTTTTGTCGTTAAGATTTCCAAAAATGTTATAAAAAAGGTTATGTGTGTAAAATTGTACTATAACTCCTTAAGAAAGTCGATTTAATTTTCTTAAAAATGCGAACTAATATTACTGTCCAAAGAATGTCAACCTAAGTTAGATTAACTGTCAAAACTGCCTACTAGATGTATCAACTTTATGTTTTTTTCTTAATAAATTTCTTGTTTTCTATGTTTGGTGTAGGTAAATCTTTGTGGAAGAGATGGTAGAGAAACTTAAATTGATTAAATTATTTAAGTGTGGAATTTTAATGAAATAGCAGGTATTTGCCTAATGGGGATTTTTAAATGAGCTGCTAAATTATGTCATAGACCATCATTCATGAATGGAATTCCTGAATCTTGAATCGGTTTCAAGAGATGGCGTCAACGTGGGAAAATTATTTCCGCTAGGGAAATGGGAGTTTGTATTTATAAACACATTGCACAGTGATTCAAATTAGAACAGCTCGATATTTGTTTTGGTAATTAAACATTTGTAGGTACTATGCTTCAAATCAAAAGTTCCACTTTGACATTTGTATATGGAATGCAGAAAAATAATTGAGGTTGTCAGTTTAACGCTAATTTCGTCTTATTTTCTGAAATAATATGTATTTATGTATTTTTTGTGTTAAAAATTATATTATTATTATCAATATAAAATATATTAAATAAATATATCCCTCAGGTTGTTTATACTTTAATCCATAGGGAAACATTGTAGATTTGGAAAACTTTGTATTTTAGATTTCTGATATCACAAAAAATACTCTTTTTTCATCTAGACCTGCAATCTGAGGCACTGTGCATTGGTTTGCCGGCGAACTTTGTCTTGCTTTATATGATATTTTTATAAATAAATATATATATATATATATATATATATATATATATATATATATATATAATAGACAAAGATTTTGGCCTCGTGGCCATGCGCGTCCATTTGCGTCAGAAATAACATCGTCTAGAACTAGAAATACTTCTGACTTAGTTAGATTTGTCCTTGTCTTATTGGAAACAATTAATTCGATTTTTTAATTAAATTTCTTCGAAATTGTATTAATCGATGAAATATTTATTAATCATGTAGTCTAATCTGTCTTTTAGGATTATTCCCTTTTGTCTTTGTCTTGTAGGATCCTATGGGAATTTGAAGGAATCTTGGAATCTTTATTTATTTAAGATTAAATTTGATTAAATTTTTTATTTTATAATTTTAATAATAATTTGATGATTTAAGTTTTTGGATTTTTTAATTAACTGTAACTGTCATTTTATTTTTTATCTATTTTGCGTTCACAATGACTTCATTATAACACCTCTTTCGGTGATGTAATGAGATAATTTATCCCACCCAAAATTTTGATTTTATAGGTTGGCTATACTTTAAACAGCATATTTTGCATATTGGTTAAAATATTTTATGATTTTTCCAGTACTTACGACACTTTTCTGGCAATAAATTTTGTTTAACACCAAAGAAAATCATTTTTTCTTCTTTAACATTAACAGCCGCTTATTGTAAATAAGTAAATTAAGCACGGCATGGCGAATCGATTTTGACATCAACTGTCAAACCAATGACCGATACCAACTATCTAAAGTAAAATTCGACCAAATTAAATTTAAGGTATAAATTTTTTTTGGAAGAATTTTTACAAAATAGATAAAATAGCATAAAGAACTCATGTCATAAGACATTACATTATAAATTGTCCGCGTGCGACAAAATGACGTCTTATGACATTAGTTCTTTAATATTATGTAGGTTATTAGTTTTTGTTTTAAAATATTTATTTATTGTTTCACAAATTTTCTAAGCATTTAAGGACGGTATAATTTAATTACCTATTTATATCTTATAGTTTATTTGCTAAATGTGCTAATCAAGTAACAACTGCTTGAAGATCAAGGTAAATATTCTTTTTAATTAACTTTTGCTATTCATGACGTAACGCTATTTTGCATTTACGTATTAATATGAGCAAAAATTTAAAATTACAAGTAGCAGGATTATGCTTGGAATGATATTTTATCTTGTTTTATTTTTATTTTGTTATCTTAATTAAAGAGAACATTTATTATTATTACAGTTAGGTAAACTAAGTGATCTTTTAAATGTTGTGTATACACATTGACAAGTTGTGGCTTTATGTCGTTTTAGTCACGGGCTGAACTTTTAGGATTAAAGTTTTAGTTATTTTAAAAGTTGAATGTTACCAATGGTAAAATCTCATGAAAATGAAACATACCTACATATGTTGTGGCAAAAATCGAAGACAGGAAATTTAAAAAAATCAAATTGTTTTCAAGCTGCCAAGCAGCTTTGTTATTATTAACAAATTGTATTTTTTTTAGTTTTAGTTCTTAGAAAATTGTTTACTACTTTTTTGTTTAAATAAATTAAAATATTAAAACCGAGATTAAAAACCGAATAACTTTTTAGACAAATATTTTGATTTAAAAAATTATCACCTATCATAAAATTTAATAAATTTAGCAATTCCAAGGTTATGCTAAAAAAAATCCTTAAAATCATTATTTTAGTTTTGCCAATTTAATTAACAAATCAAATTATAAGATTATTGACTGCTATAAAAAATCCATTAGTAAATGGTAAACAAAAATATTAGGTTTAACTTATAAAAAATAATATAAAATGTACATTTTATATACTTTTATTATTTTGTAGTGTTTTAAATTAAACTTAATAATTTTAAATTAATTTTCGGATTAAGTAAAGGTATGTTCTATTATGAGGTACCTACCTGCATATTTCTGTAAGGTGCGGCTGAAATATTATACAATAATTATTGCATTTAATTTTTAATACAGGGTGAGTTTTAAGTTGACGCGTTCCTTTTAACAGCGTGTAGAAATCAGATAAACAAATAAATATTTTAAGTAACTTTTTTATCAAAACTCAAAAATAAGAGAGTTATAGGCCTTCCAAGTTTAATTAAATTTTGAGCCGGTCCTGGCTATTGTTCACAAAAAACATAACCATAAAAATAAAAATAACAAAATAAATAATGCAAAATGTCATCTATGACAACAAACATAACCATTTAAATCAAAATGACATTTAGCAATCAAAAATGTCAGTTTTTTTGTGCCTCAATTATTGTTAAAAATGGTTCATAATTATAGCAATAATGAATTAGTGGAAATGTTACTAATTTATGGAGAGTGTCGTCAAAATGCAAATGCTGCAACTTAAGTAAATAATGACATTTTTTATTGCAAAATGTCAATTTGATTTAAATGGTTATGTTTGTTGTCAAATATGACATTTTGCATTGTTTATTTTGATATTTTTATAGTTATGTTTTTCGTTAACAATAGCCAGGACCGGCTTAAAATTAACTTATTGGCTATAAGTTTAGTATGCTAATTAGGCTATTTTTAAAACAGGTTAAGATGCACCGGAGTCTGCGGATTGGTGGAGGATCCAATAGCGACCCCGGCTCGATGGTGGGGTTCAGAACCAGACCCTACGATGGTAAAATCGCCGGTCTCTACGATTTGGAGGAAACTTTAGGACGCGGGCACTTTGCCGTCGTCAAGTTGGCACGACACGTTTTCACTGGGGAAAAAGTTGCGGTCAAAGTCATCGACAAAAGCAAGCTGGACGAAGTTTCCAAGGCACATCTGTTTCAAGAGGTACGACAATGATTATTTGGTACAGTCGTAGACTGAAATACAGTAAATATTAATATTGGAGTAAATTTGAATTTTATACACATTTACATTATTTAATAATTTAAATAAGTTTAATACAGGTAAATTTTCGTCGTCACATACCAAAAAATGTCATTGATTATTAATATCAAGATTCATTATTCATATTAAAAATTCTAATCCTAAAAAAATTACCAAGAAATAATAAGGCCTCCTGACATGAAATATTTGTTTTATTAATACCAATCAAATTATCTTGGATTTCAATAAATTGATCACCATTAATTACTAATGATTTGTATTATTTAATTGCAATTAGATATCCCAAAAACATTGAAATAACAAAAATTAAATTCAACTTTAAATAAATATTTTTGGGACACCCTGTATACAAAAATAATGTTTCTTTGGATTGATTTTTGTAAAATTACCTTATCCCATTTAAAAAAAATATATATTATAATTATAATATATATATTGTTAAGATTTCTCCATACACGTTTAAAACAATTTTTATGAAAATTTAATAAATGAACTATTTTGTGACTTTGGTTCGTGATCTTCTTACCCAAATTTGGACGTCTACGTTGTGTTTACTTACTTGTTTTATTAAATACATTGCTTTAAGAATTATACTTGGAAGAATTGGGTATACAAAAAATAAAATACAGAGTTAAGTTTACCCCAATTTAATGATACCATGATAAAAATACCTTGTTGAAATATCAGTAAAATGTCACTATGCCAACACGAGAAACAAATGAATTCACGTTTGCGGAGAATTTTGAATAATGGTTTCGGTAAAAAAAGTACGTAAAAAAACGTACAAAATAAAAGAAAAAAAATAAAATAAAAATCGTCAAAAAGCTGAATTTTGGTCTTCCACTAAAAAATTCATAATATTAGCTTGTTCTTTTTTGTAAAAATGTCAGCTTTACGAAAAAAAATTAAACTGGAGTTATCTGTTTGATTTAAACCTTTCCTAGGACGATATGTAAATTTTCGACCTCCATTATTGCCATAAAAACGAATCTTTTAAGCTATTAAAATCGCTAGCATCAAAATACTTTTTCGATATCAAAAGTATGTAGAATAAAGTTTTAGAGGGCTCAAATACCTTAAATTTAAGGGCTTGTTTGGCCAAATCGATCAATTAGATTTCAAGCTATACTCAAAAACGTCAAAACACATCCGAAAATTGAAAAAAAAGCAATTGAAAATTCATATCTCAAAAACGCTTCCATAAAAAAAATTGTAAATTTTGTAAACCAGTGTATTAATATCAAGATTCATTATTCATATAAGAAATTCTAATCCTAAAAAAATTACTAAGAAATATTTATGCCTGATAAGGCCTCCTGACATGAAATATTTGTTTTATTAATAGCAATCAAATTACCTTGGATTTCAATAAATTGGTCACCATTAATTACTAATAATTTGTATTATTTAATTGCAATTAGGTAAAAGGTTAGAGGTTAATCAGAAAAAACATTAAAATAACAAAAATAAATAATTGAAATAATATCTTAAATATGCTTAAAAAGTTTAATGATGATGCCACAAATTGAAATAATATCTTAAATCTGCTTAAAAAGTTTAAAGATGATTGCACAAATTGGGCTAATGCATGTTATGTTCAAAAAGAAATTTGTAATGGAAGTGCTTCATTTAATGGAAATTCGTGCAAAAAATTATTAATTAAATAGATTGGTTAAGAGCAAATTGTAGTTTTCTACAAATATTTAATTTTCCAGTAGATATAATTCATAATATGGGGTTAAAAAAATTTAAATTTAAATTGTGAAATATTTTAAAAATTGACAAAACATGAGAATTGGTAAAATTAATGTTTTAAATTAAAAAAAAAAATGTCGCACACTCACTTAGAAATGAGAGATTATACACTCAAAAACAATGGACAAAGTAAGTTATTGTTACACTAGTTGAACAATGAAAATATTGTACTATGCTCCACAACTCAAAGTCCCACCACGTGACCACGTACGGAACGCAGTGTTTTGAAAATTTGGCATTTAAGGCTTTTCAGGTTATGTATCTGTAAAAGTATAGTCAATGAAAGAAATAATATTTATAGTGTTACCGCTTATGTTTAAGCGTTAAAAGTTAATATATCTTTTTAGTATCACAATATATGGTTTAAGAATATAGGAATATAAATACTGCATTTAATGAAATTCCAAAGTGTAAGGTGCAATATAAGTGATATTTTTGTGCATTGGGTCTACATTTCTCCATAAAATAGTTTTAACTAAACAGGATTTATTAAAAAAAATCTAACTTCTCTATTATGAAATAAGAATATCTGTATCAAAGGTAGGTTAATGTATTAGAACAAAAAATATCATATAATTTTGTATTTTAAGGTTAGAAAAATCTATTTTGACCAAAATAAATAAGTGGATTATTTGGAAGAGTGTGTTAATATGGTCATAAGTAAATATAGGTATACTAAATAATTGTTGAATATGGTTCAAATTAAATTGAAGCTTTTATACTTCTAATGACAAAACTTGTGCATACCTCTCGGCATACCTACTTTAAGTTAGATTATAAGAAAACAAACAATTTTTAGAGAAATTGTAATGTGAAAATATTTAATACTCCCATGACATGTGATTTATTAAAATTTTTAAAGTTATAATGATTTTTCGATGTAGATCAAGTTCAGTCAAAGCTTTTTAACTATTTGTATTGACAAAACTTTATGTAGGTACACTGGATAAGAAAAACTACCACATTTTTGAATACCATATTATACAGTCTTTTAAATAATCCAAAATACTTATTTATTTTGGTCAAAATAAATTTTTCTACCCTTAAAATTACAAAATTAGATATGTTAATAGTTATTTACGATATAAGTGGGATAAGCGCTTTATTAACGTACGCATGCGAAATTTGCCCAAAGAGTGCGTAGCACGAGTTGGGCAATCGCAAAAGTACGTTAATAAAGCGTTATCACACGTATATTGTACAAATTTTTATCTACGCCTCTAAATGAAAAAATAAACGGTAATTATTTTTGTCTGAGACTTAATTTAGGGTTATTTTGACATTTTGACTTTTTTATTTGATTGGTTAAAAGCAGAGAAAAACGCGTGCGTTAATGAACTTCTTATCTCACTCAAAATGAGTGGGATAAGAAGTTCTTATCTCACTGGCGTAGATAAAATATATTAACCTACCTTTAATACAGATATTCTTATTTCATAATAGAGAAGCTAGATTTTTTTTAATAAATGCTGTTTAGTTAAAATTATTTTATGGAGAAAACCAGATATTTGGACCAAATGCACAAAAATATTACTTATTTGGCACCATACACTTTGGAATTTCATTAAATGCAGTATTTATATTCTTAAATTCTTAAACCATCCATTGTTATTGTAATGTTATAAATATTTATACATTTTTAACGCTTAAACATAATATTATTTCTTTCGCTGTGACTAGAGGCACGCTAACGTGCCGCGATTCGAAATGTTAAAGGCACGTTAGTTACGTCATAAACCCAAACTCAACAACACAACACAACCGACCCCGCCCATTGACCCAACCCAACTAAAATGGGCAAATTTATGTTACGATAAAAATAAAACACTTTTTAACAAAGGAGAACAAACAAATTTATGAAATAAAAAAAGTTCTAGTAGATTTTATGTTACGATAAAACTAAAACAAACCAACCAACCCAACCCAACCGAACACTGTTTATCAAAGAAATAACAAATTTATGAAATAAAAAAATAAAAAAAGTTCGACAACTTCTTAGTATCGAACCCGGGATCTCTCGCATGCCAAGCGACCGCCCTACCATATGAGCTATCTAGCTTGATGTCAAATATTAAACGCTCGGGGAACAAAAACGGATTATAATTATGACGTAACTAACGTGCCTTTAACATTTTCAATCGCGGTACGTTAGCGTACCTCTAGTCACTGTGTTGACTATACTTTGACAGGTACATAACCTGAAAAGCCTTAAATGCCAAATTTTCAAAAGACTGCGTTCCGTACGTGGTCACGTGGTGGGACTTTGAGGTGTGGAGCATAGTACATATTTTAGTTTTTTTATATTAAAATAAAAAATAATAATATAATAAAAGTTAAGTTCTTTTAACATTTTTTAAATTTTCCTTACAAAATGTATAAATGGATTGATGTTGATCCAACAAAAATCCAGCTGGATTAAAAACCCTCTTCAACACCAAAATTTAAAAATAACAATTTTATTATTTCATTAGGTTTTGGTAATCCATTTTTAGCAAGGTTTTTGGAATGTTTAATTTTTAAAAATAATGTATACCTACTTCCTTGCTTGTTTATATTCTTTATTTGCGACTAGTTTCGGTTATACACCATCTTCATGCAAACTACAAATAATGAGGTATTAAATAAATATTTAAAAAAATTTAAAGTTAGGTTAAGTTATTTTGGTTAAAATATTTGTTAATTACGATTATTATAAATATAGTTAAAAATGTAAAATTAGTATCTACTTACAATGTCAAGTTTTAAAATATGAGTTAAAATAGAATAATATATTACGAACATAGAAGTTTTAAACAATTTTTACACTTTATAAATAAATGTTTTTTGTGGTAGGTGTGAGATGTTGGTTGTGGTCTTACAGGTGTTGGAAAATAGGTTCAAAATATAATTCTACTTGTTCGTTTAGTAGGTTACATTTGTCTTTGTTTTTGTTTATTTCATAGGCTTCTAGAAGTGTTAGTTTTATTCCTTTTCATCTTAGGTCCGTTGCATGAAGCTGGTGCAGCACCCGAACGTGGTCAGGCTGTACGAGGTGATAGACACCGCCACCAAGCTGTACCTGATCCTCGAGCTGGGCGACGGCGGCGACCTCTACGAGTACATACTGCGGCACGACTCGGGCCTGCCTGAGGAGATGGCGCAGGAGTACTTTCGGCAGATAGTCAAGGCGATCTCGTACTGCCATCAGCTGCACGTGGTGCACCGCGACCTCAAGCCGGAGAACGTGGTGTTCTTCAAGAAGCTGGGCATCGTGAAGCTGACCGATTTCGGCTTCAGCAACAAGTTCTACCCCGGCCAGAAGCTGGAGACCTCTTGCGGCAGCTTGGCGTACTCGGCGCCCGAGATTTTGCTGGGCGATTCCTACGACGCTCCCGCAGTCGGTGAGCATTTTTTTGTTATCCTTATCTTTACCAATTTACCTATTTCTAACCTATGCGGGAATTTGCTAAACACGGTGCTGTTCTGAGAGGTGATTTTTGGACTTTCTGTGAAACCAAATTTTTTTTTTATTCTTGTTAATTAGGTCATAACAAAAATTTTAAGAGCAAAATAAAAAAAATTTGACGGTTTGAATTGTTTTAATTGTCTGTGTATTAAAAATATTATGCACTCTTTCAATTATCCAATTAAAACAAGCGATTTAATTTAAATATTTAATATTTGCATTACTAAAAAAAAGGATTTTACAATTTTTTTTATATATTTTACTGTTTTGTTGCAATAAACGTTCAAACTTTTAATCTAACCTTAGAACGTATACATCTATGTTCCCTTAATTAATATATCCTTAAAGGTTGCCATGAAACTTAGATCTATTAAAAATTTATTTGACGTTTGAATTGTCATTTTCAGTATACGTATTCTATAATTTTTGTTTAGTTTTTTAAAGTGTTTTTTATAAACAAAAATGAAAAATTGTAGTAAAAGTTTCGAAGAAATTCATGAAATTTAACTAAGGACCGGTTTATTCATCTTTAGTAAAGTTTATCGGGCCGATAACTTTCATGTCTTGGCAATATCTAGTATCCAAAGAAATTATTCGTCACATAAATCACAAATGAATAAATCGACCCTAAATAAAATGTGGCACCCTTAGAATTATTGTTTAATAAATGTATACTATACATTTAACCTTAAATTAAAACTTTAAACGTATTACAACAAAACAGTAAAAGGTATAAAAAATGTATAGACCTTTTTTTAGGAAATTAACTAATCTTTAATCTGATTTAAAAAGTTATGATAATATTTAAATAAAATTGCAAGTTTTAATTGGAGAATTGAAAGTGTGCATACATATTTTTAATAAACATCCAATTAAAACAATTCAAACCGTCAAATTTTTTTTATTTTGCTCTTAAAATTTTAGTTATGTTCTAATTAACAAGAATATAAAAAAAATTAGGTTTCACAGAAAGTCCAAAAATCACCTCTCAGAACAGCACCGTGTAAAGAGTGTTTGTTTGTTGGTTTCTCTTCCACGCAGCAACGGAGTAACAGATCGACGTGATTTTTTGCATTTTGCTAATCGTTTTTCAATTTTTTAAACTTGGTTTTGAATTATCGGCCATTTCAAGCGCGCGAAACGCACGAATTACAAACTGGTTTTTTGTAGTGTTTAAGAAGTCAAAAAAGCAACAAAACAAGTTTAAAATATGTATTCACTTTTTTAAACTTTTTTACATTTTTCTTAATTTTTTGAACTAATTTTTTTAATTTTGACGGAGCCACGGATCGAAATGGTTTTTTTGCATAGTTTAAAAAGAAGTCAAAAAATATGTTAAAAATTAAATAAAAATAGCTAAAAAACCAAAAAATTAAAAAAAGTAAAAAAAAATAAAGTCGTAAAGAAGTCAAAAAGCTACAAAAACAAGTCTAAAAATTTATTTACTTATTACACATTTTGAATTTTTTCCTTCGTTTTAGTTGCTTTTTTGACTTTTTTACGACTTAATTTTTTGTTTATTTTTTACTTTTTTTACTTGGTTTTTTGACATTTTTGTTTTTTTTTTACTTTTTAAACTTTTTTTGTGTTTTTTTACTTTGACAGAGTTTTTGGTTTTGATTTTTTTATTTGTCTTTTTTTATTTTTTTTCCTTTTTTGCCTTTTGACTTCTAAATATTTGGAACTTTGACGGAGCCAAGGATCTAAATGATTTTTTGCATAGAGATAGTTTAAAAAGAAGTCAAAAAACTATGAAGTTAAAAATTAAAAAAAAAGTGCTAAAAACCAAAAAAGTCAAAGAAGTAAAAACAAAAAAATAAAGTCGTAAAAAAGTCAAAAAGCTACAAAAATTTATTTACTATCTACACTATTTTTTTTAATGTTTTCCTTCGTTTTTGTTGTTTTTTAATTTTTTTTTTTACTTTTTTGGTTATTTAGCTTTTTTAAGTTTTTTAAATTTTGACTTTTGGTTTTTTGTTGTTTACTTTGTTTTGACTTTACTCTTAGCTTTTTTGATTTTTTTACTTGAATTTTTTTTTTACTTTTTTGACTTTTATTTACTTTTTTGGCTTGTTTTTTTTAATTTATTTTCCTTTCTTGACTTTTTTTGCTGATTTTTAACTTATTTTTTATTCTATTTTTATTTTTTAGTCTTTTTTTTTTAATTTTTGACGTTTGACTTTTCGTTCTTTGTTTAAATTTGGATTTTTTTGGGGTTTAAAATAATTTTTAGGATAGTAATTTTTTTATCTCAATCAAATTTGGTTTGTGTATTGATTGATGTTTTATATATGTATTATTTTTTCTTAGTACTACAGGAGCTAGTATCTTATAATAGGAAAAAGTTTATAATTATTTCTTAAAAAAATTATGATTTGCAGATGTGTGGTCTTTGGGCGTAATTTTGTACATGTTAGTTTGCGGTCAGCCACCTTTTCAAGAAGCCAACGATTCAGAAACCCTAACCATGATTATGGATTGTAAATACAACGTTCCTCCGCACGTGTCCAATGACTGCAAAGAGTAAGTTTTTTTTTTTTGAAAAAATAAAATATAAAACTAATTTTGTTTTCAAATAAAGCTTGATAGCTCGGATGTTGGTGAAAAACCCGGAAAAACGAGCCTCCCTGGCGGATATATCGAGCCACCCCTGGTTGGGGGTGGAAAAACAAGAAAATCTCGCAGACGTTCAACCACTTGTTGCCAAGGAGCATTTGTCTGAAGAGGATCACAATTTAATCGTACAAAAAATCGTCAACGGCAACATCGCAACCAAAGAGGAAATACAAGAGTAAGAAAACTTATTTTATCTCCACGCGGTCTATAATTTAAACTTTATTGTTGTCAACATTCGATAAAGAAATACCTTGTTATGGCCTAGGCCGATAAAAAATTTTATGAGGCAAGTAATTCGTTCGATTTTTTCTCGCTAGGGTTATTGTTTTGACAAATTAATCCTTTTCTAAGAAATTACGTTAATTGGTTTAATTTATTTATAATAAGCACTAATTTGTTTGTTTTACTGTTAATGTTTAATATTTTTCATTAAATTATTGCAAAATTAAATATGAATAATAAAACAAAAAGTAAGGTTAGGAAACCAAGACAACGCACGATTCTTTTTCTACGATTTAAATTACCTTTAAGTTTTAATTTGCTTTAAGTTTTCAGTGAAATTAAATGTTAAACACAGCTTTAACATTCCAAACTACCTATTTTTTAAATAAAAATCCAAACAAATTGAAATTAGATACCTACCTATTTATTAAACAATTAATTGAATTCAATGTAATAGCAAAAATCCATTTCTACTTAAATCATGTAGCTAGGTATTGTCAAACTTTTACTGCTTCTAAAAGCAATAATAATTATTGTACATTTAATGTAATCTTTAGCTAATAAATAAATGAGATTCTAAAAAAGTGAGGTTAGGCCGCTTTGATGTTGAATTAAATTGACCTATATAAAGTGCTTTGAAGATAAAATGTTGTATGCCATTCGGCCAAGAATAAATAACTATTTTGCTGCTAACTTTTAATACTACAAAACTTTTTAATAATAATTTTTAGGTCTTTAGATAAGAACGAATATAATCACATAACGGCCACGTACTATTTGCTGGCGGAAAGGAAATTGAGGGCGAAACGGCAGCAGCAAGATCAAATCGGTAAAAGTCGTAGGCCGGAATTTTTGGCGGTGGCCAAGTCCGCCCCTGCGCCGAAAAAAGATAACAACGGCACTGCGCCCAATTCGTCGCTGCTTAGCGTGCCCAGAACTCCAGGGGATGTACCTGCGGTAAGTAACATTTTTTTCAGATTTTTGAAAGGTCCAGAGACGAAAAAAATTAGATGTTTATAAAAAGTTTGATAAATTATTATGAATTTTTTTTCCAATCAATTTATAGGTTTAAGAATAACTAAATTTTGTTTGAAAAGTTACCAAAAATTTCATTTGACAATAACTTATAAACTATAACTATAAAATAAAATAATTTTTTTTGTCGATTAATTTTTATGGTGAAATCGTGTCCGGACTTAAAATTGATTTTTTAATGAAAAATTGAATATTTCATGTGTTTGACGTTTAAAAAAACCTGTTTGTGGTACGTCTGTATTTGCCCAGAAGACTCGCGACAAAAAGGGACACTTTAGTCCCACCACACGTGACTTGGATATAAATAATTCAGATTAATTTTATTTCAGTGTCAAGCTAATTTCGTCTAATTTTTTTAATTCGTCTAAATTTATACTTACTTTTCGATTTGGCTAAATCTTTTTTATCTTTTTTTACCCTATCAAAAATATTTTTTTTTAATTTTTTTTAAATTTTTTCACCCAAACGAAAAAATTAATGAATTAACCAAAAAATTGCTTTTATTATTAAAATATCTATAACATTTTCAAAAATTGACTTATCGGAACGTTTATTTTTTGTAAAATTTTTGTTTTTATATGTATTTTTTATAAAAATATATAGCAAATATTCAGACCGATCTTTAACGGTTTTTTATTAGAAACTGACATTTTCTGCAAAATCTCTGAAATTTTTAAGAGTGGCGTTTTTTCGTTTTCTATTTGTTTCTCAACTGAAAAAAGTTTGAAAAAAATAATAATAAATGAAATTAAATGTGATAATCATCAAAAAAATGTTTTTCGAAAAAGTAAGAAAAAAATAGAACATAGTTTTGAATAATTTTTTTATATAGGTACCTATTTCTTTTGAAAATTAAATTTATAACCAAAGAAAATAAAAACAAACAACAGCTGTTGTTTGTTTTTATTTTCTAGGCTAAGTGGTTAATATGAGATGGAATTCGTTTCATATATTTTTGCAAAATGTCGCTTTTTTTGTTTATTAAAAGTTGTTTTGTTTTTAAATGGAGTTCAAAAAAATATTTAAAAAAATTATGCAGAACTATCTTCTGTTTTTCTTCATACTTTTTCGAATATTTTTGATGATTACCACTTTCAATTTCATTTTTTATACTTTGAGGTTTTCTCTTCATCTTAAAAAATCCTCAGAGTGATATAAGAAATAAGAAGAGTTATTTGTTTTTAATTGGTAAAATTAGAAAATGAAAAAACGCTATTTTTAAAAGTTTCAGAGAATTTGCATAAAATGTCAAAGTTTCAAATAAAAAAAAACTAAAATTGAAAATATTGAAAAAATACTTCCCAATAAGTCAATTTTTAGAAAAGTTATAGATATTTGAAAAATAAAAAGCCATTTTTTTTATATTCAACTTATTTTTGGTTGGGTAGAAAATTTTTGTACTTATTATTGTGCATTTTTCTACTTAAAATTTTTCAATAAAATTTAGTATAGGGTCGTTTTGAGGGGTGGTGAATCCAGTGCCATTTTGTTTAAAAAATATGAATTCTTAAAAATTTACTATTAAAAACTGACATATTAGGCCTTGTATTTTGTACAAATATGGTGTTTTTTGCTCCAAAAATACAGTACAATACTAATACACATAAACTTTGATATATTTTTTATACTATGCTATTGGATGGTTCCAAAAAGGGATTTACTCGCAATCAAAAGTTCTACAAAAATGCTTTATGTGCCATAGCTGTAATCTGCACCTGTAGGATGGTGCAGGTCAAATCTGATTTTAGCGAAAAATTCTTATATTTATGAAGATATTTCAAAAGTGACTGGATTTATCGAAAAAATGTAAAGGTAGAAAATTTAATTTTCTTTAAAAAAGGTTCAGTTGAATCACTAACATTGATATTTGTTGAGATATAAAGCGTTTACATAACATAAAATAACATCTTGTATGTAATACACCTTGTCATATAAATTTTTAGGATAGATATATCTTTTCTCTTTAAAGTTATGTTATTAATAATTATGCTTGATTGTTTGAGTTATTTATTTTTCTTTAATCATCCGACTGTAGAAAAAACGTAATTACATGAAATTATACTGATAAATAATTGAAAATCATCATTTATAAAAAGTTTGGTACGAAAATCCTGAAAAATTTCATAAAATGTCAATGTAAACGCTTTATATCTCAACAAATATCAATCGAAAATTAAATTTTAAAGTTAGTCCTTTACATTTTTTGATGAATCCAGTCACTTTTGAAATAGCGAATTTTTCACTAAAATCAGATTTAGTGACCTGTACCATCCTACAGGTGCAGGGAGAGTACTTAGAGTAAATATTAAATTTTCAGGAATTCTTTTTTAACTTTTTCAACAAGATTTTGAGTGGGGAGCGAAAAAATAAAAATAATCGTGAAAAAATCACCTTAATAATATATTATATATGCATTAAAGCGTTGCTTCTTTAGCGTATATTTGAGCACTAGTTGCCTTTATACGTGGATTTTCTTGCTCGATTTCTTCATTGTGACGGCAGTATTGTAAGGCCAATCGTTATTTTTGCAGAGATCGAGAAAGTGCAGCATAGTGCAGGAGGACGAAGAAGAGGAGGACATATCGAGCTGCTCGGGTCGCGAGGATCTGAACGCGGCCTTAAACCGCCGCGGATCGCGCTCGGAAGGCCGTCTGAACCTCGCTCTGCAAGAGCGTCTCGCCGAGGCGGACCGCCGCAAGCAGCAGCAGCAGCAGCAGCCCGCCGAAAAAACCGCCGAACCTCTCGAGAAGCGAAGGGAAAACGGCGCCATACCCGGCACCACGGTCATAACCGACTGCAGCACGATATCGATACCGATCGTCGCGGCGAGCGGTCAAGATTCGGTGCCGAAGTACAAGACGATGCCGTCGCCGACGATCAACAAACTCCTCCTCAACGAGATTTTCGAGGAGGATTGCGTTGAGGGCGGTTGTTATGCCTCGGGAAGGCAGTTTGCTTCGCGCGCGCAGAACAGAACTCCCTACGAGCAGAGACGATCTAAATTTCATAAAAGCCGCACCGCTTCGTGTAGTTCCTCCGACGCCAGCGACGATGATAGCGAGAAGAGGAAAAAACGCGCGCATAAGCTCAACGCGTCGGCGAAACCGTTTCAAGGCCGGCGCGACAGCCACGATGACTCGAGCGATTCTCAAGAGCCTGGTAACGGCTGCGGGGCGACTGGCAACGCTGTAAAAACCGCGGCGGCGTCAAGCAAAACCGCGGCGGGGCAGGGCGATGGCAATAAAAATAACGGCGGCGGGGGTAAAAACACCGGCGGTAGAAACTGCGCTACGTTCACGCGGCGCCACAAAAACAACGAGACGCGCTTGCGCGAGAGTCAATCTCTGAACAGGATAACGGAAGTGCAGGAGGAAGTCTTCGTGGCCGCCGCCGCGGTGGTGACGGCAACCCCGAAAGCGAAAGGCTTCACCGCAAGGCTTTTGCAGGGGATAAACGTGAAAATCAAAAGCGGCGACGACAAATCATCGCACGTCTCCCGTAGAGACACATTGAAAGCCTTGCAGAGCCTCGAGCTCAAAGACGAGAAGTCCGGCTTGAAAATGAAGAAGATGCGCATCCTCGGGAAATACTTTCAGGTGCACCGCAAGCTGTTCGGGCGCGAGCGTTTGTACAAGGCGCAGTCGTGCGGCTCGCTGGCCGTCGGCGGGAAGGTGGGTTCGGGCGGCGCGGGGCGGCAGAGGGCGGCGAGCGCGGCGCCCTCTAACGAGAACGAGAACAACAACGCGCACAGGCGGAAGTCGGGGGGGCACGTGCACGTGATTCGCGTGTCGGACGTGTGCGCGACGCACCTCGGCCCGGCGAGCAAGTGCTGCAGTTTCTGTTGACGTTGTTGTCGTTGTTGCTGTTTGCTCGGGCGAAAACGTCCGAAGTCGTTTGTTTGAACGTTGCCGTTGGGGGTAGAACATTCGTAAGTTTTAGGTGATTTTAAAGAAGCGAAGAACGTTTTTTATGGACACAAAAATTTACCCTTCAAGCGATTTTGACCAAACTTGGGGCAGTTAGGCTGGTTAAAAAAAATCGGCTATTTTTTTCTGAAATTTCGCACTGAAATATCTTCACTAGGGTGTGCCAAAAAAACTCGATTTTTTTATTTTCTTGCTCTCCACCCAAAATATCGTAGAATATGTCCGAACAAATATTCTGTTAAAAGCGGAGCTCATAATTTCAATTTTAAGAGGTCCTTCATCGAATCTCAAGTTTTTTCGCTTAAATAACACAGAAAACTGACTTTTTTACCTTATTTATTCTTGCAACCTAGGAAGAATTTTTTTTTTCATAAAATCCATAACCAAATCTTACAAAGCATTAAATTTGGACGAAAAAATCTTTTAGCTTGTCTGATGGACCACAAAAAAGTTTTAGGCCAACTTTTTGTATCGTCAATATTCTAAAAGTTACAGGCGTATAAAGTCATCATTTTTGTATTATTAACTTTTTGTTAGTGAAATATTAATGTTAGAATATAATAATTACAGATTCAGAATTTTTTGTACGATAATAGTTAGTAAGATATTATTATTAGTATTTTTAGCGATAATTCACTGTAAACAATGAAATAAGACATGAAATTCTTATAAAATTTTGTATCTATTGTCAATTGTTTATCTGATTTACTTAAAAAAACATCGAAATAAGCTTAAATAATTCTGTAAATTTTAATGGTTGTCAGTACATCAAATTTTACTAGAACAATTTTTCCGAAAATTCATTTTTTTTTATAATTCTCTATTGACATTAATATTTCACTAACAAAAAGTTAATAATACAAAAATGATGACTTTATACGCCTGTAACTTTTAGAATATTGACGATACAAAAAGTTCGCCTAAAACTTTTTTGTGGTCCATCAGACAAGCTAAAAAATTGCCATTTGACTTTTTCGTCTAACTTCAATAGTTTAGCTGAAAAAGGCAAAAAACCTAAAATTTTAAATTTAAAGCTCTGTAAAAAATCAAATAATGAAAATAGAAATTCGGCTTAATAAGATTTTTTCATCCAAATTTAATGCTTTGTAAGATTCAGTCATGGATTTTATGAAAAAAAAATTTCTTCCTAGGTTGCAAGAATAAATTCGGTAAAGTCAGTATTCTGTGCTATTTAAGCGGCAAAACTTCAGAATCGATGAAGGACCTCTTAAAATTGAAATTATGAGCTCCGCTTTTAACAGGATATTTGTTCGGACATATTCTACGATATTTTGGGTGGAGAGCAAGAAAATAAAAATATCGAGTTTTTTTGGCACACCCAAAAAAAGACACTTGTAAAACCGGAGCTCTTTTTTTTGTATAATTTTCTAGCTCACAAACTAATTGACAGATTTTTATGCGCGATACATATTTTTGTGGGAAATTGAACGCTCTAAAAAAAATGTCTCCTATCATTTTTCGATAAACCAAGGAGTTTAAAAGTTATTCAAAATCAAAGTTAAATTTATGTCAATTGCATTTTTTACTTTAATTTTGGGCAAATTCATTAAAGTTATTATCAAATATAAAAAAAATTAAAATCGTTTTTAATGAATTCTTTTCAGAAATAGTAGGTGTTTCAGTGGAATTAATTTAAAATGCCTATTAAACATGGTAATTTTAATTTTTTGAATGATTTTTTTGTAGAGCGTTCAACTTTCCACAAACATATATATCGCGCATAAAAATCTGTTAATTAATTTGTGAACTAGAAAATTATCTCTCATGTTATTTAAATGGGAAATAAAAATTCTCGATGCGCGACCTCTAAATATTACAATTAAGAGCTCCGATTTTCACAGGTGTTTTTTTGGTACCATGAAGATATTTCAGTGCGAAATTTCAGAAAAAAAAAATAGTCGAACCAGCCTAATATATTTATACAAGGTAAGTAAGTACTCTACTCCAATATTTATTAAATTGAGTGATATACAGAGCGTTACAGTGGTTTAGTAATTAGCTCATATCTTCCACAAATTTTAACCAATTAAAAAAAAACAAAAATTATTTCAAATCACAATTTTTTTTAATACTTTTTTATCAAAAAATAATTTTTTTGCGTAGTTTTAAAATTACAGTAGGGTATCAAAGTGTCGAAAAATTGGAGAAAAAACTGTTTTTTCTGTTGTTTTCCTAGGCTTTGGAAAAATTGTCTTTTTTGGGAAAAATTTATTTTTTTCTGATATACAAAGCAATCAACAACTCAACATTATTTTAATTTGAAAAAAAAAATATCCTTAAGGATAATAAATTTATTACATAAAAAACAAATATCCATTTACAAAATAATGAAGATTTATAAAGTTAAATTACAAAATTATTTTATAAACCGATGTGTCAAATAAAACGATAGTTGAATCGGTGAGTTCAAGAACAGTACATGTCAAAAATTTAAAATTTTGACAAATTATTTTATAAAATTATTTTTATAGTTTAAAATGCATTTTTGTGAAAATGTTTTAACAATTGTACAAAATATGAAAATTATTACATTTTATAAAATATTCCCAAAAAATGCATTTTAAACTAAAAAAATGATTTTATAAAATAACTTGTACACAATTTAAATTTTTGACTTGATCTCACCGATTCAGTTATGTAAATACAGCACCGAATTTGTTTTTTCGCAACCCGGTAGAAGATTCTTACTGAATTATAATAGTGAAAATAATTATTATAATCATGTTTTTTATTAATATATTCAAAGTTTCAGAAAAATTTACTTTAAATTTTTCGTATGAAAAATTCAAAATTAATTTTTTCTTTTTTTTTCGCCGGCTCAATATTTTCGGATATTTTAAAACCCTAGTTGTGACTAGAGTTGGAAAAATTGGGGAAAAACTGTTTTTCCCGGGTCTTGGAAAAATTGTCTTTTTTGGAAAAAATTGATTTTTTTTTGTTAAATATACACATTTGAAAAAAATAGCAATAAACAACTTAACATTATTTTAATTCAGGGTTCGCCTGATTTAAATCATTTGATTTAAATCAAGTATTTAAATCAGAAAAACTGCTTATTTTGTTAAATAAAATAATAAAGTAATTTACAAAAAAATATATGACAGTTGCTGACGGTGGTTTATTTGTTTAAAAGTAGTGGCAATATAATATTATTATAGTCAAGTTATTTTAAGTTTTTTTTTTATAGTATACTTTATTAAAAAAGCTTATAATTTTGAATATCGTAATAAAAATCATTGATTTTATAAACGGTTGGGTCTTCTTGCAAAAACGGATCCAATCAAAATATCCAATTACAAAATATTTGATATGATTTATAAAGTTAAATTTCAAAATAATAATTTTACAAATGAAAGTTTCAAATAAAACGAAAGTTTGTATGTTAATACCTCACCAAATATGGAAAAAATTAAAATACTAATTAATTTTTTTCCAAAACTTTGAGGTTGTGTTTAAAAGACATAACAAAATAAAGTGGCCATATCTACTGGGTTGTAAAAGTCGCTTGGCCGCTGCCCCCAAGCGTGAAAAGTCTTACCTTTGTTTGTAACGTCTGTCCGTACTAACACCCTACTAAACTCATTTTAGCAAAAAATACACCTGGAAATATAACCTAGAAAACAACCTTAAAAGAACAAGTAGACCAAGGGATGATACAACTTAGATACTCTTAATTGAGTCCCTTGATCTTAGTGGAAACCGAAAAATATAATGTGCTGGCCAAATAGCTTTTAAATTAAGCTAAAGGTCATTTCTCTGAAAACAGAATTGTGATCAGAATTAAGAAGAAGAAGTGGCCATAATGTACAGTTAGAAAATGTGATATGAAATTATTTTTAATTGTTTAATATAATATTATATTTGTGGGGAACATAAGCTACTTACACTGTAAACCCTGACCGACCTTATTTAACGCTCTGTATATACGAAACGGGTCACTCAATTTGATAAATATTTGGGTACAGTACATACCTCGTATTCATTTGTTCCAAGTTTGATCAGGTATGTTTTTTGCCCCCAAACCTAAAACTCCTTAACCAAAGTTTTAACTACTTATAAGCTCAAGTTTCATGACATAGCCAAAGCGTTTTTTTTCTCTTTTCCTTTTACTTGCTCGTTTTAGTAGGGACTTAATGAATAATAAATGTATTATTACCAAAGAAAATATGTGTCGGGCTGCTGCGAAAAAATTATTTAAGGTAGGTGCAATTCATTGTTAATATGTATAAAATAAAGTATTACGATTTTGCCAAAACAATTTTAACGAGAATCAAAAACAAGCAGTTCACTTTATGAGTAAAAAATCACGATTTTTTTTACTTTATTTGCTCAAAAATGTTGATTTTTTAACGCGTGCGATTAAAATATATACAGGGTGAACCAAGTATATTTTTTTATTAAATATTGTTCCAATTTATAAATTTATCTTTAATTAGCAACTTTCTTCTAATTTAACCGGAAAGTATTCTTGGTGTCACATAATATTCAAGCAATTGACTGAAAAGAACAATTCAATCGCAATACTAGCTTCTGTGTATATTTGGTGAATGTTCTGTTTAATTTTAATAATCCCTAGTTGGTAAAAAATACCTGTTGCATACTTTTAATTTAAATCATCATTATAGATAATCAAAAAAATACCCTTATAGGTTTAGGTAGTAGGTCTAATGAATCATAAACGTTTTTACTAAGAACACAGTAGGATGATAAATAGGATTAGTATGTAGCCTTCGCTGGTCGGTAGGATTACATTTGGACCTTTTTAACAAAAAAAAATCATCTTTTTGGTTAATTTTTTTATTGAACAAGGTCCCTTTTTTTTATGCATACTCACTGGTTACATGATAATTCCATTTTAATAAATACAGGGTACACCAGGTTTTCTTCTATGTATTGTTATCTTTTTTATTGGTTAAATTAGGCAAAAGTTGGGTAATTACAAGTCTGTTAAAATGGCATTTGAAAATCGGAAAAAAATCTGCGGTTCTCAAATAATTTCAGAAAATCTAAAAACCTGTAAAAAATCCGTTACAACTTTGTTATTCCTCGGAATTTGAAAAAAATAATTTGTAATTTTGAGTTACCTCCACCATCTTTTTGTTTTTCCATATTGTAAAGTTGCCAGCCATTATAAAAACAAAAGATGGTAAGTTATAATAACTTTTGGTTTTAAAAGGTTTCTAGTTTTTTTTTAATATCTTGAGAACCACCTTGTGGCCCTTCAAATTAAAAAAGTACCCATAGAAGGATATTTGGTGCACCCTGTTTATTACATGAATATGCGCGTGCGCTGTTGTAACGGATAGTTAGGAATACCACGAGACGTTAAATTAATTTTAAATTTAAAAAATATTACAACAACCAAAAATTAAGCTTTTTAAGAAAAAAGCGGTATCACTTTTTTCGATTTAACAGAGTTTAAGAAATTACCATTTTACTTTACTAATTTTGTAATTTTACAAAAAAAAATTCAGAATAATCTCATGCGAAAAAAATATATCACTTTTTTCTAGAACACCCTAATATAATATAAATTTCTATATAGGTACCTATTTAATATAATATTTTATAATGATCAATAATATTAAAATATTTTCATACTTATTAAGTACCAGGAGGATCAAAAATATATTCTGATTAATCAAACCATGAACTTTTACTTATAGTAAGACAAATCGATCAATATTGATTTTTTAAGGGTTATTTTTTGATCAAATTATGTTATTGCATTCAATATTTTGCAAAAATCATATTTTCTTGAAACCTCCCGTATCAAATCAACCAATTTAATTTGTAAAGAAAAAACCGTCTCTTTTACAATTAAAAATGTTAAAGATAAGAATTGTTTTCATTTTTTTTTCTGGATAGTCTTAATGGTTTTTCAAATATTGCGATTTATTTAAAATATTCAATCTGAAGGGATCCAAAATTATGTTAGTGAGACTATTAATTTTTAGTTGGACACCATCATTGGTTGATTTGATATGGAACGAATATCATTTCATACGTAAACAAAAATAACGTTAGATTTTAAGTGTAGCAGATATTTTGTGTGTACAGTTTATGAAGTTATTGTGCAATAGGTTTAAGTCTTCCAGACTGATTGCAATTGGAGATTTACAGAGCTACTTAAGTCCTTTCAATGTTAACTTTATTTTGTTGGTAAAAATAGTTAAGCTAGAACGAGTTAAATGGCGTTTTTTTAATTGGATACTTACAAGACTGATTGTGTATGTGTATTAAGTGCATTTAAAATTAAGTCCAGCTTAACTATTTTTTTTTTTCGAAAATATTTATTACTTAATCGATTTATTTGAGGCTTTTTCTGTAGATATTTTATTAGTGTCTTATGCACAAAGCAGCAAGAACTTGAATTTGAAATGAACAAATAAACCTTAACTATGCTTTGTGCATGGGGCCATAGGTAATTTTGCCAGTGTTTTATCATGAAAACTTGTAGGTTATCAATTAATTGGGTGATTAGTTTTAACATTAGACTGACCTAAACCCTTATTTATTATATAACTATTATTATATTAAAATTACAGTACTAAATGTAAATTTATATAAATGAATGAATATCTTAAAGCTATCTGCATATTGGATACTTAATTGTGTATGTGCTGTGCACAGATATGATTTTGTTGTTATTTTTTCTTAAGACTAGTTTGAGTTTATATTATTATTACCTTATTTATTATATTTAATGTTTTTTGAGACACTATATATATCTACTTACCCGACACGTTTTGTGTGCCTTTTTTGTGTATATATATCTTGATGTCAAGCGGGTCTTGTCGTTAGTAACAGTTGACTTTGGGGACATGTTAGAACATGTAATAAATATATATTAAAAAAATGACGTTTTTATTTCAATGAATCCCTCCTCTTCTATAAAATATTCATTAGGAAAATAAAAAAACGCTTTTTATACAAGATATTAATACTTTATTTTTGTATAATAAATTAATGTTATAAAATGCATACTAAATAGAATAAATATAAAAATCTAAGCGAATATAATTTAAGTGTACTTATATGACGTGGCTTTTTTAAAAGCTGAATTTTTCAAATTCAAAACAAACCCGCTCAATTTGATAAATATCGCTCAAACACAACAATTTTTAATTTTATCGGTATTTTCTTGGTATAAAGTTTTATTTATTAAGGAAATACCGATAACTGTCGTGGGGGGCCGCCTGCTTCGACCAGCCAACTCGATCCGCTTGGAGCCTTTTGAATCACGTCCACCAGGGCCTTCGCTACGCTTTCGGGTCTAAAAAAATATGCATATTTTGTTATTTTTATCCAAATTGGGTGAAGAAAATGTATTAACAAAAACAAAACATTTTATATGCGATTTTTGCCAAAAAATGTTTCAACAGATAATGATCTATTTATTCCAATTTTGTTTTAAAGTGTCGAAAAAAAAACGGAAAAATTGTCTTTTTTGGGACAAATTGATTTTTTGGAAATATACACATTTGAAAAAAAGTAGCAATTAACAAATTAACATTATTTTAATTTAAAAAAATCCTTTATTACAAAAATTAACTTAAGATTGAATTAAATTAAATTGATTTAAGAAAATAAATGTAAACGTTATATATACTGTTGGTTGGGTCTTTTTTGCAAGAAGAACTCCATTAAAAATATCCAACTACAAAATAATAAATGATTTATGAAGTTAAATTACAAAATTATAATTTTATAAATCAAAGTGTGAAATAAAAGTTATTTTAATACAGCATCGAATATGTTTTTTGCGGCCCGGTGGAATATTCTTACAGAATTAAAATAAAAGGAATAATTCTTATAATCATAATATGTAGGTAATACATAATGTATTATGATTATAATAAGCGCCGGAAATTAATTTTTTTCTCGATATCAGTGTACGGATATTATCCTTAAAAATTTGGAAATTTTTAGAAAAATTAATTTCCCAATTTTTCCGGAAAAACCGTTTTTTTCTGCCTGTTCAATTTTTCAGGAAATTTTAAAACCCTTTCTAATTCTAATTATAGGTAAATCAATTGAGTATGTGGAAACCATACAATTTTTGGGTATTTACTTGGATAGAAAGTTAACATGGGAAACAAAACAAAAATACATAATTTAAATAAAAAAAGTTCTGCTTGCTATTTAAGAAGGTCATATATATATATATATATACAGAAATTAAATTTTGTTTGCGAAAAAAACTTAATTTTTCCTCACCCGCCTCCAGGCCTCCCTATTTAAGATAATTTAAATTAAAGCAATTTATTATATACTATAATTTATCGACAAATTTAAAATTTTATTTAAAAAATCCAAATATTACAGATTTTATTCGATTTTAAATTTTTATTATTTATTTTATTAAAATAAAAAAATATTTTAAATGGTATGAAACCTGTAATATTTGGTTTTTTTAAATAAAATTTTAAATTTGTCGATAAATTATAGTAGATAATAAATTGCACCACTTTAATTTGAATTATCTTAAATAGGGAAGCCTGGAGGCGGGTGAGGCGACAGGAAAAACTAACATTTTTTCGCAAACTTCAATTTAAATTCTGTTTGCGCCGAACTTGTTAATTTAATGTCATTATAAACTCATATAAATTTGGTGTTTCGAGTTTACCCGCGGCAAAACTTGACAGCTGTTGTCACCAAGATTGCAATTTATATTTTAATTGTTAACTGTTACTCATGAAATAGTCTTGTCAAATACCATTCGGGATCAAATTTTTCCTGCGAAAAAAATCGAAAAAACAATGCTAAGTAATATTTTTTAACAAAATGCATTCGTGCAGGTGCAAAAATCCTCCTCTTCGACTCGGATTTTTGTTGCCACCAGCACTTTTGCATTTTGTTAAAATATTACTTAGCAACGTGTTTTTTCGATTTTTTTCGGAAAAATTAAATGCCCTTATGATATTACTTACGATTAAATTTTAGCCTCCATATTGGATTTTTGTTTACGATTTTATGGTGTTATTTACAAGTTTTAACAAACATTTTTTAAAAAACAATAAAAAATAAGTTATCTAAAAAAAAGTCAAGTCAAATCCAAGACGGACTTAAACAAAAAACGCCAGACGCGTGATCAGTCGATTGCAGGTGGATATATCCTATAGAACAGTTCTTATGGAGCTATTCTGAGTTGTGAAGCGTGCCGAAAATTCTTGCCAGGGCCGCATTATGTCCATTGCGGTTATTAATAGCGTATTGTTTGATTACTTCCTTGTTTTCGCGGCTTTCATCTTTGTGGTTATTTTTGTTATTGTTTTATTATTAATACTTCTTATATAACGTTATTTGTTGTTATTGTTGTTGTTATTGCTATCATTGTTTTGGTTATTTGGTTTTTATTGTTATTATTATTATTCAATTAAGTGCGATGTCTAGCACAGACGAAGCTGAACATTTTGAGAACTTAAGCCCAGTTAAAAAACGGTCTAAAAGAAATCACTTAAGTGTGGAAATAAAAGAGGTTATTATAAATATTTTCATTAAACTTTAACTAAAGTTTAAAACAATAAATTTAAAATAATTTTCAAAAATTTCGTGAAGTTAATTTAAAAAATACAGGGTGTTATGTAATTAATGTTATATATTAAAATGGGTTGTTCCTTAGGGTCCATAAAGAAGCACCTGAAACTTTTTTTTTCTAAATTCCAAAGTCTAAAAATAATTTATAATAACCTTTATCCTACCAAAAAGTACGCCACTGATCGACTAGGAACTTTAGGTTAATCTGGTGGATTTATTATGTTATGGTTGGTAACAACAGTTTTTCCAAAATCTTTCAAAAAAGTTGCCAAGCATTGTTTAAATTTAGCTTAATTACAAAAATGACAAAATTAACAATGCAAATTGTCAATTTGGCGTTTTTATTAATTGTTGGTTATTTAATTTTTGTACTGAAGGTAAATTCAAACAAAATCTGCCAACTTTTATGACAGAATCTAGTGCATTTCTTTTAAATTTTAGGTTATGTTTTCAAATTGTAAATATCTTAACTAAGGGACCCACACGGAACAATTACATCCAATGGATATCCAATGGATTTCTTTTATGGATATCCAGGATATACATAGGATATCCGGGATATCCAATGGATAACCATTGGATATATAAATGTCCGACCCTCCTGGACATAGTGTGGATATCCAATGGATACCCAGTGGATATAGTATTGTATGCAATAAGGTTGTAATCTGTATTCAATATGGAGATTGTATGGATATCCAATGGATAACCATTGGATATATAAATGTCCGACCCTCCTGGACATAGTGTGGATATCCAATGGATACCCAGTGGATATAGTATTGTATGCAATATGGTTGTCATCTGTATTGGATATGGTAAATCAATGGATATTTACTTTTCAATAAATAACATTGGGTTTTAAAATAAAAGTCTTATTCTTTAATTTAAATATTTATTTTTATGAAAACATAAAATAGAACAGAAAACTACATATAACTAAAGAAGTGCTTGCCATCACTCCTCCAGCTGTCATTTGCCTTTTTATCAGCCTAATCATTGAGGGCCTATTTCACCTGTCTCCTTATGATCCCCAAAATTTGGCCAATCCATCAGCCCATTTGTTTAACATGGCACAATGACTAATGTACCATGCCCACCAACACTGACAGACAGACTGTTTCGACCTGTTGGGTCTCATCAGTGTCAGGCAGTTGGTGCCGAGAGACACGCTTCAAGCCAAGCAACCGCCCACCTATATACTAGTTGGGCGACCTGGACAGCGGCGAGATGCAGCGGCAAGGTAATATGGTGACATTTATCTTCTGTGTTCGCCGGCAGTGTTGTCAGACGTTTAAATAATTTCAGAAAGCTCATCAAAATGGCGGTTATATTATTAAATCTTTAATACTTAATTAATTAGTATACCTAGTATACCTATTTGACATAAATGTGATGAATAATTATTTTAAATTTATTTAATTTATTTATTAAAACTTAATAAAGTACGGAAATATATTTCGTTTAGTTATTTTGCTTATAACCGGCAACACTGAAGATTCTCAAATTCAGCGCGTGCGTAGTCCATATATGAAATACAATAATAAACAAAAAGGACTTTTTTAAGTAATTTTTTATTGTATTGCAGACTGTCATAGTCATATTATTAACAGAAATAATATTATTAATATATAAATATTATTATCTGGGTAAAGTGAACATTTCAAAATTAAAAATTTCGTAGCTCTTGGCAAAAAATCAATTTAACGTAAAGTCGTTTTTTTTACATATGCTAGTTTAAACCATCACAAAATCCCACATGTATACATACAAGTATATATACAAGATATCCATATCAGTTATCCACCGGATATCCAGTGGATATCCAGTGGATATACATTAGATGTACAGTGGATATACTTTGGACATACATTAGTTATCCATTGGATATATATTAGAGATACTTTGTTGAAATTGGGTTAATAACGATTTAAATCATATTTATTAATCATTACATAAATTTATCCTATAAGGGGCTATTTTAAAAAAGAAAAAAATATTTTTAATGTTTTTGTTTTTATTTGAACATCCAGTATGGATATCCATCGGATATCCAGTGGATATCCAGTGGATATACATAAGATGTACAGTGGATATACTTTGGACATACATTAGTTATCCATTGGATATATATTAGAGATACTTTGTTGAAATTGGGTTAATAACGATTTAAATCATATTTATTAATCATTACATAAATTTATCCTATAAGGGGCTATTTTAAAAAAGAAAAAAATATTTTTAATGTTTTTGTTTTTTTTTTGAACATCCAGTATGGATATCCATTGGATATCCAGTGGATATCCAGTGGATATACATTAGATGTACAGTGGATATACTTTGGACATACATTAGTTATCCATTGGATATATATTAGAGATACTTTGTTAAAATTGGGTTAATAACGATTTAAATCATATTTATTAATCATTACATAAATTTATCCTATAAGGGGCTATTTTAAAAAAGAAAAAAATATTTTTAATGTTTTTGTTTTTTTTTTGAACATCCAGTATGGATATCCATCGGATATCCAGTGGATATCCAGTGGATATACATTAGATGTACAGTGGATATACTTTGGACATACATTAGTTATCCATTGGATATATATTAGAGATACTTTGTTGAAATTGGGTTAATAACGATTTAAATCATATTTATTAATCATTACATAAATTTATCCTATAAGGGGCTATTTTAAAAAAGAAAAAAATATTTTTAATGTTTTTGTTTTTATTTGAACATCCAGTATGGATATCCATCGGATATCCAGTGGATATCCAGTGGATATACATTAGATGTACAGTGGATATACTTTGGACATACATTAGTTATCCATTGGATATATATTAGAGATACTTTGTTGAAATTGGGTTAATAACGATTTAAATCATATTTATTAATATAATATAATCATTACATAAATTTATCCTATAAGGGGCTATTTTAAAAAAGAAAAAAATATTTTTAATGTTTTTGTTTTTTTTTTGAACATCCAGTATGGATATCCATTGGATATCCAGTGGATATCCAGTGGATATACATTAGATGTACAGTAGATATACTTTGGACATACATTAGTTATCCATTGGATATATATTAGAGATACTTTGTTAAAATTGGGTTAATAACGATTTAAATCATATTTATTAATCATTACATAAATTTATCCTATAAGGGGCTATTTTAAAAAAGAAAAAAATATTTTTAATGTTTTTGTTTTTTTTTGAACATCCAGTATGGATATCCATCGGATATCCAGTGGATATCCAGTGGATATACATTAGATGTACAGTGGATATACTTTGGACATACATTAGTTATCCATTGGATATATATTAGAGATACTTTGTTGAAATTGGGTTAATAACGATTTAAATCATATTTATTAATCATTACATAAATTTATCCTATAAGGGGCTATTTTAAAAAAGAAAAAAATATTTTTAATGTTTTTGTTTTTTTTTGAACATCCAGTATGGATATCCATTGGATATCCAATGGATATCGTAAAAGGCATGGATGTTATATGGACATTGGGATAGCCATTGGATATCCATTGGATAGCGTGTTCTGTGTGGGGAAGTGCTTTTGGATTTATTTACACAAATTAAATGTTTAAAGTTTAACCTGTGAACTGGTCCCAATTTCATCTGAGTAAACAGAGAAAAAAACTGATGAAAAAATTAATTTTGTGGTTATGGATTTCAAATTTCAAAGGTACTAAATTTTCTAATCATTGCTTAAGCTAAAAGCTGGATCAGTAAATAAATACAGAAGGGTATTAGAGCTTTAAGGGCATAAAATTTTTGTATTTATTGAGTTTTTATTTATTTTTTGCAAGAAAAATTTTTAGTAACAATTTTTTACATCTGGCAACGCCTAGCTACTTTGTTGGTTGGTATCTATGTACTCAGAAAATACAGGTGTGCAGAGATAAACAAGTGTGTAACCAGTGGCGTATCACAAAAAATATAAAAAACTTCTAATGCATATTTTTTCTTTATCTTTGGTAAAATGTTTTTTTAAATATTATATATATTTTTCCTTTATTCCTTATGTCAAAAGGTATTCAGTATTTTAATATATAACATTAATTACATAACACCCTGTATAATTTTCGTAAAAAATTTAAAAAGTTTACATTAAAGTTTAAAAAAATAAATTTAAAATAATAATGAAATTATTTCCCAAAATTTTGTTAATTTCGTAATATAAAAAATATAAATTTTATAAATATTTTAAAACCTTTCCATCAAAGTTTAAAAAAATTAATTTAAAATATTAAATGATCAATAATATTGATTCAATATATTTTAATACGGCCCAGTGCAACAATTTTCGTCGATCACGTGAATAGAGCATGGACAACGCATGATTGTGTTTATGTAGAGTCCGGCTTGGATTTGACTTGACTTTAGTTTACGAAATATCAATTATTACTTATTACATACCTTAAATTAATGTAATTTTCTTAAAAAAAATATTTATAAATTTTGACAGATACGTCAGATTTTATGAATTGTCAAATAGTTTCCTTTAATTTGAGAAATAATCTAGACCTATATCACTCAACCTATAAATTTAATCTGTCAAACTATGCTCAGTGTTTTTTATTTGATTTTTCTTTTTGGAAAATAGTCATGCAAAATACTTAAAAATAAAACCCCTCGACCGCTACGCGGTCTCGTGATTTTATTAAATTATTTTGCATTCAACATTTTCCAACAAAAACCAAACAAAAAACTACTGAGCCTAGTTTAACCCATAGATAACAAAGCTTAAGTTTAACCCACAGATTATACAACTTAACCGATTAAATTCATAGTTCTCGTGATAATATATGATTAAATCAAATGTCATTTGAAAGTGTCTACGTAAACTGTTTGTTGCGACGGTTATTATAGTATATTTGCCCGCCGCGGCGATTTTTTAATCTAATTAATAAAATTAACTTATTATTTTTATTAAACATTTTATGAAAGGGTCCAATCGACCCCCGCGACAGTTTTTTTTTAATATTATTTAGTTGCTGCTGAGGAGCAGTAGACACATCTTAAAATGTATAATGGGTTGCATACCATACTCGTATTAAATCCGATTTCGGATAAAATATGTTTTCTTATCTCAAAATGCTTACCTTATGATGGCCGTGTTGGCGATGTCATTCTGCCAGGCCTGCTCGTACTCGGTGCTCAGTATCCGCTTCCTGGGGTCCCCGGTCAGCGCCGCCTCGGTCGGTGTGGGGCACAGACTCACCACCCGCACCCCGGTCAGTCTAACGTGGTACTGGTCGCCGTACGACCTGGTCAGCGCGGCCACCGCGTGCTTGGTGGCCGTGAACACCGGCAGAGACACGAAGGGGCGGTCGCTGCTGCAGGAGCCCGCGTTCACCACGACGCCGCCCGGTCCGCCCCTGTCCTTGCCGAGGAAGCGCATGGCCAGGAGGAGCCCCCTGATTACGCCGTTCTAAGGTGATCAATTGGTTAATTTGTTGAAAAATTTAGGTGATATCCCTAGTAGCAATGGAATTGGACAAGATTCTTTGTCAAGATACTTGGAGAAGCACTTTGTAAAGAATTGGACAATTCTTGACCAAGACTCTTGATCAAAATTCTTTATCCAGCCTGGTGGCAGACTTGGACAAGTCTGTGACCAGAATTTGACCAGATTCTTGGCCAAGAATTTTTACACGATTACACGTTACTTAAATAGGAACTTTCAATTCAAGATTTTTGGTCAATACAAAAGTTAAGAATGTTACTAAAAACATTAATTTTTAACGATTTCTTTCCAGTAAATTCGGTTTTTATCCATAAATCTGGTAAACAATAGAATTAAAAACGAAACAAATTTTGAAAGAGTTAAAGTTTTTAATTTTCTATGTTAAAAAAAAACCAGGTGCCCGTAAAAATAAACATGTATTTTAAAATCTTTCATGTTCATAAAGAGTAAACTCTAGTTATGCGTCAGAGCTGACACACACTTTTTTTTTAATTTTTGATTTTTAGAAATAAGAATTTTTATTTTTCAAAAAATCAATTTTTTTCTCAGCTAGAAGACGAATCCAATAAGCTCTTATTCGTATTTTCACATAAACAAAAAAACTATACTCATTTCCTACAGAGAACTCACTTCTCGACTAGTATACATTATTGTGAATGATACTACTGTAGAATGAAAACCTCTGTCCAAAGTATCTTGACCCATGCTGGGCCAAGACTTTTCCGGAATTGCTACTAGGGATGTTGAGCAAACTTACTAAATTTACGTCGACTTCTAATTCCCATAACCGGTCGTTCATAACGGATGCATTATTTACAACAATATCGACCCCACCTAATTTTGATATTGTGGATTGGAATGCCTCTAAAAAAGGTAAAAAATAATATTGTAATTATAATTTTTGCAACAATTACACAGCCACACAAATTTTTTTTTTTGTTTTGATCTGGGGGTCTGATCATATTTCTTTTATGTTTTTGGGGTCGCTGAATCCGAATCCAAGGTCTATTTAACCCCATCACATCAGGATTTTGACATAACCTTAAAAAATCTATAATTTAAGCTATTAAACGCATATAGCCCTAAACATTAAGTTGTTGTCTAAAAACCCAAGCTCCTAAACCCTATAAGCCTAAAACTCACTTAACTCCATAACCCCATGACCCACTTAACCCCATCATCATTTAAACATATAATCCTTAGGATGAAATTGTGATCTGAAAACCCAAGCTATTAAACCCAATAACCATTTTAACCCCATCCATAACCTTGTAACCCATTTAACCCCATCAACATCAATTCCAACAGTTCCGTATCTCAGACATTTAGCTTTGAAGAGACTAAAGTTATGCGGTTATTAAAATAACGTACATATTAAGTTAAATATCTGACAAACGTGGTTGATGTACATTGAGTTATGAGGTTAAATGGGTTATGGGGTTATGGAGTTATGTGAGTTATGAAGTTGTGATATTTAAGAGCTTGGATTTTTATATGAAAACCACATTCTCAGGGTTATATATAGTAATAGCTTATATGATGGGTTTTTTAAAGTTATGGCAAAATCCTGATGTGATGGGGTTAAATAGACCTCGGATTCGGATTCAGCGACCCCAAAAATATATAGAAAATATGGTCAGGCTCCCAGATCAAAACAGAAAATTTTTTTTGTGTTTTGATCTGGGTGTCTGACCATATTTCTTTTATGTTTTTGGGGTCGCTGAATCCGAATCCAAGGTCTATTTAATCCCATCACATCAGGATTTTGACATAACCTCAAAAAATCTATAATTTAAGCTATTAAACGCATATAACCCTAAATATTAAGTTGTTGTCTAAAAACCCAAGCTCCTAAACACTATAAGTCTAAAACTCACTTAACCCCATAACCCCATGACCCACTTAACCCCATCATCTATTTAAACATATAATCCTTAGGATGAAATTGTGATCTGAAAACCCAAGCTATTAAAACCAATAACCATTTTAACCCCATCCCATAAACCACTTAATCCCATAACCTTGTAACCCATTTAACCCCATCAACATCAATTCCAACAGTTACGTATGTCAGACATTTAGCTTTGAAGAGACTAAAGTTATGCGGTTATTAAAATAACGTACATATTAAGTTAAATATCTGACAAACGTGGTTGATGTACATTGAGTTATGAGGTTAAATGGGTTATGGGGTTATGGAGTTATGTGAGTTATAAAGTTGTGATATTTAAGAGCTTGGATTTTTATATTAAAACCACATTCTCAGGGTTGTATATAGTAATTACTATTAATAGCTTATATGATGGGTTTTTTAAGGTTATGGCGAAATCCTGATGTGATGGGGTTAAATAGACCTCGGATTCGGATTCAGCGACCCCAAAAATATATAGAAAATATGGTCAGGCCCCCAGATCAGAACACAAATTTTTTTTTGTGTGGCTGTGTTATTAAACATGTTTTTTCACGAAATTGATTTTTTGTATACAGGGTTTTGACAATACATAAATATTCAAAAGATTTCTTTTACAAATAAATTATAAGGGTTTTTCTCAACAAATTTTTGCTGTCTTTGTTTTTGAAATAACATTTAAACAAACCGTTGTAATAGCAACGTGGTATATCCACTTGTTAACTCAGTACCTGTTACATTTTTAAATTAATTTACTCATGAGTAAAATATGTTATACATATATATTATTATATAGATATTTTCTAATTTTTGAAAAAGATTGGATTTTGTGCTCTAATAAATATTTTAAGATTTTTAAATTTTTTCAAATATACACATTTGGGTAATTTTTGGTTTTTTTTTCTCGGAACCACGCTCAAAAGTTTCGTATAGATATAAAAATAAGCCTGTGAAAAAATGAGCTCTTAATTTCAAAATTAAGATGCTCCGCATAGCACTTTTCGATTTTCCATAAGAATAACATGGGAAAAATTATTTTTGTTTCTTTTTATTTTTGTAACTAACGAACAATAGGTCGTACTGTAAAGTTCTTGACATATTTTTGTAGAGAATTGAACGCTCTACAAAAAAGGTTTTTTTTTATGATTTTTTGATAAATTTGATCCTTCTAAAGAAATTTAAGGTCAAAGTTCAAATTATACAAAATTTTTGGGTTTATTTAACTTATTTGGCGAGTCTGCCCGACTCATTTAAAAAAAATTTGAAATATTTTGTAGAGAATTGAACGCTGTTTTTCCGAATTTCCAGAGCTCAAAAACAATATTTTGATTCGTGTTTAGCCCTTTGAACAAAAAAATCGAGAAAACGACTAAATCGACGGTTAATTTCACTTTAACCTTGAATAACTTTTAACCAAGTTAACTTACCGAAAAATGACTCTAGACCTTTCTTGTAGAGCGTTCAATTCTCTACAAAAATATTTCAATTTTTTTTAAATGAGTCGGGTAGTTAAAAAACACAAACATTTCATATAATTTTAACTTTGACCTTAAATTGGTTTAGAAGGATCAAATTTATCAAAAAATCATAAAAAAACCTTTTTTGTAGAGCGTTCAATTCTCTACAAAAATATGTCAAGAACTTTATAGTACGACCTATTGTTCGTTAGTTACAAAAATAAAAAGAAACAAAAATAATTCTTCCTATAGGATATATGTTATTCTTATGGAAAATCAAAAAGTGCGATGCGGAGCATCTTAATTTTGAAATTAAGAGCTCATTTTTTCACAGGCTCATTTTTATATCTATACGAAACTTTTGAGCGTGGTTCCGAGAAAAAAAACAAAAAAAAGGTTTTTTTGAATCCCCCTAATACACATTATTATGGAAATTTTTATTTTTCTTTAATCTTTAAAAAAAATAAAAACAAATTTGTTTAATATTTTCTGTCATACAATTTTTTTTAAATTTGGTGGTTTTTGATTTTTTTTATATACGTAAGTTGGCGACATGGAAAACTATTGTATTGTATTTTAGGAAAAAAGTCAAACTTCATAAAAAGTTTTATCAGGTTTGTCAAAAAATATGATTTTGACAATATCGAAAATTATTATAAAGAAAATATGTTTAGAATTAAAAATAACTTTTCAATATTCAACATTTTGACGTTTTACTACAAACAACTTGTTCTATTTTTTAAACACCCTGTAGATTAAATCCCAATTTTTTTATGTCAATGTTATTTTTTCCACGAACAAAACTTTTTATCAAGAATGACTTCTTTGAAAACTAAAAATGTAAAAAATTCCCAATCTGGGGACATACTGTATATTATAAGTAAATAATTTTATGAAATAACGATTTTATATTTTTATATAATCTTTGGATGAATTTTAAAAATCATATTTTAAATTAACTAAAAATGTTTTCTACATTTTTTGTGTCTGTTGTATACTTTGTTTTCTTAAAATGTTTTTTAATTTTTAAGATTTTTACAGACATTTTTTAGGATATGTTTTAATAGTTTTATAATATTCTTTGATCTTAGAATTTTTTAAATTTATTAAAATATATACTATACGCTAAATAAGCTTGCAATATTGATATCACTTTCGGTTTAACCGTTAACAAGATTTTTAGATAAAAATTTAAAAAACAAACCTTCAAATTGTAGGTAATCGGTAACATCACAGGGGCAAAATATAACCTCTTTACTGGACTTTCCCATTTGATGAAGTAAATCTTCACCTGCATCTGTATTTATATCACAAATTGACACCTAAAAATGTATCTATAGAGAAAATTATATTTACTATTATGGTATACTACTAATACTACAGTAGTGGGCATCATTGATTCCACAAGTAACAAAGACACCAATCTCCGAAAATCTGAATGAAAACATGAACAACTCGTTTGATTTACCTTACAACCGTTCCTGTACAGCTCCTTGCAGTACTCCCTGCCGTAACCAGTCGCACCTCCCGTAACGAGCGCCACTTTTCCTTTCAGATCCATTTCGTTGCTTCGGCCTGACCGGCCTGCTGTTGTATACAGACAGTACACTCGCAGTGTGCGTCGACCGCGCCCTGAGCGTCGCGGCGCCACGGCGCAGGTGCGTTGGGAGCAATTCGCGGAAATTTATGGACCGGTGCGTTTACACGCGACCGCCCCAAGGGGGTGAATTTAAAATGTGAATTTTTGGTGGATTAGACTGGCAAAGGGTTAAGGGAAATATTGGAGTGGTATTTTCACTTTTAAGGCAAAACATATGCATATGTTTTATATGTTTATAGGTGATTTTTGGACTTTCTGTGAAACCTAATTTTTTTTTATATTCCTGTTAATTAGGTCATAACTAAAATTTTAAGAGCAAAATAAAAAAAATTTGACGGTTTGAATTGTTTTAATTGGCTGTTTATTAAAAATATTATGCACTCTTTCAATTATCCAATTAAAACTAGCGATTTAATTTAAATATTTAATATTTGCATAACTAAAAAAAGGTTTTTAAATTTTTTTTTTTATATATTTTACTGTTTTGTTGCAATAAACGTTCAAACTTTTAATCTAACCTTTGACGTATACATTTATGTTCCCTTAATTAATATATTCTTAAAGGTTGCCATGAAACTTAGATCTATTAAAAATTTATTTGACGTCATTTTCAGTATACGTATTCTATAATTTTTGTTTAGTTTTTAAAGTGTTTTTTATAAACAAAAATGAAAAATTGTAGTAAAAGTTACGAAGAAATTTATGAAATTTAACTAAGGACCGGTTTATTCATCTTTAGTAAAGTTTATCGGGCCGATAACTTTCATGTCTTGGCAATATCTAGTATCCAAAGAAATTATTCGTCAAATAAATCAAAAATGAATAAATCGGCCCTAAATAAAATGTGGCACCCTTAGAATTATTGTTTCATAAATGTATACTATACATTTAACCTTAAATTAAAACTTTAAACGTGTATTACAACAAAACAGTAAAAGATATAAAAAATGTATAGACCTTTTTTTAGGAAATTAACTAATCTTTAATCTGATTTAAAAAGTTATGATAATATTTAAATAAAATCGCAAGTTTTAATTGGAGAATTGAAAGTGTGCATACATATTTTTAATAAACATACAATTAAAACAAAATTAACCGTCAAATTTTTTTTATTTTGCTCTTAAAATTTTAGTTATGACCTAATTAACAAGAATATAAAAAAAATTAGGTTTCACAGAAAGTCCAAAAATCACCTCTCAGAACAGCACCGTGACTAGGGTGATTCATTTCCGCAAAGTTTTTGTTTTCTTCGGTGCTCAAGCAAAATATTAATCTGCATGCATATAGAAAAAAAATTCTCAACAAGTTTGAGCTCTTAATATAAATTTTAAGTACTTACTATTTAAATTTAAAGTTTTACCGTTTAAAATGCATGTAAAAATATATATATTTTTTTTAAATTTCTAATGCTTACCCACCTTTGACAATATTGCAAATCGGTTTAATACACCTTATGGGGAATTTCACGCTCTTTAAAATTGCTTTTGAGTTTTTTTTGTAACTCGCATTGGTTCACCAGTAGGAGTCGTCAAAGGACAGTTTTTGAAAAGAATCGTTTTTTTTTAATTTTTTCTAACAAACCGCAAAAAGTAGGGATAAAAAAGTTCTGAATCATAAAAAAAGTTATCCAACCAATATTTAATGAATTTACAGCCATTTTTATAACTGAAAACGTAAGAAATTGATAATTACCAACTCATAATGTTATTTAGATTGATTTTTTCTATTTATTATCATTATATTTCCCTACACTAAGAAGTTTTTTAAAATTATTGATTTCTCACTTATAATGAATATGAAAACAACAGATAAATTCATAAAAAACCAATAAGAAAATTGTAACGTGGATTTTGCAATTTTTCAACATTTCTGTCATTTAGCAAAAAAACATAAATGAAGATTATTTAATTTTTTGAAGCGAAATTTGAAATATGTTACATAACCTTCTGTATATTCCGATTAAAGTTTTTATGAATTTATGTACAACACGTGTTGTTTTCATATTCATTATGAGTGAGAAATCATAATAATTTTAAAAAAGTTCTTAGTGTAGGGAAATATAATGATAATAAATAGAAAAAATCAATCTAAATAACATTATGGGTTGGTATTGATCAATTTCTTACGTTTTCAGTTATAAAAATGGCAGTAAATTCATTAAATATTGGTTGGATAACTTTTTTTTTATGAATCAGCCCTTTTTTCTCACTACTTTTGGCGATTTGCTCGAAAAAATAAAAAAAAAACGATTTTTTTCAAAAACTGTCCTTTGACGACTCCTACTGGTGAACCAATGCGAGTTACAAAAAAAAACTCAAAAGCAATTTTTTAAAGAGTGTGAAATTCCCCATAAGGTGTATTAAACCGATTTGCAATATTGTCAAAGGTGGGTAAGCATTAGAAATTTGAAAAAAAAAATATATTTTTTAAATGCATTTTAAACGGTAAAACTTTAAATTTAAATAAATAGTAAGTGCTTAAAATTAATATTAAGAGCTCAAACTTGGTGAGAATGTTTTTTCCTATATGCAGATTAATATTTTGCTTGAGCACCGAAAAAAAACAAAAACTTTGCGGAAATGAATCACCCTAATATACACACATGATCAAAATTGTTGCATATTTTTGTATTTTAATTTTCGCTTTGTATAACGTTCTGTTTTTTGTTGTTTTGAAATAAATTTTCATTTAATTGTTATAATACGTAAAATAAAGAAAATTTAATAAATTGAAGTATTTTAGTAGGAAATAATAAAAATAAAAGTTTCGGAACCAATCATCCTCCTCGAAGACGATAGTTCCGACGAGGATGATGACTTTGACAACAGTATTTAGATAAATAATTTATTGACAATAAAATGCATAGTGTACATTACAATTATAAACAATTTTGAGAAAATATATTTTCTCAAAATTGTTTATAATTGATTATAATCACCTTCATTCTATAAATAAAATTTATATTTAAAATGTTTTTTCACCTAAATCGTTTCTGATAATTTTTAAAAAATTATATTTAGTTTTATTTTTAATATTTCCTACAAATATATACTTTAATATATTAAATTTTCTTTATTTTACGTATTATAATTATTAAATGAAAATTTATTCCAAAACAACAAAAAACAGAATGTTATACAAAGCGAAAATTAAAATACAGAAATATGCAACAATTTTGATCATGTGTGTATTAGAAAGGTTGACTAAAATACTGATGTTTTTGTTTGATCGTAAATTATCGAAATAAATTAAACACAATTCACCAGATATTTTTTGCAATACAATTAGTTATAGGTAATAAAAAAACAATTTAATTTAAAATGATTTTATATTTTACATATTCGTGTTAACCAACTGTTACACAAGTGTCTTTAAAACAAATTTACGATTTTATTTTACAAATCTATTACTTCAGTAATCCTATTTTTTCATAATATATAATATTATACAGGCCCAAATAACATTTTTTAATTTTGTTAAATTTGAGAAATGCTTTAAAGCTCTTTAATTAAAATGAATAATTTTTTAATTTATTGTTAATATTTTGACTAGAGGTACATATTTGGAAAAACTATTTACAGAAACTCCTAAGAAAAAAATGGAATTATATTAATCAAAATCATTTCACCTTTATAAATAGGTAGTAGAGTAGAAATTTCCCAAATGAGCCTACGATATTTGACGTTGGAAATTATTGGAAAATAATCTATTTTCCCTGTTCTACAATATTATTTTTCATTAACCTAAAGGGTGAGCACAAAAAAGTTGGAACTGTTTCTGAATCTTAAGCGTTCAGATTTTCCAATACTTAGGTAAAATAGGTATGTTTTCAAAATTAAAACTTTCCCTATTAAAACTAAAACTAAAAATCATATGGTAGTTTTTAGTTAGTTATTTTTAAAAATAGTTAAGATATTGCAATTCGTCTAAAATCGGGTATTTTTAATCTGGAATATCTCAGAAGGTACACACTAAAACACATAATTTTATTGTTCTGTATGTAAAAAGTTCTTAACATTTTATCACTGAAACTAAATTTTTTAGTTAGTGTACATTGTTATGCTTTTAGTTAAAATCCAAGAAAATATATTCTTTACAATCAACCAAAAAATACAAAAATATCAAGGGTGTAAATAAAAAACTAATAACATCTTAGTGATGAAATTTTAACCACAAGACAATAAAATAATGTTTTCTGAACAGTTTTAAAGTGTGAGATATTTAAGATTGAAAATGCCCAATTTTAGATATTTTTAAAAATATCCAACTAAATTTTTTTTCAAAAAACGAAAAAAGTTTTTCCCCATCTACAGAGTTTAACGAAAACGCATGCAAAATGCAAAAAAGGCTGACGGACCAAACAAAGTGACCGCTCAAAAAACGTTACTTGGTTCCAATTTTTTTTCAACCTCAAAAATTGTATTTTATTTGAGAAATTTCTTTATTTATGTATTTATTGTAGTAAAATACAAAGTATGTATAAAGGTCTTAATTTTTAAATAGGAATGATAAAAAATGTGTTAACACCAAAAAGTGGGTAAAAAATGCAAAAAATTGCAGTTGTTTATTCTATAATCTACTTGTTTGCTGCCTTGAGGATAAAAACAAAATTCAAAAAGTCCGTAACAATGCCAAAATTTAACAATCCTTATCAAAATCAACGAATTTAACAAACCGTCCCACTTTTGTACTGTACTTATAAAACACTTATATACCATGACTTAATACTGTCACTAACCAATACCTTCATGTACAACAATGATTTTATTTAACCTACCTTATTTTTATTTATACTCGGCTCGAAATAAAACAACAAATAAAATATACATAATAAATTAACCAACATTTAGCAAATAAAAGTAACGAAATTCGCATTATCCACGATTTCTTAACTGATTTAATGAGTCGCATGACGGGGTCTTCATGTTTTGGGCGGTGTGGAACAATTCGCGGTCACCGAAGTTTTTAGCTTTCCAGATCATAGAATCTCCTAAAAAAATAGAGAAGGATAAGCACTTTTAAAAATGCATTTTCGAGCATTTTA